CCCCCCCCTTTTAGTCGCGGAAAACGGCTGTTGCGCGGCTGCCCGAGATGCGAGCCCTAGGTGCGCTCCTGGAGGTGCCGGCATCTGCACGCCCGTTGGGGTGGTAGTCACCGTCATCGTCAACGTCTTGCGCCGGTGCTTTTCTCTTTCGGCCAGGTACATCTGCCGAATCGATCCAAAGCCTAATGAAAGCAGTGACTCGCGTGTTCATCATGACGTCCTTGAAGTCCTTGCGGACGTCCTGCTTCATGCGGTCCACGAGGTAGGAAAGATCGGCCAAGCTGGCGTCGGGAAACTTCCAGACCATGACCGCAGCGAAGACGAACTCGACGGGAGCAAGAGGCTTGGCAGCTCTGCCTCGCGCCCTGACAGGCAGAAGGGGAAGCGCGTACGTCTCGTGATTGCACAAAGCAACGAATTTCGCAAAGACGTCCTCTACCTGTGCTTTGAACGCCATATCCGGCCCGCTCTGCTCGTGAGTGTCCAAATGTTTGGACACGGCGGTAGCGCTGGGGTGGTAATTGTGCGTACCCCAGTTCCAGATAAACAGGGTAATCTGCGCTGCAAAAAGCCAATCCTTGCCCCGTGCCATCGTGATGACGTGTTGCACGTTGAGTTGAGGATTGTCGAAATACTTTTTGACGAGCTGACGCCACCACTCGCTCCAAGGACCGACTTTGGCGGCAAGCTGTGAACCAAGCAAGATCACGACGGTCCACGTTGGTCAGTGAGACTTCGCTGACGGTGACGACGACTCGACGGTAAATGTGGGGGAATTGCAACTCACCTTCTCTGCAGGAGTGAGCACAGAACCCATCTGAACGCGAGCGAACATATCGCGCTCCTCTTGGTCGGCGAGGTCCATGTAGAGGAAGCCGTGGATCTGCAAACTGTCGAATCGAGTCTTCAACTTTTTATCGATCGCTGGATACTTGCCGGCCACGCGGTCTTCTTCGTACCAGTATGACTTGTTGGTGCCAGCCTCGCGGACGGGGATCACGTTGTTCATAAAATTGCAGATCGACGAGATGCGCTGTTTGCCGTCGATGCAAATGAAGCAGACCTCGCCTTCTGGCGTGTGGCGCTCCGAGTAGAGCACCGGTGGCACGTAGTAGTGCCTGAAGAAGGAGTCGATGATCGCGGACTGCTTGGCAGCGGTCCAAACCACGTCTCGTTGCCAGATGGGATTCAAGTCGATCTCGCCGGTGTTGACCTTTTGCAGAATCGAACTGCAAGAGAGGACCATGGAGCTGGGCGAGCGAAGCAAACGACCGAGCTCTGGCCTGACCCCGCTGTTGTAAGTGCCAGACTGGCTCGACGAATCCAGCTGATCCTTTTCGTCCGACGGCTCCCAGAGATCCATGTCCTCGTCATCATCTTCCTCCTTTTCAGCTAGTCCGTAGCGAGGTGGCATCTGATGTAGAATGACAGGAGCAGGAACAAAGCGCGGTCAGCGCGAGGCTTGGACTCGAGCTGGCCGGTGCGCATCGGGTACATTTGGGGAATCCCTTGCCACCGAGAGGCTTCTTCGATGTGAGCTCAGGAAAGATCAGACAAGATTGGCAAGCTTGCAAGCGGCAACAAGGCAGGTCAAGACTTTGGGGCCAAGTCCAGATGCTTGTTGTATCCCACTGACCACCTTGCACCTATCTTCCATGCTTCGTTGCGGGGCCCCTATAGCTCGCCAATTGGCAGCTTCGTCGACACCCATGAACTGTGTGTGTGTGCAGCCGCGCACGCATGCTCGGGACGCTCACCTTGATCGCCTCGAGGTCTCCTCCGACTGAAAGCGGGACCGTATTCAGCGGTGTGCGTCTGCTAGCTGATGAGGACGCGTCAAACGCGTCGGGGCGGACTTCGCGACGCGCGGGGGAGTCTTTCTAGCGAGCGGCTATACTTGCAAAGGAGACAGCGAGAACGTTTCCGAGTCAGCAATTGATTGACATGGCGAATGATGTCAGCATGGATGTCTGCAGTCAGACCGAGGCATCTTGCGAGAGATCCAATCAAATGTGAATGACTCTCGCAACCGCACCGCGTCTTCGGACAGCAGACGCCACTGTGACTGTGACTGCGAACGCGGTGCAAGGCGACACTCACCTGAAAGTTGCAGAGCTCGTGCTTCGCAGTTGATTCTACAGCTAGCTATGCCAGCAGTGCGATGCCCACAACCTACGAGATCTGCTTGACTGATGAGAGGTCTGGCTGAGATCGCAACTTTTGGCGTGTTGAAGGTGTACCCAAGCTTGTGGTGGACAACCCTTGCTTGTGGTTGAGAAGGAAAGCTGAGCAGAGTGGGTCTGTGTAAATTTGGGGGTGGGGGAGAGAGCAAGCACAGATGAAAGCAGCCCTGCCTGATTTTTGTAGCCTGCAGTACTGGTCAGGGAAAGACTGAAGATGTGCCCTAAAGAGGCCCTGCAACAGCCACTCTTGCTTAGCCAGGCAGAGTATGAGAGGTTCTCAATCCTTGCCATCAGTAGTATGGCTGCATGGCTGGCATGGCTGGCTGGCTGTCTCACATGAAGAGCGAAAAAGATCTGCTTGGGCATCTGAGCAGTCTGTGCGCGTTCGATGGGCGCAGCAATGAATCCCAATCCAATCTGCTAAGCCCTGCAGCTATATAGCGGGCTGACGGCATGACGACGGCCCGGCTGGCTGCATGGCTGCGTTGAACGCGCTCGCAGACTGCTCTGGTGCCATGACTCGTCTCGCTGACACCTGTTTTAGCTGGGTAGCAACATCAGAGGTGAAAGACACTCACACTCCAGTTGCATGGCCAGCTCAGCTGCCTGAGTGCATGCATATGAACCTCGGCATATCTGAGTCAAGAGTTCACACTCATGAGTTGCATGCTATTCAGAAGCAACAGAGCACACGATGCATGCAGGCTGGAGCAGCCAGCCAGCCAGCCAGCCAGCAGGGATAGCAGCAGCTAGGGCCGGCATGCTCTCCATTAACCCATGCATGCATCCAGCAGGCACAGCAATCACGAATCTTGCTTGAGCTTTGATAGCAAGCACATCTTGAGGCCTGACTGTGAAATGAATTTGAATCACAAATTCCGAATGAAATGCAGGCATGCTCATGAAGATAGAAGCCTTCTTTGTGGGGGACAGTCACGCGCATCTCTCATGTCAGCGTGGAGGCTCGATCGGTATGAGTCCGGCAGAGGGCACGCACGTACCAGCTACGCAAAGGTCTGACCGAGTACCCGGCCTCATCGCATCATCCCCACCTTAATCGTGAACACAAGAACGCTGTTTCGGGACGTAGGACAAAGCTGATCAGGGTACGCGTCAAGGGCAGAACGGCAAAAGTCGCAGTGCGAGCCACGAATCGCGAAGAGGTCTCAAGGAGTCTGAGACGCTTGCAGCTGCCCGCTATACAAAGGCATCATCAAGACCATTCATCGAGCAGCAAGAGTGGCAGAACGAAAGCAAGGAATCGCCAGGGAAGCGCTTGTGAAGGGCCGCGCACGCTTGATCGATTTGCCGACGTGATCTGCGGTTGAGCAAGCTGGTCATCGCAGGCGTGGTCACAGCTATAGCATCTGCTGGGTGTGAGAGGCTAACTTCACGCTCGCGTCTCATCAGTCGCCAGGTGAAGTGGACCCATCAGTAATGCTTGTTATCTAGCAGCAAGCCTCGAGTGGATCACATCACCACGTGCGACTTTCGTGATCGCTCAGCAAGCGGATCACTCGCCTTCCACCATGACGCCATCATCACGGGCCGATGCCGAAGAGTCTCGACTCTTACACGCCGTGGTGCATCGATGGCTCAAAGATGCGGGCTATCAATCCACTTTGAAAGCTTTTGCTGAAGAGTCCAAGCAGCTGTCCGGCTGGCTTGCGCCTGACGATGGCAATCATAGGACGGAGCTGGGTGGAGAAATCAATAGCATTGATGCAGCACGCTCATCAGAAGAGTTGGCAGAAGCACCGGATTTGCGCTCCTTGATTCAGTCCTTCATATCTTTGCAAAGGATCGGAGGTGAGACATCTAGCAAGTCCGAGGGAGCGCATGCGACATCTCTACACGGTAATGCAATCACAAGTCCTTTGCAGCTCTCCTTGCCCGGCTCTACTCGCTTGCGCTACGAAGTGAGCAAGACGCACAGCACGTTACACGCCTCCAACATCCTCTCCATCCAGCAAGTCATTCTGTCCACCCGCTCTTTCTCAACAACTCAAGAGAGATACGTTACAAGCCGCCGTCAGGTCCTGTGCACCACCGCTGCTGACCGCAGAATCGTGCTGAGCGACGCTGCGGACGGAGCGATGTTGGAATGCTTCGAACCTGTGAAGAGCAACAGCGAGATTGGTCACACTTCGGCCGTACTCTGTACAGCCCAAAATCCTAGGGACGAGCGGGAACTGGTGAGCGCCGGCATGGATGGCAGAGTGATCATCTGGGACTTGGTACGTTGCCGCTTTCGCCAGCTCCAGCGCTATCAGACGCGATTCTCACTGACAAGCTCTGCCATGCAGCTCTCAAGACAATCTGTACAGGCGCTTCGACATCACACGAAGTTTGTAGTACGAGTTGCTCATTCCCTTTGCGGAAGGTATCTCGCCAGCGCATCTTACGATCGTACAATACGTATCTACAAGCGAGATTTTACGATCCCTCAACGACAGGAAGTTGCGAGAGTGTTAGACGAAGACGACTCGGAGCTGGTACCCTTCAATCCCGATTACCAGCTCGTGCACACGATCGAGACGCGCACCAATCCCGAAGCTTTGCTGTTCGTGAGCGCGTCTCTGTCTCCGACGATCTCGCCCTCCTCGAGTGCTGCCGAGAACGAGTCCGTGGCGCAGACAAAGACTGAGGCGAAGCGAGGCTGGCTAGCTTATACTGCGAGGGAGGATTGCTGCTTGTATTTTTGTGCGCTTCCCATTGGGGGAAATGTCAGCTCGCAAAGCGAGCAGCGGGCGGCCACTCCGGACTTCGAGGTCGTGCGGTTTAACACCAATGCAAATCAGCATGTGAGTGCAAGCTTTCTTGCAGGTCTGACAGTAACTGTGAAAGATGTTGATGTGAACGATTAAACGCTGTCTTCTCTCGCTCTCACTCTCAAAGGACTTTCACGTCAGCTACTCGCTCGTGAGATGAATGCTCTTTGTCGAGACATCGCTCCAACTTGCCATGCACTGACCCCGTCTATTCGCGGCTTTGGCACAGCTCGCACTCTCTTTGCATCCTCTAGGCACGCACATTTCGATCCAAACGAGCGCTGCGCAATCCGAGACGATTTCGCGCATCTTGCTGCTCCCCTTGCTGAGCTCAGAGCGCACATCCACGCTCTACACCTCTGCTCCTTCTTCACCCCTATCTCCCTGCGCTCGTCACGCATGGCTCAAAAGCGGAGCTGGAGTCTGGATAGCTTCGGAAGATGGGATTTTGAGATTGGTAGACTTGCCATTGGGCAGGGTCAGGTGCGCTTTGCCTGCTCATGGGGCCGTCATGGACGTTGCTGAGAGGGCTAGATCAGGAGCCGGCGTGGTCAGAGAAGAGCTCAGCGCAGCCAGCTGGTCAAGGGGAGGCAACACGGTCATCAAGGTGAGCACGTGCAAAAGCACATGTACGACACTGCGCATCCTACCCTGATGTTTCGCTTGGCGCCCACTCGTTCCCACAGGACCTAGTCGTTATTGACGATGAGGGCACGGTGGCTAGCGTCGGCTTCGATCGCACGGTGCGGATATGCACCTTGCAAGCGTGAGTATACACGATTGTTGTTCGGGCAGCGATGCATCTTGCGAATTGTAGTGTTACAAGTACAATGCATAGACCGTTTCAGGATGATCAACGCAAATCTGTATGTAGTCTTTCTCTCCTACATCAAAGCTCGTTGCGTAGCATGACTTTGTCTGCGGGACATGGCAAAAATCATGAGCGAGACTGAAAATCGCACGACAGCTCGCATATCATGCCGACACTCACAGCAATCCTCGTCGTACGCTTTGTTACCACGAATGAAGAAGTTGGGGCTTTCAAAGGGTCGCTTGCACCCTTCGCAGACGAAGCAATGGGGGTGCCACTTAGCTTTGAGGGCCGTGATGACGTCTCCCTCGACGATGGGCTGTCGACACCCTTTGCAGCGCGGCTTGTGCAGCTGAATGTGGCACTGTGCAGATCGCAGAGGAGACGCAAAGTCAGTGCACGTTGCTCGACGCCGTAAGCTTGGGAGGGAAAGACTTGGGCAAAGGCTCGTGCTCTCACCTTTTCGCAATAGGGATAGCCCTTCCATACGACAAACTCCCGGGCGCCTGCGCGCAGGTTGCCATTCTCGTCAAAGGACAGGTTTTGAGGGTCCGCTCCGGCCGCACTACCAGCAGCTTTGGGATCGATGAAGGGATCCCCACAATTCGCACAAAAGAAGTGCAAATCGTGATAGCTCCGTTCCGTCGCGCCGCCTTTGACCGAACCATTGGCCCCTGCCGATCCTACCAGTTCAGGGTCGCTAATGGTGATGAACCTCTCGTCCACGATAGGCGTTCGACAGTGGAAACACCTCCGGCTAAATAGCTCGTGATAGTCAAAATGACAGAAAGCCTTGCCCTCATGTTCGTAGAATGCCACGTGCTCCAGCGCTTCGGAACAATGCGAGCACTTGAAGCAGGCAGGATGAAACCTCTGGTTCATGGCAGATACAACTCGACCTCCTATCCACTTGTGGCACGCGCCACAGGCAAATCCTGATCCGAGAGTGGGCGCTGATGCCGCTTGAGGTTGAGCGCGCCCGATGTGCTGCGATTGGGTGGGTGCCGACTCTGCTGAAGCCCGTTGAGGCGAAGCCAGAGGACCTGAATGAGAAATGCTGATACTAGCTTTCGGCGCAGAGGCGGGACCGCCCGTGTCGTCCTCGTCGTCTGCGACCGAGATGGAGATGTTCGGGCCAGAGACTGCGATCCTCGGCGCAGTATCTTCTTCGTCTTCCGCCACGGGGGTGACAGAGATCGTCGTCGTTTGTAGTGCATCGATGGCAATCGAGGGTGCTTTGGTGGCACTCGCGCGTCGGACTGGGATTTCGTCCTCTTGCACTCCAATTAGTATCGAGGGTGGCTTGATCGGTGAAGTCGGAGGTCCATCCCCAAAATCGATCGTAGGCACAGCCGGACGCTCATCAGGTGGAGGACTGAAAATAGTCGGGACGTTGACTGCGGTTGCCAACTGAGTCTGATCATGGTGCTGCGGCGATGAGGCGTGAGATGAAGGGTTTGCAAGAACGGGCCCAACAGGCTCAGCAGTGATCGCTCCATGCGAGCTCAGCCTCCGCTCCCTGCCAGCTCTGATATCGTCTCGAGGACCACGCGAGGCTGGTCGAGCGGGTTGATCGGCGATCGGCGGCTCCATGCCCGACTGGTCGCCTTGAGATCGCTTGGGTACAGGCTGCGCATACGCAGAGTCGCTTGGGAAAATCTGCACGTTTGAAAGACTTTCCACGAGATCTGCTTGTGATGTTCCGTTCCCAGATGCTATGTTTGAGCTTTGCATAGCGGGTGGTGGGAAAGCAGAGAAAGTTTGAGGAGGCGACGCGGCAGCAGGGGTCTGTGGATCGTTATTCATCGCATTGAGCAGCGCTGCACGCCCCATGGTCGCACTAGAGCCAAGAGCTCCTCTGCCCCTCCGAGGCGGTCCACGAGCCATAAGAGCTTCAGCGGCCATTCTTTGACTGTCCGCTCTGCTCAGCGTCCCATTACGAGGCAAGGCTGCACCAGATGCGACTCGAGGAGGGGGTGGGGCAGGTGCAGCACCAGGCGGCGGTTGAGGCAGACCACGTCGGACAGAAGGCGCGCTCGAAAGAGCCTGCGCTCCTTGAAAGGGACCTTGAGCGGGCAAAGATGGAGATCGCGCGGGAGCCGGAGCGCCTGGAGTTGGCTGAGGAAGAGGCCTAGAATTTGGAGTCGAGGTCGAGGAAGGCAATCCAGGCGGGCCGCTTTCAGGGTGTACATAGCCGGCAATGTGTCCTGCTTGGGCGGTACTGGGAAAGGGTCGAGGTGCGCCTGCCGTGTCAGCATGAGGTGGAGAATGATGGACGCTGGTCGGAGGAATCTGTTGGGCAGGCTGCGGGGTGTACTGCGGTGCCGCGGGTGACACGACCTGTCCAGCCTGGTTGGGGAGTTGCCACCCAGGATGTGTAGCTGGCGCCTGAGTGTATGCTTGCGCCGATATGCTTTGCTGAGCAGGCGCAACTCGCGCATGAGCATGAGCATGCGGTTGATGTTGAGGATACCACTGCTGGGCTGCGTACTGCGAGCGCAGGGGATCGGCGGGAGGTGGATGTGCCGGATGCGGAGGTATTGGTCTACCATAGGCATCGGTCGTGTGTGGCATGGGTGCACCGTACGTGTTGGGAAAGTTGACTACAGGGATATAGGCTGGTTGCTGCTGTGTCGCTTGACCAAAGGCAGGCTGAGCTGCGCTAGCACCAGGACTGGCAGGACTGCTGTCGTACCTAGCTCTGCTTGAGCTGCGCTCGTGTTGGTGAGGTACATGTTGGTGTTGATACTGCCAGCCCTGCTCCGAAGGCGGTCCGCTACCCGTCCTCGGACGATCGTATTCCACGCCGCTTTGGACTTGACTTGCTGCCAGCGGCTGGTGAGACCGAGCACCATAGCCATGGGATGGATGCTGCGCCACGGGCTGCTGTGACGGTGACGGATGGAAACCCTGACTGCTCACTGGACGGGGCCGAGCATCGTTACGGCTGTTCATAGCGCCAGCATGGCTCGAAGGAGGTTGAGGAGATGCGGGCCGGTCTGGCTCAGGGCTGAATGTATCGCTGGGCAGCGTGCCGCCCCTGGTAGCCGTGTCGAACTCGAGCGATTGTGACCTATTGGAAGGTATCAAGCTGCTAGCTCTTGATCGCGGTCTGGACGCGGACGAAGGGGAAGGTGGAGGTAGAGAGGGAGCGTAGGCGTGCCATGCTGAGGATAGATCCGAAGAGGAAGAAGGTTGCGCTGCCGTTGGAGCAGGAGAGGTGGCTCTTGAGGGCACGCGCGACATTGTTGCTGCTTCGATGGCGGATATGCCCACCTGCTGTGCTGAGCGAAATCAGTCCGACTTCCCCAACGAGTGTGCTCTTACCGGGCGACTGATTGCAGACGCATCGGGGCGAAAGTGAAGAGGCAGGGACTAAAGTGCGGTCAAAGTTCAAGAGCACGAGATGGTCGTTTGCGCTGATTTATGATGCTATGTCGAGCGGCGCTCAGCCCGGTCATCTAAGCGCACCCTTGGATACCGGGTGCGTGACTACGCGTCGGAAGTGGAGATGTTGTGTCGCACGCGACCAACGGTCACCTTGTTTGGCCGTTGCGCAACCCAAAATGAGCCGCTGCGCGCAGGCCCAGCGGGAGAGACATATATGCAAGAAAGCGCGCAAAACGTAACCTCGTCCGCTGCTATTGTGATTCTAGAACGACTGCTTGCCTCGCATATATGCCACTCGAACTGAGCGTGGCTCTGGGCTTGAGCACATGTCGAAGACTTCATCTTACGATCGTGAATCACAACCTGACGAGGATGCCACGCACGCAAGAGGCGCCAAACCGGTTTCAAACGCACTTGCAGTGTACCAGCAGTCTTGTTGGTTAACAAAGTCATCCATTCGAAGCGGGTGTTTCCTGGCTTTTGGAGAGCGTCTCTGTAGTACAAGCGGTATCGTAGCAACAAGGGCAAAGGCAAGGGAGATAAAGTGGTGTGAAGCTGAACGAGCGACAGATCTTTTTGGACATGTCATTACCGCTGAAGAAGGGGTTACGCGATGTAGAAGAATGGCGCACGCATTGCTATTAGGCACAGAGCAAGCTGTGACCGTTTTGTCCGTATGCGCACATTCTGATGATCCGTAATGTCCCCAGCGCGAACAAAACTGATGACAACGTACGAGTCAGGCCGAGTAGTATTCAAGGGATCCATCTAGGGGACCCGAGAAATGCAAAGCTGATTAACGCGAAAGCACCTCGCGCGTTGGTAATTTAGAACCAGTTGCCAAGGTTTGCGATCCCCTGTTGGATGATTTGAGTAGCCACATCCACATTTCCTCCCGACATCCAAGCCAGCGCTCCAACACCGAGGGCGCTCACAGTCCCAATAGCACCAGCGGATGTGGCCAAGGGGCGATGGCGCACCACTCCAGCGCCTCGTCTGACTGAGCGCACAATGACGTTGCTCTGATAATCCTCATCGTCTGCCAAGTGGTCAATGTCAGCGCTGGCGTTCTGATCCACAGCGCGTCTCTTTTTGGAACCTCCACGAGAAGATACGCTAGCTTGGGCTTCTGCTGCTAGTGCTTTGGCTTGCTTGATATCTGCCGCGATCTGAGCGTCCGTCAGAGGAGTCGTGGTGCTCTCTGACTTGACATCCCCATTGGGTGCAGTGACTGTGCGAGTGCGAATGATGGCCGGGCTGCCGTCAGCGGTGACAGAAGCCGTTTCGGTCTCCTCGACCTTGGTGCGCGCGCGCTTGGTGCGTGCAGTGCTAGGCGTAGAGACAGTGTCGTTCTTGCTCGGAGTGAGGAGAGGTCCAGCGTCGGAATGCTCGGCTCGAGCCTCAATCAGAGGTTTAGCGAATTGTTCGAGTCCATATTCTTCAGCGACTTCAATTGCATCTGCGGACGGAATCCAGATCCCCTGCAAGCGTACCCCTGTGCTGCCAGTTCCGTGAGATTCCGTTTCCGCTTCTTCCTCGCTCTGCTTCTTGGGCCTGCCAGGCTTACGCTTCGGCGTAGCGGCTGGCTCACGTGGCTCTCCTCCATTGGCTCGCTCGGCATCAAAACGCGATTCCAAGTAAGCCATCTCGGCCCGCTCCTCTGCACCAGTCGCCCAGGGAAATGCGAGACGGAACATCGATGATGCTGCGACCGCATTCGTGTCAAATCTACAGCACATGGAGAGGCCAAGTCTTCCACCAAGTCAGCCAGCATTCATGCGTCGTGACGCGTGTCAAGATCAGCCTCGCCAAGGGCTCACCGCTTCAAAAGGAACGCGTGGTCTGAGCCATTGACAGTAGGAAGCTTGACGCGGCCAATGATGATGTTCCTTTCGAGACAGAACGACGGTGAATTCCATGTCAACTGGCGAGCCGATCGCATGCGGGCCGCAGTCTGACACGTAGCATACACTCACTTTCCATCTCGGCGGATCACTTGCAGCTTGACGGGCACATCTTCGCTGGGCAGCACAGGGTTGCGCTTCACAGGCAGAGCTGGGCGCTCGAGTTCCTCGTGATTGTTCGCAGCTAGAGCAGAAGTAGAACTCTTGACAGAAGCTCGACCTTTGGAGGGGGACTTTGCGGTCTTGCTGCTGGATCGAGCGCTCCTGGTAGACCCAGCCGACGCGTTGGATGCGACTGAAGAAGAGCGCGCGCGACGCGGCGTGGTACGACGGGAGCCGCTGGGCATTGCGCTTGGGGCACGGAGGAAAGGTGCGTGGGTATTGATGTCTTGACTTGGCGTGAAGCGGTCGTGATGATGGCAAGCGCTAAATTCGCGTGCGTGCGGTGAGGAATGATGCGCGGCGCGTGGACGAAGTGTGATGGTGGTGAAGTGGATGCACGCCTTACAAACTGGTGGATTGAGGATGGCGCGTGCTGCAATCGTGAATGTTTCTTTTGGGCCCACAAGCGCGCCAGGCGCGATGCGTGTGGTGTTTGAACACGCGCGCGAACCCGTCGCAAAGACGCGCCTAGTTGATGCACGCGCGCCGGATCTCGGTGTCAAGGCAGCGCGTGAGCCTGCCTGCCTGACTCCATTTGGACTCAGAGCTCCAAGAGCTATCACGCAGCAGATATGCGTGCAGCCATGCGTGCAGCCATGGCGGCCCATCCTGTTGGGGGACCACATCTGCATGTCATCACCTCTTCGCGGTGTACCTCACGCACACGTGTAGCATCAGAATATTCGCGAAGAAGGGAGCTCTCGTGTCTCTGGATGGACGTCGGTCACGAGACGCGCTGCTGCCCATGCAGGTGCGGTATCCCTTTCTTATTAGTGTCTTGATTTTTGATTCAAAGATCCACCGATGTCGAAGCGACTTCTTCCAAAGGGCAATCGAGCTTCGAACGGAGGAGAAGAGTCTACTTCTCTCTCTCACGATTGCAATCTCTCAAACCGACCTTGGCGCTTGCCATCCGCGCCCCCTTGCCCCCGGCGGCGAGGCTTAGAGGAGCAGCTATCGTCCTCAAACGAGGTCCAATCGCTCTTCAAGGAGCAGGTAAGCGTGGAGCAAAAGTCCCAAGGGCCAGCGAAGCGAGACGCGAGAGAAATGTCGCTGCCTCGAGTGCGCTCCTGCAACACGCCTCTCCAGAGGCTGTATGCTGCGCAGTGCCACACTTGTGGCCATCGCGTTCAGCGTGGCTCAACCATTTCAGGTCCAGGACCAATCCCAGCGCTTGGCTTCTCGACGTCCTCCATGAGCTCAAGGAATTTCATGTGCAAGCAAATGCACCGGCTATATGGATACTCTCTCTGTTCTGGTGCAGGTCCCTCACAAATTCGCGCAAAGAGACACTTGTCATCGAGCCGCCTTGCTGCAATAGATGAATCTCCATCCATGGTGCATCCTTCCGTCCCCTCCGGATCGATCCTCAACACGCTTGATGATCGAGGGCTTCTGAAGGACGTGACGTCCTCGAACGTATGGCAGCACCTTGGTGATCCCGAAGGGAATCCAAGGACAATCTACTGCGGTGTAGATCCGACTGCAGCCAGCCTGCACATCGGCAACCTCTTGCCGCTCCTAGCGCTCTGGCATGCTAGAAAGGTCGGGCACAGGGTCATAGTCGTTGTGAGTAGTTCCGGGAAAGCACTCGTATAAGACGAATGTGTCCGCTCACATGCGCTTGCCGCCCTTCATTGCATCGTGCGATAGATCGGAGGAGCGACGGGCATGATAGGTGACCCGTCGGGCAGGTCAAGCGAGCGAAATTCTCTAGAGGCTTCGCTGGTCGAATCGAACGTGCAGCGCATCACGGCCCAGGTACAATCCACGTTCCAGACGATGGACGATTGGGCAGAGAAGCTTGGTCTGGGACGATCAAGGGGAGAGTTGGTTATCAGGAATAATCGAGAGTGGTACGAAGGGGTGGGCATCTTGGACTTTCTCAGGGACGTAGGCAAATACGCCAGGATCAGTAAGATGATGGCACGAGACAGGTGAGTGGTCATGTGCGGCTTGGTCAAGTCAAACATCTGACATATCGTGAATCATCGAGACGCTGACACCCTTCTGCCTCCAAAAGCGTAAGGAACCGATTGACTCCAGAAGCAGATGCCGACGATGCGGTGGGGCTCTCATTCACAGAGTTCAGTTATCAGCTTCTTCAGGCATATGACTTCCACGTGCTTCAGCAGAGAGAAGGATGCACTGTGCAGATCGGCGGCTCGGATCAGTACGGGAACATTATGGCAGGTGTGGAGCTAATCTTGCGGATGAGATCTCAATCGCTTGAACCCGCCGCGCAAGTTGACGCAGCTTCGTCAGACATGCGCGTTCCCACTGTGGCGCCCGCGTATGGGATCACAGTACCGCTGTTGACCACCGCGGACGGGTCAAAGTTTGGGAAGAGTGCCGGAAACGCAATCTGGTTGGATAGGCAGCTGACGAAGGATTTGGATCTGCACACTCATTTCATGAAGTCGGCGGATGAAGATGTGGCAAAGTACCTGCATACTTTGACTCTCTTACCCACCTCGGAAATTCAGTCCTTAGTACAGAGACACAAGGGGATGCCGCAAAGGGGCGAAGCGCAGCAGACTTTGGCGACTCAAATGCTAGGTCAACTTAGGGGTGAAGATTCCATTAAGCGGACGAAGCGCCAAGCAAGAGTACTGTACAAGACTTCAGTGGAAGAGATAGACGTAGAGGAAGCCCTGGAGCTCTTCCAGGACGATCCTAGGTTGATCAGGACCACAGTGGGAGAATTTACCAGCATGAGTGTAGCTAGAATGGCTCACGAGTATGGCTTGGCAAAGTCGGGTTGTGAGTAGTGCATTGCCCGGCATGGACGCTCCAGATGGCCAGTTTCATCCTAATTGATTGTGTCTCTTTATATTGGCAGCGGAGGCGAGGAAAAAGATGAGCAAGGGTGCGCTCTGGATTAATGGCGAGAAGCTCGATGATCCTAGGCTTTCTCTTAAGCTCAAACACCTCGCTCCACAGCGAGACGGAAAGACTTATCTCGCGCTTGTTAGCGTGGGAAAGCAGAAAAAGGTCATCGTCGTGGCTACGAAGGGAGATGCAAGCGCGCAGGAGGTACCGGTGCTCGAGTAGACCAATTGCTCGCGCAGGATCGAGCATCGAGAGCAATGTCACATTAGGCCAGAAGAACGATCGAGGCATGTTGCTATAATCTACAATAATACAGATACAATGGGCAGTGACACGTGTCGAGGAAGGGTGGGAATGCGTATGGCGTGGCTAGTGGGCAGCAAGGGGAGGTCAAGCGTGTGCCTAGCTGTCTCTGATCGGGTCGCTCGGTGGGTAGCGTCCACCGAACGATCGCAGTAAAAGGTAGATTCTGTTGTGAAGACTGAAGCTGGAGGGGGTCCCATACGGTCATAGCAGCGTCAAAGGCAGCCGTCGCAAGGGCAAATGTCGGGAGTGAGGCGATGAGGATGGAGGCTCAAATGCGGCGGAGGCGCTCGAGAAGACGAACACGTCGAGACTCTCCAACAAGCTTCTTGGGGCGTCAGAGCGAGCGTCTCTGAGTCTTTTTCCTGCTTCGCTTTGCAGTCCCGCTCTACAGGCGCCCTCAAATGCTGAAAGGCAAAGCGACTGACAAAGTCGCTCTTTTGCTTCTTGCCAGGACGTGGCGCTTGTGCGGGAGCCTCCTCGGGCTTTTCAGCGAGGCTCGAAGCGCTTCCTCTATACCTCAAGCCCGTTCGATCTTCGAACCCCGTTCCGATGCACGTGGCAAAACAATGAGCCTTGGAAGCCCATCCTCTCATGGAATGGCGAGGAGGTCTGAGAGGCGGGATCAGCTCGGCAAACCGCTCTTCTGCGTCGAAGTCGGGAGCACGCGCATGATTGGGGCGCGATGCTATCGGGGTGCTAGGCAGATGAATGGCGACACGGGTCACGCCCTCGCTTTCAGCTGGCTGCTTCGCATCTACAATGTTTGCTCGACGAGTTGCTTCAATCTGAAGGCGATGTTGACCTAAGGACGACAAAGATCCTTCTTTGGTGCCCGCGCGTGGAATTCCTCGAGGCTTGTTGGGCGCGCAGATGTCTTCTTCCGGGAATGTAGGCAAAGTGGTCGTGGGGCAAGGTGTTGCGGAGGCTACTACGCCAGAGTCGCCTGACGAGTACCGATTCGCGTCCTCGATCGGTTCCTCTTTCGCAGCTCCGCTGGCCTCTGATTCTGCGTCATCGAGCTCTTCATGCCTACTCTTCGCAATCAACCCTCCTTCCGTGTACGAGCTCAGGCGCAGAGGCTCGAGAGCGGGCAGAGGACCGCATACATCGGCCCACCAAAGCGTCTTCTCTCTCTCATCGGCCAGCTTTGACTTCTTGAGCTGCTTGCATGTAGTCACGACAGCCGTGGTAGAGCCACCTGCACCGGTTGAGATCTTGGGGAGCGTCTTCAGTCTCGTCCGGAACCGTGCTGTAGGTTCGAAGAGTCGAGGAGCGGACGCCGACAGGGGAATCGCACTCGGATGCAACAGCATTGATTCGGCGGATTGATAGGCGGCCACGATCGACGTGGTTCTCGGGCTCTTTGCGCGTGGCCCAGGCATTGGAGCTGAACTCTCCGATGCAAGTCTGTCGAGAGCCTTTGGGAATGGCGGGGGCGTAGTGCAAGTTGTCGAACGCTGCGTGAGAAAGAGCAGACTGGAAATTAGGGAAAACATGGGTTATGGGTTGATGTCGTTGTCGGCAGAGAGTGAGCACGGGAAGATCAGAGGTGAGCAGAGCATGAGCTGCAGCTCAGGAGAAGCAAACGGTGCGTCTTGGGTCGAAGAGCAAGAAGCTGATGGATATCAAGGCGCACTCGTACTTCACGCTCGCATCTGGGCTCGCTGCCATAGGGTTCTCCAAACCTGATGGCGGGCAAGTATCCTGTCAAATCGAGTTTGAGCTCTAGGAACCGGCGAAGAGAAAGGGCAAGTCAGCCTGCTCGTTGGTGCAGCACTACGCGCTCATGTCCAGGGAGCAAGATGTTGCGTCCGACTGTGGATGATCTGGCTGGGCAAATGCCGAATGTGTGAACTGACCAAGCAAGATGTGGTGCGTTTTGGAAGCTTCATGCTCGAGGTGTGCCGGTCATGATTGGCGTGTCGTGAGAGCGGCAACCAGCGAGGCTGGAGTTGTGGCGGCGGTAAGCGAGCAAGCGCTGGGCACTCGAACTATCCTTTTCTTCGCCGCTGTCTTCGCATATCAGCCTGTCCTGATCCTCGCAGCCTTTGGGATCGCGCACAGGGTCGAGCGTGTCTACGGGTGGATGCAGGCACAAACGGGTCGGTCGCTTTTGCTTGCATAGACCGTCACCCTGAACCTCTCTCTCCGCGGCATAGCAGGTCCGATAGCAGCCATTGATGCGCCTGACCAGCATCCGGCCATTCCTTCGCGACTTGGGCAACACTGTCCAAATTGACGACCACGTCAGCAGCAGCAGCGTAATGCATGTGCGAATTTGCGTCGACACTGTACAATTGCTGTATGGAAGACGATGGCGGTAAAGTGGCAAAGGTGATTGCGCACGCGATGAGTGTACGATCGATTTGTCTCGCAATCATGAATGAACAAGATGCCGCAGCTTCGTGACTGCTCTTGACCTTGATTGGCCTCGTTGCTTGCAGAGCCCGGCTGCTCCGCCCCCTCCCCCCGCACAAGGAGCCTAGGTCCGCGCACCAGCCAGCGCATGCATCGCTCGGGACTCGAGTCTCTCGCCGCGTGCTCATCCTGAATGGCGGTGGCAGACTTTGGTCACATCTCTACGCGAGGCATGGCGACCTTGCTGTCATTCACACTCCTTTTCGGTGGATGCTTGAGACCCCGCGATGCGAGATGAAACATTGTGATTGTCTGCTGATGCTGCGTGTTCTGCGGAAGAGGATGTGATGGTGCGCAAGCACGATCGGGCGGCCGCGGGATATTCGTGATTCAAGATTGTCATGCATGGCTGCGCATGCACATCACTCGAATGCATGCATGCAGTCATCAGGAGTGCTAAGATGAGGGAGATGAGTCACGAGTCGTGAGTCGTGAGCGAGCTTGCGGGAACTTCACACCTTGCCATTCACATTCACGATTGGATTGCGTTCTGCTTGCGTCGTGTCCATTCACGATCGCGATCGGCACACACTATCTGCGGCCTGGTGACCCTCGCGCTTCGCGTGCCCTCGATCCAGATAAGCATCAACAAGGGTCGCATCGTTTTCGACAAGGTGCATCCCATTCGAGATTGGTGATTGTATAGCACACTTGAGTAATTGCCAGCCAAAGGTCGTGGTCAGAGTGCAGAATTGATCTGGAGGGGTGCATCGTTCAGCAGTCGTGAGTGTCGAGCAGTGGAGCAGAGAGCAAGTTTAGCAAAGGAGAAACGCAAATTGAGGTGAGCCAAAAGAGGTCGGTTTGCATTTGCGAAGATGCACAAAGACGCCAGCAAGTCTTTGATGAGATGCGAGCAATGCGAGGATGAGGAATTCGAAAGGCATGCCTGCGAAGGGTATGCTACGGTCTGCAAGCATCAACTCTACAACTTCTTCGTGCCGAGCAGAGACTGCAGCAAAGCGAGACCAGCGCCAGGTTGGTCCTGCAAAACAACGAAGCGGGAATGAGACTTGTGAGCTCGCTGTTGCGATTCGGGCTCATCAACCGTTTTTTTGCAGAAACTCACCGCTGGAATCATGTGACCGCTCTTGTACACCTGAGCAAACGTCAGACCACGCTCAGTGACGAAAGAGCCGGACTGAGCTCCGTAAGCATCGATGAATTGCTGAGTGGGAGGCTTGGAGAAGCCTTGTTGGCCCGCCCAGGTGAGGTTCTGCAGACCAATGAGGGTACCGTTGGTGATGATGAGAGCATCCTGGTTACCTTGAGCGATAATCAGTCCGCTCTTGGACTTCTCAATGACAGAGGCGAGGTACGTCTCGTCGGGAGGAGGGCTTGCATCTCCGTTGGGGAAGACCGGTTTCTTGGCGCACTGATCCCACTTCTTTTGAACTGCTCCCTTCTTGATGGCGTGAATGGCCACTTGGAGGTCATAATTGTCAAAGTAGGTAGGGGTGGAGGTGGGGTTGTTGGGATCGCCAAGAGGAGAAGTGGTGAAGGGGCTGACGCGAGAGCCATCCACGCGGTACACATTGTACATGGCATTTCTCCTCGTGGCCAGCTGGTCGAACAGCTCCCAAGGGGAAGTTCGGCAGTTCAAGTTGAGCGCGGGCAGCTTGCCCTTGGCGGGGTAAGTGAGGTACTTTTCAATGTAGCCCGTGTATCCGCAAGTGTCGGAACGGCGCTTGATGGCCTGAATGTCAGAGTCCTGGAAGTACAGGTTCTTCTTGTTGGTTGGGTCCTTAGCAAAGTTGTAGATGACGACATCGCTCTGCAAGGTCTGGTCAGTCACGACACCATCGACGATGTAGCCGCCGAGCAGGCCAAATTTGTTGCCATCCTTGTAGATGCGGTTCATGATGGCAGGAACATAAGCGCCGCCGTAGCTTTCACCAGTGATGAAGAACCGCTTTCCTTGGCCAAACAATTCGGGGAAGGTGGCCTGGAAGTTGTTGAGGAAGCCAACAAAGTCGGCGGCAATGTCATCTTCGCTGCGAGCTGTAGGCGTTCCCTCCGTGAAGCCTGTTCCAACGGGCTGCTCAACCCAGACGACGTTCGCGTCTTTGGTCCAACTGTCCTTGGAAGGCTTGGGTCCGCCCTGAGTGGTGCTCTGGTAAGAGATCGGGCCGTTCTCCGTCAAAAAGCCGCCGAGAGATGAGCAGCCTGGTCCACCGTTGAGCCAGACAACGAGATCATCAGATGGCGTCTTGTCCTTGCCCCAAAGCCAGAAGAACAGGTTGCGAGATTTGTCAGATCCGGTAGGGAGCAGACCGGCCCAGCTGGTGGGAACGGTAAAGTTGACAGTGGGAATCTTGTTGGCCACTTGGAATGGCGCTGCTGCGGGACCGAACTTGAGCGTGGAAGTGTTGTTGGTAGCATCAGCAACGGTTGGTGCAGCACCGACATCGGCGGCAATCTCCTCGACTGCGGGGATGGCAACGTCGAATGCAGGACTTGCAGCAGCACTAGAGTCGACTTGGATGTTCGAGGACAGTCTCTGCTTTGTGGAGTGGGCGTTGGCAACGCGGTTGTAGGTGTCCATCACCTTTCCGCCGCGAGGACCCGCTACCTCTTGTGGTGCAGCAACACTGCCATCTAGTGGCGCCGCCACAGCCAGACTGGTGAGGGCCAAGGAGGAGAGGAGAGCTGCGACCTTCATGTTGGACAAGGGACTATCAAGGAGTGGTGAATGAGGGGAGGATGAGCTGCGGGAATGAGCGAGCAAGCCTCGTGGGGGTTGGACTTCTTGCCCTATCGATCGGGCTGCCAGGAAGGGCTTATTTATATCAACCGACACTAATGCTAGCACTGCGCAGGGAACGCGTATGATGGCTACACCGGACGGTGCGGGCGTCGATAGCGAAGCTCTCGTCTCCACGAAGTGCCCTCGGCAATTTCATCGGTTCACGATTGTCTGCCCCTCGATGCCGAAGCAGCAGCACGAGGTCAGAGCTTGAGCTAATTCGCAAAATGTTCATACCGCTCCTTTGACTCCGTTCTTTGGGCGCAAGGGCGGTCAGAGCTATGGGCAACGTAGTACGATCTGATGTGCGGCCCAGGTCTTCGCCGTCCGAGCCGGGATATCTGCATGCTGAAGCGCAATCAGAGCAGTCACTTCGCCGAGGAACATCCCAAGGGTGTATCTTGTTGTGGAGCGGCTTGCTTCGTGAGCCGCTTTGAATCTGGATCATGCGGTCGGGACCCCCTCGTCGCGAGGTTCAAAGGCGGTGCAAGCGTGTGAGCTAAAAGCGCACAGAAAACCGCGCTAAAGGAAGGTGAGAAGAAGAGAAACCAGCGGAGCAGACGCGCGGAGAAAGGTCAAAGTTCCGCTCGCGATAGAGTCACGCTAGAGCACAGACCGCGCAAGACACACAAGCCGCCCGCCGTCGTCCGCTAGCAGCTAAATCGTGTGCATGGTGCTGCAGCTGTCCGAGCCGCTGATGCCATAAGAAGTTCGTGAATGCAGAAGCGCTGCGGGCGGCCTAAGAGATCCCGCCGGCGGTGCAAACAAATACATCTTGACCGCTATAGTGAACACGAATGCAGCGGAGAGAGGCATGATAATGCTGTGCGGTGCAGGGGAGCGATGTGCATGCATGGCTGCCAGACGAGATATTCTTGATTGGAGTTCGGGGTGGAGGGCGAGTGGACTGACGAAAGGGCACGATAAGTGACTTGTGCCACCATGCAAATGAGCGCGAAGTTGAGGTGGTTAGCAGCGGAGGCGCGTCAGCATCAAATCCACATGGATCAGGGTGATGAAACATGCAGCAACCCTCTTGCGATATCAAAGGTAGCATCGATGGCAGTCGCGTGAGTATACGTATAGAGAGGACCATTGCGGCGGTGGAGGGGCGGGCCGGGCCCTCTTCGATCAATCGCGCGAACGTCGGTAGTCTCAGAGGTTTCACCCGCCGCATTGACCACAATATGTTTCAGTGTAGCCAAGAGTAAGCAGAAGTATACGAGGGAATCTTGAATAAGGCTTGCCTTGCGTGAATCTTGTGAATCAAGGTGCATGCGAGGATCCAAGCAAGCAAGTGTGCATGCAGCATGCACATGCGTGACGCGAGATGCAACGCTAAGATGCGCTCCGCCGCGGGGCCATTTGTGTGCGCCGTAAAATGGGACTTGCTTGCCCCACTCGTTCAGCGCAATCCCCGCGGGCGCTGCTTAATCACGACTTCTTCGTTGTCGCCCCTACAAAAGTCACGCGAGTGTCGCGGAGCACCGCATATGAAATTCGAGCAATTTCAAAGTCGAGTGCTGTGAATCTCAATGTCTGCGGTCCGAACCCCGTCGCATGAAATAAACTTCCTGGCACAATGCGCACGCATGGCCCTCGGACTGTTCTCCGTTGAGATGATGATGACGCAAGGCGTGCGGGTAGGGCTTCGATAGCAAGCACGAGTCGGAGTGTCTATGTTGTAGCCACGATGTCTCCTGAAGACATCCGCGGAGGCCGCTTTCTGCCTATACAATTGCCCAAGTCTCGAGTCTCGTTTGCGATTCGTGATTGCGATTGCGATTGCTACGCGGGTGTCGAGTGAACGTGTCGATGTTTCTCCCCGAGACCGATAGCGGGCGTGCGTTCGACACACTCGTGATTCGCGATCTCAATCAAGAATCGATTCCGAATAAGCCACCCCATGAATTTCGGCACAAGGAGCCGCCTGACCGCGTGGCTGAGCGGCTAGCTGTTCCAATTAACACTTTTGTGACAGAGTGGTAATGAGAAATCAAGCAGTCAAGTCACGGCGCTGGTTATGAGACTTGCTGTGATCGAGGATGGAAAGGCTGATGCGTGCTGCTTATTGCAGCTATAAGCAAGCAAGCAAGCAAGCAAGCAAGCAATCAGAGCATCCATCTCGGACCGAATCCGATGACGAAGACGTTTCAAGCGCAGCTGCATGGGCTACCTAGAGTCATCGGTCTGGTATGGGTCGGCTTACCCGGTACTCCCTCGAAGCTCAACGAGATGCTGCTGGTGAGCACGTGTCGTGTATCAAGTTTTGTTCATCACACGTCGGTCGCACCCTTCAGACCACCCACCTCTCACGATGACGTTCTCCCGAATGGTTCGCAGGGTGTAGGGGTACGCTGCAACCAGGGAGCGGCGGCAAGGAGGAGCACGTCATCTTCGTCCTCACTCTTACTCGTGACTCACGACTGTGCTGGAATCTACTTCCTGCAACAGTGTATCTTGGAGCACCGCTAGCATGCATTCCCAGTAAAAAACCGCGCGCACGGACTTCTCGCAACTTGCTTTGTGGCAGGCCCATGCAGCCATGCATGCACGGGATAGTCATGCCGTTCGTAAAGTTGGTCAAACAGGATGCGTGGCTGCGATGGAATGAGTCGAATCTCGATTGTCGTGCACACCTTCGGCATCCTCGATCACCTTCGCGATTTGCTTGATATATGATGTCTTCTCTATCCATCTTCACATGACGCTCATCTAAGGTCATATGGACTCTTGACTGTGACGCAACGAGACGTGGATGACTCGTCGGGTGGCCTCTCGAGATCGAGAGTGCCAACCTGGAAGATGGACTCCATTCGTGATTGAGCGCGATTCGGGGTGACGGCCGGAGCATGCAGTGATGACATAGCTCTCAGACTGATGATGCCCGCCCCTCCCGCAGCTTGCTCGCCTCTACCCCGGTTCTCTATGAATGGCGCTCTTTCGTGGCAGAACCTCGCAGCTGCAAGGAATGCGCGGTACGCGTGTCCGTGGGCCAACGTGGGCAAGCAAGCTTGAGTGCGCCACCATTCTTGTGGTCCGTCAAGGATGAATCAAAGACGAAGGCGTGCCTTCGCAGCCTTGCTCCTTCGTCGAGCTGTCAGCTCGCTCCCTGGTCTGGCTCGATCATGTGTACGGCAAGCTTTGGGCGGCACACCTGCCTGGTGGTGTGCAGGACTCAAAACTGAGCTCAGAGCTCCACCCGAAGTAAAGACGCATAAAGCTCTCCGGCATCTCTGAAGCGTCCGTACCTCAGCGCAAAATGTCGACACTCCACGATGCATGCCAGGTCCACTTCGCTGTCCTCGTCGGTATTTTGTCCATAGGCGCCATCACCGTTCGGGAGGATATCGTGGCTCATCAAAGCCCTGATGAACCTGCACAGCTTTTGTTGTTGGCGCACAAGTCTAGCCGTCAGCGAGCGTGCTGATGCAAAGTACGATGGTGCGCTTGACAGCGCTGCACTCACTCTGCTGACAACTTCTCCTACGCGCTCCTGGTCCATCTCGCGTTTTTCTTCGGCTTGCTCCACGTGCGCTATGACGCTCGCCAGCCAGCCGCCCAGCGCGATCGTTTTGCTCAGTCGCTTCAGTGTCATCGTGACCTTTTGCTCGTTTTGACTAATCGACATCTTTACTTCGGACGTGAGCAAGCGCATGAATAGGTCCAGGGAACGCAAGCTCGGCTCTAATTTTGCCAGCCCAATAAGATGAGGAATCGCTTTTGCGGCTGATTGAAGGGAGGTGATGAGCCGGACGACCAGCGATGGTTGATTGTGCGACGCAATGGAGCACATTTCCGCTGGTTGGATCAGATCGGACATGTCACGCAAGGCTGTGATCATGAGAGTCAAGCTCTGCGATACGAGCGAGCGAGGCGTGAGCGATGGGTCGGAATGTGGGAGATGCATCCAAACAGAGCTGCTCACCCGCGTCTCGCCAAGATTCAATGCCCTTGTCCGAGCAGCAGAAATCAGAGCGATTGCCTCTTCTTGCTTGCCACTAGCATCTTGTCTTTGAGACGATCTTCGCTCGGCTTTCTCAATCAAAGTGAGAGCAGAAGATTGGCCGAGTCGGGACAGTGTGGCGGCATCAGCTCCGAGTATCCCGTCGATGACGACGCTGACAGACGGATGTCGTCCGCTGACAGAGCGAGCTCTAGCGGCGAGCAAGGTCGCGAAAGGATGCAGTTGTGTGGGAGCTGCGCTGTATGGCCGATGTAGGAGCCAGGCAATCGTGACCATGAGAGCTGCGGGCAGGTGAGCATCGCCTGCACGTGTCGTGTCATTATGTAGCCTGTCTGTCAGACCGTCAAGCAAGCTGAGAAGGCTCAAACGAGCGTACAGATCGTGCGCATAGCTGGGAAGTTCGAGCGAGCAGAGCTCTTCCTTCCCCTGACCATGATGCAGGATGACTTGGCGAGCTGTCGCCGACCATGCCTCTAGTGACGGAGGAAAAGTTGACCGGATGGAACCGGGGCTGGAGCTACTGGCTGCAGCCATTCCAGCACCTTTGTGGGAGGCAGAGTCTTGGGAGACTTTAGGCCACGTTGGACCTTCTGCGAGTCGTGAGAGTGACATGTCAGGTGGGAAGAGTGAGTGTCAGCCTCCCGACTCGAGTCGCTGCTTCGCGTGCCAGCCCTTTTGTTTGTGTGCAGGCCTGCCTGGGTGCTCAACATTCCCTTCCGTTCCGCAACGGAGCAAAAAGTTCGCGCTGCGCCAGCTCTCAAGCCTGGACACGTGACACAGCAAAGCGTGAACGCTGCTGCACGCGCGATCAGACCTCGCTATTGTGGCCGCCGTCTTGCCTCCTTTGAGCGTCCACCTGGCTGCCCTTGCACCCATGACTTGCGAACACCATCCGCTCCCATATCAATCAACCCACTCGATCCATATTGGAATCTTGTATCGCGCTGTCACAGAGCTACCCCAACGCTGCCATTGCTTGTGCGCAATGGGAGTCATTCGAGGTCCCAGCTTGGCGCCCGTCGCAGGGTCCTCTGCCACCGCCTCAACCTCCAAATCTGCTGCAACGTCTAGCGCTGCTTCCACTGCCCAGTCGACTTACAACGATGCTGCATACGCCTACGCTTCCTTGACGTTTCAAGAAGTGCTGGAAGACTTGTCCTCGCGATTCATCGTCAATCTGCCCGCAGAGGAGCTGAGCTCCATCGAGAGGATCTGTTTCCAGGTCGAACAGGCGTGAGTGGGCGCTGAGAAATGACGGAAAGGGAGGTAGCGCTGCAGCGCATGCTGGTTCAGAGACACGGTGCTTTCATGAGCGCAGATGCATACCGGAAAGCACGCCGAGACTGAGAGTGCCTGATTGCTATCGCCACGCCTGCATAGCCATTGGTTCTACGAAGACTTTTTGCGACCTATCAATCCCTCGCTACCCTCGCAAGGCCTGCGACGCTTCAGCGGTTCTCTGCTGCAGGCCTCTGCGCAGACCGTGCCTTTGATTCAGCAGTACACCTCGGGTGGTGCTCTGGATGCCGTCTTTGACGATTTCATGAGGTACAAGACGAGGGTGCCGGTCTGCGGCATTGTTCTCCTCAACACGACGTGGGACAAGGCGAGTGTTCACTTGTGGGCGCGCGCTACATAATCTGTCGGAGCTGATGTGATACGTCTCCTTCTGTAATGCCGTAGTGCTTGCTGGTCAAGGGCTGGAAGTCATCATCCGCTTGGGGCTTCCCCAAAGGCAAGATCAACCAATCGGAATCGGAACGAGATTGCGCTGTCAGGGAAATGCTGGAAGAGACGGGCTTCAATTGCGATGAGCTGCTGCCCGGCAACAGCGCCGAGTACATGGAACTCACTATGCGAGAGCAAAGAATCAGACTTTACATTGTTCCAGGAATCGAGGAGGAGACGAGATTCGAGACTCTGACTAGAAAGGAGATCTCAGTGAGTGCCGCATAGCAGGCTTCAACAGCAGCGTGACAAGGTCGTTTGCACGGCATGGTTCGCCAAACCTTTGTGCGAGGTGCACAACAGCTAACGTTCTAGCTCGACTCCTGTGACGCCCACGCAGAAAATCGCGTGGTTCAAGCTCTCGGATTTGCCGACGTGGAAGAAGCAGAAGGAGCCTGCCGCAGGACTCGGTGGCAAATTCTACCTCATTTCGCCTTTCGTAGGCAAGCTGAGAGCGTGGATTCAGGATCACAAGCACGCTTCCGTGGGCGGGGCAAAGACCGACCCGCTCGTGGAGAGCGAAAGAGTGGGCACACCCACCGCGCCCAGGGCCCACCGGCCGCCAGCAGGAGCGCCGACAGGGCCTCGCGCGCATAGGAACGGCAAGGGCAACTCGCCGGCGACGATGAGAGATAGCATGGAGGAAAAAGCCGTGATGCGCTTGGATCCTAGCTTGCTCTTTGGAGATGCTAGTCAAAGCGCTACTCCTGCCTCCACCAACCCCCCCACAGGTCAGGTCATTTCTTCGAATGGTACTGGACCAAGGCAAGACGGAGGCCTGCTTGCTTTGCTCGGTGTGGCGCCGCCTCAGTACGATGTCAGTGCCAGCACTCGTGAACAGGGCAGCGGCCCTGGCTGTGGTGTGATAGGCAAAGGAGTGGATATGATCAATGCTGCAGGTGATCAGAGAGGCCGCGAACTGCTCGATCTTTTGCGCGCTGACAGCGGTGCATCGGGTCATGAGACGCGGACTCAGCCAGGAGCGCCCGCTCAGGAGCTCGACGAGCGGGAGCAAGGCACGCAAGCGCTGCTCGCCGCCCTCAATCTGGGCCCTTCTACAGAGGCTGGACAGAATGCAGCAGCGCCAGCGCCACCCCCAACAACCCCTCCATCGAGTGAAACTGTCCGACGGCACCGCGCCGAACCCTCGGCGCTGCTGGCCCTACTGCGAGGAGAAATCCCCCAGAGCCGGACGGACACGGGTCTTGCGACACCGCAACCAAATGTGCCAGCTGACCAAGCATCTGGAGGGAATAGCACAGCTACACCTCTACCTGCACCACGAGCTCAAAACACAGCGCATGCTCAAAGCCTCCTCAATATGATCGCAGCCAAGGGCTCCTTCTCTTTGCCGGGTCCGTCAGGCTTAAGCGATGCACGTGCAGAACAACCCGTCTCTCCTTATCCCGACAGCGTGCATCGACAGTTGGAGCATGCAGCCCCTTTTGGCCAGGCAGCATCGAATCAAGAAGAAGCCGCACGGGCAGTCAAGAGAGAAGCTCTGCTTGCTCGGCTTGTGCAACCTGCAACCTCACAGGTACAAAGCCACTCCCAGTCAGCTGGTTATCACACTGCACTGCCGTCGGAAATGCAAAGCCCTGCTGCGCCAGACTTGGACCTTTCGAGCGTCGATCCCGCGCTGCTTGCCAAAGCTCTCGGACTCCCATGGCCTCTACCGCCGCACCTCGCAGGCGTCAGTCCACAAGAAGCTCATGAGGGCCATGTTGTACAGACGCCAACCAAAGCTGCGCCGACACAAGCCAGGAACCCCGTCTCGCCACACGTCCAAGAGGCGAGCAACTGGCTGGCTTCGCTGCAGGCTCAAGCGGCGCGACAAGCGCCTCAGAGTCAGACCGATCAGCCTTCGTCGATTTTGCACGAAAGCACGCCGACGCACCAGCTCCATCCTCAGATGTTGCCACCTTTGCCTCCTCCGCCCCATATCGCTCAGCTGCAAGCCTCACTCCCAATGAAGGAAGCGCATACGCATGGAGCGGATTCTCGGAGCGCCCTTCTCCAAGGACCACCGCAACACCTTCTCTCGCCGCACCACGGCTCAGCATTGCCGAATGCGATTCATGTACCGCCTCAACGTCAGCCCCCTCTGTCCGCTAGAGGAGGAGCTCAAGCTCAAGGCGTCGGAGAATTTAGATTTCCTGCGCCTGGTAGTCTGAGCGAGGGCCCAAAGTCGGTCGATGCGCCGAAGGCTCTGAGCCCCTCTGCTGCACGTCGGCGACAGTCGGTTAGTGGAGGAGCCAGCGGTTTGCTGGCGTTGCTCAACGGAGGCTCGAATGCCTCTCCTTCAACATCGCACTCTCCCTCTGCTCCTCATGCACCAGCAACAGCGACATCACACTTGCCCTTGCATCTGTCTTCTCCCTATCGATACCCACAGCCGCCACCGGTTGCGCCGCAATGGTATAATGGAGCGCCGCCTCCGCCTCCTCTTTCATCGCATCCTCAACCTCCACCTGCGCCTTGGCACAATCCTCCGCCTCCAGCCCAGGCAATGCTACCGCCTTTCGGGTTTCCTCCTGGAACGCAGCCACCTCCGGTCTACGCCATCAACAGCCAGCCCGCTCCACCTGGCCAGCCTGACTTCGGCGCATCTTTTGCTGGTCAACCTCCAAGGACGCACGGCTAGCTGTCTCACCTTGCCGACATGGGCGCGCGGCTCGCTAGTCCTCGCTTCTTGCTGATCATGCTGTCATGGGACACAAATGGGCATCGTTCAAGGTCTGCACACGTGGAGTGATTCACTGTTAACCGAACAAATGCGGGCATCAACGAATGAAGGATGAGCAGATGTGAGCCATGGGTTGGGCGTGTGTGGTAGGCTGGATGATTGAGAGAGAGACACGAGGGATGTTGTCCGGGCAGGAGCCAAGCAGGGCGGGCGTATATGAATCATGAAGGAGTCAAATGAGCGAGTAGTTCGGTACAGAGAGAGCGACCGATGATCAGGAAGATCACTGGAATCATACTTTCGTGCCGTTTGCCTGCGCCTGAGTCGAGGTTGTCCGGGCAGAAGACGTCTTGCTCTTGGCGGCGGCAGCAGCAGCAGCGGCCATCTTTCTCTTCTTCTTGAGCATAGCTGAAGTGCAAAGGGCGGAGAAAGAGTGAAGCTAGGTCAGCCGGAAACGTTCTCCCAGCTTGTTGATGGATAGAAGGAATAGCACTCACCGGTCGCGACCGCACTCCTGACGCCTTCTACGATTTCCCTGCTCTGCTCCACATACTCGTGATCTTCTAGTCTCTGTCTTTTGCCGTTCTCGTTGCTTCCGTGCATCTGCGTCTGCCTTTCAGCAGGTCCAGCAGAAGATCCTTCGCCTCGATCGCGGCGCTTGCCATCTGCACCCTCATCCGACCCCAAAGGTGACGATGCGCCGCCTTCCAGCTCGTCGCCGTCCTCAACCAATCGCTTGGCTGCCTCGACGAAATCGGCCTCCCCTTTCGGCTTGCGACCCAACATCTTCTCCAACTTTGCATACTTTTTCGCCTGCGCTTCGTTGAGAGCTGCTTCGCGAGCTGGAGCTTCGGCAATATACGCAGCCAGCCTAGCGATGAGAGTAATTCCGAGGAGAGGTTGATGAGCATGCCTGGGTCCGGACGCATACAGGCAGGGTGTCCCCCGAACGAGCACGCTAAGACTCACTGCTTGGCCTGCTTCATCGTGCTGAGACGTCTACCATTCAGATCCCTGCATGAGTCCGTATTCTGGTCTTTGCCTTTGGCGCTCATCTTGCCACCCTGCGCTCGGAGCATACTCCCAAATCCACCTTTGCCACCCCTCAAGCGCGATCTCACTTCGAGCTCTACATGGCTCGCCCTGTCATTCGTGTCTCTTTTGACAAAGGAAGACAGCGAGCGATATGGACATGGTGATAGACCATCCAGAGTCGTGAGACGAAGAGTGCAAGTCTTGAAACAAGCGTTCAGAGAAAGCGAAAGATCGCCTAGCGTGAGATGAGCTGGGAGAGAAAGACTAAGTGTGGATGGAAGAGGAGCAAAGGTGCGCAGCAACACGGAGACGTTGCTGCTCTGCGACGCAGACTCAAAGCCGCAGCCTAGACTTTGAGACGGCATTATCGAGCTGGTCGCAAAGTTGAGTGTCGTTGCTGCCATGTTGCGCAAGTTGAAATGTCGAGAGGTGTAGGTACGGGCTGGTGGCGTTCGAGCGACCAGTGGGTCCTGGCTAATGCTTGCTTTCCGGAGCGTTGGCGACTCAAGATAGATGTTCGACGGTGGTGTGCTGCAAACCTGCTTGCGTGCGGCTGAGGTCCAATGCGAAGCTGATGATGAGTAAGCGCTACTTGTGCGAAAGAGTGGTGGCCGCCAAGCAACCGATCTGCTTCACAATCGCTTGGTGATGGATGATCGAGATGATAGCATGCGCACGCATGCGTGCACCCTTTGCGGAGCGCGCGTCGCTTCCGGCCGAGAAATCACCGTGCGTGAGTCTACCCAATAATCAAGAAATGACGAATTGTGCCCCTGCGCGCGCCTCCACGCTCGCTCAAAAAAGTGGGAAGCTGTTGCTATAGCTACGGCAGAAGACTCTTCTTGGCTCGCAACTTGCTCTCCGCCAACGACGACAGCCACAACTCAAACAATCAACTTTACTCGTCTCGGAACAACTGCCTTGGCCTCGCCCGCATACATTCGAGCTCACTGATCGTCGACTGGCCGCTCGTGCAGCTTGTCTGCAGCACCTTTGATTCCAAGCATTCACCCCGCTCTACCTCACGCTCGCGCGATGGGTCGATATGCTGTGTTGGTGACCGGTCCAGCGGGCAGCGGCAAATCGACCCTATGCACTTCCCTCTTGACGCACGCCCAAACCACGGGTAGAAATTTACACCTGTTCAATCTGGATCCTGCAGCCGAAAACTTCGAATTCAAACCCACCGTGGACATCAGAGATCTGATCGGATTAGAAGATGTCATGGAGGAGATGCAATTGGGGCCTAATGGAGGGCTGGTGTATTGCTTCGAGTAGGTCCCTTGTGAGGATAAAAGCTGGGCTGGAATCAGCATCTCATGGACTGTTCGCTGCCCACGTCACCAGATACTTGCTAGAGAATCTCGACTGGCTGGACGAGCAGCTGGGTGCCTTTGAGGATGATTACCTCATCATCGATTGTCCAGGTGAGCCCTCTTCTACGCCGCATAGCGTGGCATCCGTACGCATTCCCACCATTCTGAACCTTTTCTGCACGCGCGCTCGCCGCAGGTCAAATCGAATTGTACACGCACACGCCTCTCATGACGCGCTTGTTGACAACGCTGCAGCAGACCTACCAATTCCGCCTATGCTCCCTCTACCTCGTCGAGTCCAATTTTATCGACGACGTCAACAAATTCTTTGCAGGAACGTTGAGCGCTATGAGCAGCATGATCAACCTGGACTGCAGTCACATCAATGTCATGAGCAAAATGGATTTGGTCAAGAGGGGAGAGACCGCTCAGAGGACCAAAGGCGGCAAGAACAAGAGGGAGCTTGACAGGTGAGAGAGGAGCGTTCATGTACAAGTGTCGGATCCAGAAGGACACGCGCTGTAGCATACACGCAGCTCATCATTCTGAGGATGACCTTCCGTGGCAGATATCTCGACCCCGATCCTCTACTTCTCATGGAAGAAGCCAACGCCTCATCCAATCCCAAGTTTCATGCCTTGAACGAGGCGATAGTTCAGTTGGTGCGTTGGGCTTGTCGTTGACCAGATACCTTCATGGGCACATTGCCTCATACCTACCCCATTCCCCCAACACGTCAGATCGACGACTTTTCGATGGTCTCCTTTATGCCGTTGGACGCGACAGACGAAGACTCCGTGGGCTCGCTCCTCAGTCACATCGATCACGCGATGCAGTACGGGGAAGACGAGGTGAGTCGACGCACAAGTGAGCAGCGTCACTGGTACAGCGCCGAGCCCGCTTTGGTCCCTTCCTTGCACCCTCGCAGGAACCCAAGGAGCCAAAGGATATGGACATGGGCGATTTCGAGGATGCGTGAGCTACAACAGCGTCGCACTTCAGACCTCTTGCCGCGTCGTCCACAGGATGAGCGCGTCTGGCTCGAAATTATAGCGGCGCGCGTGCCGGCTCTCGACGTCTTGGCAACGATCCATGATCTGCAAGGCTGCCAAACTCGTCAAGGGCGTGGGAATGCGGCGAACCCGAAGCAACACGTGTTGCTCTCAACAACTTGCTCGCGCGTTGCAGTATCGCATCAAGACGGGCAGGAACGCGTCTCTCGTCGAGGCTTCATCTGGCACTCGAGCACAGCTTACCAGGTGGCTGGGGCAACCCTACTCTGCATTCGTGTACCAACAGCCTCGACTCAAAACCCTTGCTCAGCATCGACGAGTGACATCATGTAGAACACCACGCAATCACCACACGCTCTAGACACCCCACATCACCTGCGGTGGCACGCGCACGTTTTCGACTACGCAAAGAATCATTGCGATTGAGTTTGCCTTGAGGTCGGATGAAGTAGCGTGGCATAGGTGGATCGGCTCTAGATTGCGCAGAGCGTTCGAGAACGTCTATTGCGTCAAGACTTGAGTTTGCATTTACTGCGAAGGTGATGGGATGATAAAGGTGTCAGATGCTGATACTGTATGGAGGCTGTGCGATCCTGCCGCCGAGCAAGAAGAGCTGCGCAGAGCTTGTCTGCAGAAGTCACGGGTCCAAACTCACGTCAAAGAGACCGAAGCCCATCTGGAAAATCAGGCACACGAGGCAAGTGGGAAGAATTTCGAGGTGAGCCAGACTGGAAGCGCCTGTCCATAGCTTTCCTCTTGAGCACTCACGTCGTCATCAGATTCCTCCTTCTCCTCCTCCTTGGCAGGCGCGGCCTCAGCGGCGGCAGGAGCAGCCTCCGCGGCAGCAGCTGCTGGGGCAGCAGCGGCAAACGCCGAGGGGTCGGCGAGGTAGGCCTTGGCCTGATTGTAGTCGAGGGCAGAGAACAAACAGTCAGCTTAGCTCAGCGCTAGACTGCGTGGAGGCGTCGCATCAATCCCCCCCTGAGATGTACACGTCGCAAACACCCTATCATATCCATAACTTGTCTGGTCCTCGGCCTGTCGGCCACTCCGAATTTTCAGTGTACTCAAGAAATCCTTTAGGAAGGCTGTGTGTGTCTCTCCGTGTCTTTCCCTCGAGTCCTTTCGTTTGCCTCCAACTCACCTGGGCAGATCCCTCAAACTCGTAGTCAGTTGCAAGCGACACGGCGAGCAGGTTCTTGTACGCGTTGACCAGGGAGTGGCTGACCGACACGATGGTGGGGTAGTTCAGAGCCAAAGAGATGGCTGCGATCTGAGTGATACCCTGGGCAAACCTGTCGGTGAGCGTCTTCTCCTCAACGTCCAGAACACTCGAGTCGAAAATGGCTCCGTTGTCGTAGATCTGCACAACCGTCATTCCGTAGGTGAAGGGAGAGATGTTGAGCATGTTGAGCAGGGTGGCCTCGGAAGAGCCAACACGTGTTCCACCCTCGACGACCTTCACGTCAGACACGATTTCGATGGTACCACGAGCAATCTTGGTAGGGATACCAAGAGCCTGGAAGAAAGAGGTCTTGCCTGGTTCCATACCAGTGTTGCCGGCAGGGACGAAGACATCGGCGGGTGCGTAGGCACCAGCACGTGCAGGAGCAGCCACACGGTTGGCCAGGATGGAGGTACGAACATCCTTGAGATCTCCAGAGGTGAAGACGAAACCAATGTTTCCCTTGACGTGGGGAGCAAGCTTCTCGAGCTCGGGACGCTCGCTGACGATGAGACGCAGAGCTCTGCGAACCATAGTGTTCTTGCCCATCAGCACAGTCGCCTTTCCACGCAGAGACTGGCGAATCTGAGACATTTGGGACGATCCGACGTTGTCGACATTGACGATGAAGATGGAGGGGTACTTCTCCAGGTACTCGTTGAGGCGAACGAACCAGGCCTCCTTGCTGTCGCGAGAGACGCCCATGGTTGCTGTCGGTTGGTCAGGTGGGATAAAAGTTGTTTCGAGCTGCGAGACGAAGAGCCACCAGTGAACGCGGACCGGCGGATCAAAGGAGATTAAGGCTCTTCAAGGTTGTGCTTTGTTCAGTATGGTGGTGGTTCGCTGCACCCAAGCTGCTGATCTGCGCTCAGAACTGCACACCGCGCCAAACCTTCCCGTGAGTGCGCGGCAAGTGCGCTGCGGTGCCGGCCTCACGCAGTGCCCTGGCGCGAAGCGCGACTCCACCGAAGGCAAGCCACGTGGTCAGCGACGCGCGAAGATCAATCAAACGGCATGCGTATCACGCTTCGCGCCTATAGCGTGCAGCTTGTGCGCGCATGAGAATCGTGAATGGAAATGCACAGTTGAACACCCCTGCTCGGCTTCGACACACTCGCCCCAATGATGGCAAGGGGATTTGTTCGCGATAGGTCGCCTGCCATTGATCAGGCTCTGTTTCAGTGACATGTACAAGAGATGGAATGCATTCGCGTGACTCTGTAGACGATAAGCTTGCCTGATATAGGGTGGAGCTTTTTCAGGTGACAATTCGGGAGTGTGGCAATAGCATCGATAGCATTGGGTTGGAAGTTCGAAGATGCGAGCAAGCGGTGACCTCAGTCTCCTCTGTAGCCTCGTGGGGCATTGACGACATGAGCGATTCTATCCTTGGCGCTGAGCACCTGTTCCTTGGATCCGCGAATGATGACAAGACCGTTGGAGCCCTTGGGAATGTTGATTTTCGCACCACTCGCCTGTTCATGCTCGCGCAGCGCGCTACCTTGTCTGCCGATCAATCGGGGCACGACAGACTGGTCGACCGTCAAGCGACCTTCATGCGTCTCTGCGCTGGTGCCAGACACAGCTTTGAGAATGCGCTCCGCAGCGGTCTCCAACGAGGCTGCATCTCGCGCCGAGAGTGTCCAGCTCACAGTTGCCGAATCTTCTTCGCCGATGCTGAGCTCGCTGAGCTCGAAGCCAAGATCGTCGAGACCGCTGTCAACATCATCGTCGATGTCGATGCGTGCTGCGCCACCGAGTGGAGCAGGGCCATCGCCATTGGCAGTAGTGGAGGCGATCTTGGGAGCGTTGACAGAGACGCCTTCCTCGCGCAAGGAGCGCGAGAATTGGATGAAGAGCTTGCTGCTCAAACTACGCGGCACCTCTACGGTCTTGGTGTGACTGGTAAAGCGTTCCAAGATGTCTTTTGCAGCTGCTTTGCAATCAGCCTCCTTGCCTTGCAGCTTGACGACGGTACCTTGAGCAGCGGCAGCCAGCTCAGCCTCGTTGATTGGCGCCTCGCTCGACTCGTACTCGCGATAGGACGGGAGGATAAGACGAACGTTGTGCAGCTGCTGAACTTCGCGCACGCCGCCTTGCAAGGAACGCTGCGAGGCAGCAGCGACGACGACGCCGTAGACTACGCGCGAGCCGAGTTCAGCGGCAGCCATCTCGAGCTCCTTGGCGACTTTTTGCGCAAGATCGCCAGGTCCGCGGATCGTGACGACGTCGGCTGCGGCCGCTTTGTCTCCACGCCTGGGAAACTGGACAAGGGAAGCATTGGCGCGGGGATCATCCGCCGCTTCGCCAGCCGCGCGAGCAATCAGATCGCGCAGATTTTGGCCGCCTGCACCGAGCAAGAGTCCATGGTGCTTCGCGGGGATGTCGAGCTGGATGGTCTGCTCTGCGTCGACTTCCTTGGCGATCGAGAGGATGGCACCCTTGGCAGCTGCGACGGCATCTTTTGTGCCTCTGATCTTGATCAGCGTCGTGCCATCTGAGGTGGTATCATCGGCAGCGCGATCCACATCGATCTGAGCGCCAGTATCGTCGCGGAGCTCTACCAACGTAGGAACAACATTAGCAATCGAGATGACGACCCAGACCGGCCACCTACGAAGCACTCACTGTTTACCGTGGAACCTCCTTTGCCCATGATGCGAGCTATGCTCTTCGTGCTGACTGTGATGTTTGTCGAGTGGTTGTTCTCCTTTTCGAACTCTATCAACTCCAGTAGCTCGCTTCGAGCGGCCTCAGCACCCTTCTTGCCTCCTCGAATCGTGACCTCGTCGGTCTTCGCATTTGCATCGCCTGCTGTAGGGAAGTTGATTCTGACGCCGTACGTGTCTTGCAGACGCGTGACGTACTTGCCGCCTTGACCAATGATGGCACCGTGCATGGAAGCGGGGGCTTTGACAGTCAGGGATGTCTCGTCGGCAAGTTGGGCAGCTTGCGCCTGGAGGCGCCTCAATGCCTCTAGCACGTTCTCCTTGCGACCAGTGATGGTGACTTTTGCCTTGGTGTTTTTGACAGGGCGCTTGGAAGTAGCCGCATCATCTGCCTTGGCCGCGCCATCGAAATCTACGCGCACGCCCAGCTCTTCACGCAGCTTGGTCACAGCCGCTCCTCCCTTGCCAACCAGATGAGGAACGTGCGTGGCGTCCACGCTCAATTCTTCCACGTGGCCATTGACGATAGCGTCGTCGACGGCGTCCTTGGCCACGCGCTTGAGCTCTGCTACGACGCGCGCCACCTCGCTGGTTGGCCCGCGTACCGTGATGGAGTCTTCAGAGGGGGTCAGACTTCCAGTAGCGGACAAGGCCTGGCCTAGCTTGACAGTGACGAGTCGTTCCTCGCCGATGATTGCGTTCAAGGTGGTGCCGTTGGGACCCACAAGCGATCGATGATGTTTCTGCGGGACAGTGATCACCTCGGATTTAAGATCCGCAGCAAGACCGGCAGCTTTTGAGAGCTCCTGCTCGACGACATCGAGCAAAGCCTTCACTTCCGCATCTCTGCCCTTCTTGTCTACCGCGCCCAAGGATCCATGGACGACAAGTGCGACATCTGAGCGCCCTTCGCCTGCTTGATCACCAGTCGGCGCTGGTGGGAAGAGCACATCGACACCCCTCTTTGAGTACGTGGCGAGTCCACTGCCGTTCTTGCCAATGATGAAGCGATGCAAGAGAGGGTCAATATCAATCGCTCGAACGGACGCGGGGCTGAGAAGCTTTGCACTCTCGTCAATGCTTGCTCTTGCGGCATTTACAGCTTCGCCATCTGAGCCGACGATTTCGAGCTGCACTGAGCCAGAGCTCTCGATGATGGCGGGTCTAGGGGTATAAACCTGCGCACCAGCAGTGCGAGGCAGCTTGCCCTTTGTCTGCAGCCAACGAAGGATGAGCTTGGCGTGCTCGACTCCGCTTCCTGATTGCCCTCGATGGTAGCTGGTGAGGTCGACTACCTCGACGCGAACAGCGTTCGCCTTTTCCATCGCAGCCGTCAGCGCGAGGGCCAGCTTCGTCTGAGGTCCGCGGATAGTGACGCTGTCTGAGGGATCATCGATGGGCGCCAGCTCCACACTGCAGCCTGTAGAAGCGAGAATATCTTGTGCTGCATCGCCGACCAGCAAGCGGTGCTGACGTTTGGGGATGCTGATTTGCAAAGTTCGGAATGAACGCTTCATCTCGTCCACTTGAGATTCAATTGTTGCGACGACGCGAGCTACTAGGTCACGATCGCCGGTCACGACAATGTTGAGGTCGCGCACACGAGCTGGCTTGCCTGCGTCCTGTTCCGCTTCCTCCTCTTCCCGATCATTGGGTGCCAGAAAAGCTGCCCTTGGAGGTACGCGGATGCTGACATCGCCCTGGCCCACCTCGCTCTCGAGGCGCTGGGCGTTGGCGTTGCGAGCACCTGCAATGAAGGGATACAGGATGTGGTCGATGTTCGAGAGACGCTGCGTCGTGCGGCTTGTACGTTCAGCGACGAGCGCTTGGATTTGCTTGACCGCAGAGCGCGCATTGATCTCGTCTCCATCGATCGTCACTGTGATTTGTGGCTCTGCGTCGTAGTCGATCTCGCCATTGGCGGCAGCACTCGGGGCGTGAGCAGCAGCGCCAGGATCACCTTCCTCCGCTTTTGGAATATTGATGCGCACGCCAGTAGAGTCCGTGATTGACTTGAGATTCTTGCCTTTAGCCCCAATGACGAAAGCTCGTAGAGACGATGGGATCAGTACCGTAAGAGAGACCTGTGGAGGATGGGGAAGCGTTGAAGATCAACCTGCCAGTGTTGTTGCTGTTCAGACCAAGAACCCTCACTCACGTTCTTCGCGAGCCCTACAGTGAGCTCTTTGCGAGCCGCTTTGACCTCCTTTTCGTTGTTGCCCTTGATGACGAAAGTGGTGGTGCCGGTCTTGCGGGTGGAGCTGGCTTCGATCTTGATGCTCTTGTACTTGGATTGGATGCGCGTCATCGTGTGACCCAGCTTGGCATTATCAGCGGGAGTGGGCACAACGAAGCTTTCCTGAGCCTTTGGGCGAGAGACGGCCGGCACACTGCGGCCAGGCGAAGCACCGGCAGCAGCCGACATTGGCAGGCGTGCGCCCCATTGGCCTTTGGCTGCGGCGGGTGCTCCTCCGAGCGATGGGAAAGCAGCCTGAGAGTCGAAGTCTGGCTGCGACTGTGCCGATGGTTGCATAGGGTGAGGCTTGCTAGGAGCGGCAGCAGAGGCCGCGGTCTTGGGTGCAGGGAATGGATCTTCCGAGAGGGAAGGAAAGGGGTCCTGAGTCAGATTGGTGCTTGCGCCAGAAGGCTGTCCTGAGTGTGCGGGGGCGCCACCCGCAGATGCAGACCCATGCGAATTGGTATTTCCATTGAGATGAGCCGTATTTCCGTTTGCCGTGTTCGAAGAGTCGACGATTGAACCAGGAGTTGCTGCCTGCTGCTGCTGAGCATGCAGAGCTCGAAGTTCAGCTGCCGATACCATGGTGCGGGTGGAGTGGACCAGTTACTACAAGGCGGGGGAGTTGCGACGACACAATGACTGCTTGTTGATGTAAGTACAGCAGCGTCAAGGTTATGTGAGCGGTGGATGCCTGGAGCAGAGAAGGTAGGTGTCGATCACGAACAGGATGGCTTCACCCCGGCCAAGTAAAGACTCGTGACTGTGACTGCAGCAGGCGCTCTTTCTCGCTGGCTGCTACGCATGCATGGCGTCGTGGACTGGATGCTTTAATTGCGCTACAGAAGACGTGCTCGGCGCCCGCGTGCTGCACCGCGCGGGTGTGTGCTGGATCCATGCATGCATGCACATGGCGCACGTCCACGTCGACACGAATCTGGAACTTTTGCGCGCGTGGCGCACACCAACAACAACTCATCATCAGCCACATCATTTGACAGCTCCATATACAAGGAGCATGCGGCAAGATTTACGCCCGGGACTTCAAGCAACAGTCTGAGTGTGAGCTTCGAGGACACTGAAACAGCAGCTTCGTGACAGCGTGACATTGTTCGTGGATATGGCAAAGCTCCCATGTCGTGAGTGGGATCGATTAATGGTCGAATGTGTGCACGGTTCCTTCTTTCACGCGGTCGATCGCACGGGCAGTCGTCGATATTCAAATGTCTTTTCACATTGACTGATTTGTGCTTTACGATTAAGAGGCTATGCAACAGAAGACTGCGCTGAAAGAGCTTTTGCAAATTTTTGAAAGAGTGGATGAGGCCATTTCGAAAGGCGCGTGACATTGTGAACTGCACTCGAAAGCTCATTGGTGCCCAAGCGATCGCGCTGGTGTACTTTGCGTGCGTGCGGAATTACTCATCCTCTACCGTCGCCTTTGTTGAGCGCTTTTTGACGTCGGACGCGTCAGCGACGGCAGTGGATTTGGCCTTTGGCTCATCCACCTTTTTGCCCTTCGAGGCAGTCGATGCCTTTTTGGCAGGTGCTTTGGCAGCTCCACCACCACCAAGCAGACCGCCGAGCAAGCCAATGAAAGCGAGACCACCAGCGATAGCCGCTCCGATGCCACCCGCGACATCTGGCTGGGCTTTAATGGCGCCGACGGGGTCTTGGCGCGCAGCTGCGATAAAGTCTTCGAGTTTCTCGCGTACCTGCGCAACGACACCAGGTCCACTAGCAGCCTTGCTAGCCTTCTCCTCTTCCTCCTTCTTGGCAGCTTCCTCCTTCTCCTCCAACCCTTGCTCAACTTTCAGCTTCTTCGCCCAAGATTCTTCTGCAAGGGTCTTGGCGTCCTCTACGCTGTGTCCGACGTAGATGTTGTCGAAGAGAATGTTCTCATCCATGGTCCAGATCTCGTACCCAACGGCAGCGATACTTGTGAAATGAGAAGGCTCGAGATCCTCAAAGAACTTGGGGTTGGGGATCTTTGCCGGCTTCCACTCGCCCTTGTACGCGGGATTGTCGATGAGAGGCGCGTTCCACGGGCCTTTGAAGTCAGGGTTGCTCTTTGATGGCCTGATCCAAGGGCCACAGCCGGGCGCCGCTGTGCACTTGGGGTTGGGTACCAGTGCAGCCGTCCATTCGCCGTCTTCCTCGTCGTCCCACTCCTCTGGCTTTTTAGCATCGGGATCCGGCACAACTGCGGGCTCGTCATCCAGCCAGCCTTCCGGCTTCACAGCGTCCTCATCGGGAATAGCAGCTGGGGCCTGCAATCGACAGCCGGCTCGTCATGAGCTTGGTATGCCTCAAGCGTTGGGACGTGTACACTCACATCTTCGTCCCAATCATCCGGTTTCTTGGCATCAGGGTCAACGATCTTGGGAGTGTCGACCCAGTCAGCCGGCTTCTTGTCCTCGGGGTCATCTGCAGCGAGAGGAGCAGCAGACAGTCAGAGTTGTCCCGCAAATACTGAGCTCGCACGAGAAAAGCTCACCGATCTCTTTTGGTGGGTTGACAGGAGGCTCAAAGTCCTCCAGCAAGCTACCCTTCTTCTTAGACTCGTTGTTGATCAGGATCTCGTAGGTTTGATCAGGGCTTGGCGCAGACATGTCGGTGTTAGCATAACGTGCAAGACCGAGATGCTGCCCTACTCACTTGACAATAAGGGTGTAAAGTGCGCTGGTTTTGGCAAGCTTAGGATAAGGAGGATTAGCGAGGTGCTTCTCCTCCAGCTCTCCAGTCTTTGGATTTTTGTGTCTGAAGATGAAGTGCACTTTGTTCGTGGAGCCGCACTGGAGTGGAAGAGGGAGAGTAGTGACGCATCAGCATGACCATGCGCTGAGCTCTTGCCCTGTCAGCCGTCGATCAGCAGAGCTCACCTTGTCAGGGCCGAACATGATCGTATATCTGCGGTCGTACAAATGACAGGTGGGCGGACTTTGAGCCAGTGCGTCTTGCCTCTACCTCTGCGCCTGGTGAAGGACTCACGGCGTCTTGTCGCTGAACTCTTTCGCTTGGATGCCTTCAGGACTTTCGCTGAGGAGCTTCATGTACGCTCCACCGCAAGTAAGACCATTCTGGAGCTTGGTCTCGTACTGCACCACGAATGGCTTGCCCTCCTTCATCGCCTTTTTGACATCGACAGGTGCAGGAAATTGGGCAGAGATGGCGTGCTGCGCTGCCTTGGACTTGGCAACCAGCCCAGCGTCTCCCTCGAGACCTGGAAACACCGTCGGCTCCTCGACGCTCCATTCACCAGAGTAGGCAAACACTTCACCTCCTGACTGCTCCTTGGTGGATGCAGAGGGGGACCATCGCTCGGACCAGTCTCCAGCGAATTGCTCTAGGAAGGGCGCCTTGATGGAAGTGGGCTGTGATGCGAGCAGAACTCGCCTGAGCGAGGGCGCCTTTGTAGCGGACAGGAGAGCGACTCACGACAAAAGCTGGACGCTCTGCCTCCACAGCAGAGGCAGCCACGAGGACTGCACCGATGGCGAGTGCTGCGTGCGACTTCATGGTGGTGCGATTGAGTCGCCTTTTCTTGCTTGCTTGCGTGATAGAGAGCTTGAGCAGCGAGCGTGGGGCCAAGTGTGCGGTCTGGGAGATGGGATGGTAGTTGTGCTGCGAGAGTGTGGCTTCAGCGTCTCGCAGAGCTTTCGGATATCCGGTGATTGCTGGACATTATAATGACGAATGAGACAACATGCACCTCGAGCCTCGCCTCGCCTTCATTTGACTCACACACTCACGACTCACGACTCCAAGCTCTAACCACGCGTGCATGGTCCTCGTCGCTCACGCCATCGTCGCGCCCAGCCATGCGTGCATGCAGCCACGCACGCTTCGGCATCCTTCTTGTGCTAAGAGCGCGTGGAGCGCTAGCAGCAGCTGCATGCACGAGCCTTATTTTGGTCGCAGTGCCACGTCGGCAAGCGTCTCGTGAGTTGCTCGGCCGATAAAAAGCAAAGAGCTGAACACGTGACCCGCATGCTCGGTCTGCCGAACGCAGGCGCCGTGAGTCAGAACTCACGACTTGACTTATCATGGCAAGCAAGAGCACTCCACCAGACTCACACTCAAGACTTGCACTTCTCTTCAGGCTCTCAGCCTGCATGGCTGGCCCATCAGAGCTTGACATGTGGCACAAAGGCTCATCATTCATAGGACTGACTGATTTGAGTGGGCACCACTGTTTGCACGCAATGCACCGCTACATCCTGATGAATATGCTGCGACCACGCACGCATCTGTTGCAAGCTCCGCGCCTGCTGGACCGCTTTGAGGGAGGGAGATTCGTGATTCCCTCTTCTTTCCAGGAGTTTGGCTTGGATTTGCGTCGCCTTCTTGCGCATGCGTGCGAATCTCGAGCTTGTCTCCTCGCTTCCGCTTCTCCTCCCTTGTTGCAGGCGATGACCGGTCGATCCGTCGGGCACGTCCCTTTGGACGTCGGCTGCTGGGCGAAGCTTGTCTTGTTCTCTGGCATCGCTCACGATGACGCGGATGAGTACGACTTTTGAGCATCGCGAGCGAATGGATGAACCATGGATTGAGTGAGCCGAACACCAGAGCTCCCACGGCCCCGCCGCTGCGACCGTCACGACCGCTCCCGCAGATGACTCCCATCGTGCAGCCTACCGCTCGCAGGAGCGATGATGATGATGAAGGGCAGTCTCACGCATATACCGTACCACCGACGCATGCCACACGCGTTTGCGCGCCCGCGAATCGGCGCACGTGAGCGGCGCGCAGCGGGGCTTGCAGCAGCAGCAGCAGCAGCAGCAGCAGCAGCAGCCCAAAAGGTCGAGCCCCTGGATGGCGCGCTCGCAAGCACCGCACCCACAGGACCTGCAACGCAAGTCGAGCGGCCAATCGGGATCGAGGCGCGCGCCCATGATCGAGGTTCATTCACAACTCGTATCTCCAAGCTCCCACACGGCCGCCACCTTGACTGGAGCGTCCTCGACGTCCAACACCCTCGCTTCTTAATCGCAGACGTTGTGCGAGCCTTGTGCGCGCCCACCGATTGTCACGTAGCGTGCCGCACATCGGCTCCTCTGCCCGAGACACCGCTAGCAAGCGGCCGCTGGTACCTCAGCGCATCCAAGGTCGCACTTGCATTCCCTATCCAGGGTAGGCGTCTCTCTCCGCGCTCCTTCCCGCCAAGCCAAGCGGCTTTTTGTAGTCTGCTTGCGCTCCGACCAAACGCTTTGCGACGCCGAGCGAGCGTCCAGTTGCGCATCTCCATCACACCACCGGCCTAAAGTTGTGCGATGGGAAACATCCTCTGTGGCTGTTGTAAGTGCTCGCTGTCGTAGACCACAGCACTCGTGATGCGCGCTGCGGGTACGTAGCTGAAACGAGTGGCGCCTTCGCCTTTGCTCCATAGGCGGTCGCTCGCGCAACGCTCAGTACGAGCCACTGCTGCTCGACAATGAGCGCGACGCTGTGGCCGACTTGTTGCAATATCTCGAGAGTAAGTGGGGGCGTCAACATGAAGCTCGTCCTAGCATGCAATCTGAGACAGTCCCACGTTTTCGCTACCCGCCCACGAGCAGATAGGGCAGAGACAGACTTTTTCACAGGCGACCCTCTTAGGTCTCTTTCCACCCTTTCATTCAGCGACAATGTCGACCTTCAGCGCAGCGCAGCCCTAGCGTTTGCGGAAATTACGGAAAAGGAGGTGCGAGAGGTGGGCAGGGATACGCTGGAGCCTATCATGTTCTTGCTGCAGAGCCATGATGTTGAGGTTCAGCGCGCTGCCAGTGCAGCGCTTGGCAACTTGGCCGTGAACTGTGAGTGGTCACGATAGGCAAGAAAGGGGTGCGGCGGGCGCTCGGCCAACGCGCTATTCGGTACGCGTCCTTTGCACGACATTGACCGACTCATCTCGCCCTACAGCCGAGAACAAGCTTCTCATTGTCAAGCTTGGCGGTCTCGAGCCTCTGATCCGCCAAATGCTCAGCCCGAACGTCGAGGTTCAGTGCAACGCAGTCGGATGCATCACCAACCTGGCAACTCACGGTGCGTCGGACGCCCAGAGCGCGCTCGATTGACCAAGTCACTGACAGAGCTGTCTTTCTGCAGACGAGAACAAGACCAAGATTGCAAAATCCGGCGCGTTGGTTCCGCTCACCCGCTTGGCCCGCTCGAAGGACATGCGTGTTCAGAGAAACGCCACAGGTGCACTGCTGAACATGACTCACAGCGACGAGAACAGGCAGCAGCTTGTCAATGCAGGTGCTATTCCCGTCTTGGTCGGTCTGCTGGGAAGTAGCGACACCGACGTCCAATACTACTGCACAACCGCCCTGTCGAACATTGCCGTGGATGCTGCCAACCGCAAGAAGCTTGCGCAGACGGAGCCGAGACTAGTGCAGAATCTGATCGGCCTCATGGAAAGCTCCAGTTTGAAGGTGCAATGCCAGTCCGCGCTGGCTCTCAGGAACCTCGCCTCGGACGAAAAGTACCAGCTCGAGATCGTTCGCAGCAACGGACTGCCGCCTCTCCTCCGCCTTCTTCGCTCTTCGTTCTTGCCTCTCATCCTTTCAGCCGCGGCATGCGTTCGCAATGTCAGCATTCACCCTCTCAACGAATCGCCGATTATCGACGCAGGTTTTTTGCACCCTCTGATCGACTTGCTGAGCCACGAGGACAACGAAGAGATACAATGTCACGCCATCTCGACACTGCGCAATCTCGCTGCATCGTCGGAACGCAACAAGACGGCGATTGTGGAAGCTGGCGCGGTCGAGCGTATCAAGGAGCTAGTGCTCAACGTGCCTCTTTCTGTGCAGTCGGAAATGACGGCCTGCGCAGCCGTGCTGGCCCTTTCAGAAGACCTCAAACCTCAACTACTCGAGATGGGCATCTGCGAGGTCTTGATTCCCCTCACTGCATCGCCGTCGGTAGAGGTTCAAGGAAACTCTGCTGCTGCTCTCGGCAATCTCAGCTCCAAGTCTGACGACTATGCGCCTTTCAATGCCGTCTGGTCGGAGCCAGAAGGCGGTCTGCATGGCTATCTCGTCCGCTTCCTCGAGAGCGCCGACACGACGTTCCAGCACATTGCAGTGTGGACAATCGTTCAGCTGCTCGAGAGCGGTGATGCTCAGCTCGAGCAGAACATTCGCGAGTCTCAGCACGTCTTGCCTCTTATCAGACGCTTGTCTGACACGCCCGCAGGCAGCGAGCGGGGAGGTTCCGCCTTGGCAGGGCCCAACGCGGATGGAGGTTCTGATGATGGTGGGGACGCGGAAGGCGAAATTGCCAGCCTGGCCCGCCGGATCCAAGACATGCTTCTCGACGACGGCGGTGCGTCAGCCAGCGCATCGGATGCGCACACCGATGGCAGGTGATCGCGTCTCCCCTCACTGCGTGGCCAAGCCACACACACTGCGAGGGCCTTGGGCACATGCGAGCGTATCCTCATGATCGAGCGATTGTTCCCACGCTCAACCGAGCTTATTCCTCTGGCGCTATCGCTCCATTCGAGCCCTTCTTCCTTACTGTTCGTCTGTCCCTTGCTTCACACGACACGCGCGCGCAAGACAAGACTGCGAATGATATTTGACACCATATGCATTCTCAGAGTGAAGAGTGATACAGAATAACGACTGAGATGCGCAGAGGCGCATTTCTATTGCGCCACGCGTCGCTGGAGAGACATTTGAGAGCACCTTTCTGTGCCCGCGCTGCGCGAGCTCGACGTCAACAAAGGGTGGGGGGAGCAGCTCTTGACACTCGCGCTGTCTTTCTTTGCCCACACTGCGCGGGCGCCGAAGGAACTCATACGCATGCTCGCTAGGATGGGTGAAATGCGAAGGACCATGATGCTGATTGCATCGCGCGCCAAGCATCTGTAAGGGCAGACGTGATGGAAGCTTGCTCGCATGATCGCGTGCAACGCCACTCGCCGTGTCCCATATGAGACCCGGGCGGACCCGGCCCCGATGCCGATGCGCACAGTCACAAGTCAGACTCGACTCTCGATCACGACTATTGGCTCGACGATACCGTTGAAGCGCCAGCGCCAGACAAGCATCACGTTGCATCACGTATTGGTTTGCACGCAGCACTCCCAACACGCGCGGCTGCAACGCAGGCCGGGCGACCGGACGATGCCGCTCGACGCTCACCCCTATTGCGCGTCACATGAAGTTCAGGATCATCGAGCAAGATATTCACGTCCTCGACACTTCACCACCGACATTTGCAACTGCAGTCACAGCGCTGGTTCCGTTGCATGCACGACTTGCCTCGCAACCTCGCGAGTCGTGAGTGCCTGCTCCAACATCTGCCTGCTTGTAGGTTCGCAGGTGCTAGAGCCAAAAGTCAAGGATGAGTAGTAGTGAGTCTATGAGCGCGTGTGCTCGTGGTTGCGGACAAGGAGTGATCGAGTCATTCATCTCGCACTCTCACCTCTCATCAGCCACACAATCGCCGACTTGAAGCTGCGTCGCCATCAAATCTCCTTTGCTGTCGTGCTCCGACTCGCGGCTTGTTGCTCGAATCAAAGTCGTGGAGTGGACGATGCAGGCGCGCGTTTGCATGGCCTCTGCGTGCCTGACTCGCCTGAAAGCAGCGTGCTTATATAGTCGCTCGATCAAGTTCAGACTCGCATTCGCATTCACGATTCGGTCTTGACGATTCGTGGTCGGATGCTTGGTCCACCGCCGTCTTTCCAACTCGAAGGGCGACTCGATAGCATCATCAGCCAGTCACTTGCTGTGCTCACCCCGTTTGGTGCTCGCGCGCGCGCCGCCGGCCTTCAATCGCTCCGGCGCCCCGCCGCAATCTCGAGTGACGAGTGCCATGCAGCATAGCTGTGCCTGATATCTGCCGCGCGCGCGCGCGAGCCCCGGGGTTCGGCAGGTGGGCTGTGTTGTCCTATATACATGCAAGGATTCGTAAAGTGCGAGCGAAAGCAATATTCAACACCAATTAATACTCTGAACGCGCGTTTGAGTTTGACAGGTTCAAAAGGTGCTGCTGCTGCTGCTGCTGCTGCTGCTGCAAGGGAGAATTCGTCATTTGAATTCGTGATTCAATGCCCCGCAGGAGTTTTATCAGGACAAAGAAGGCAAGCCTTAGCACGTCGCGCAAACGAGGATCCCAGCCGCGTCTCCACTCGTGTCGAATCATGCCATCCACCTTTCTTAGCGTTCCATCTGCTCTTGACGTTCCACCATCCACCTCCCCGGGACATCTACAATTCGCCCCGTTCCCACATCAAAGAGTTCACCGAGATCGCACCCCCGATCAGGCGTGCAACCTTGCCTGCGCTTCGCTCGCTATCCCAAAGCAGCCTGCGAATCCGCAAAGGACGCATCCATCCACAGCAAAACAAACGCCAAAACCCAATCAATCTCGCAGCTCCATCGTAGCACTTGGTGCTCAATTTCGCACAGGCTCCGTTTGTTTCTGCAACGGCGATGAAAGGGCTCAAAGATTTTCGTCGCTCTCTGAACAAGGACAGACAGTCGGGAGGACGTCCAGGCGCAGCGGCGCCTGCAGTCTTCACTGGCGTGAAGCACGCGGTGTCTATCCAGCCGCCCAAGAAGGTCATCAGAGCGACACGAGACTACAGGTCGAGAGCACCACAAGAGCTCAGCTTCTCAAAGGGAGACTTTTTCCACGTCTTGTCCGATGAATCGGGAAATCCAGAGTGGCTGGAAGCGACGAATCCGGTTTCGAACGCTCGCGGTCTCGTACCTGCCGCATACTTTGACATTCTCACAAATGCCAGACCACCTGGCGCCGGCGGAAGCGGCTCAAATCTGAGCTCGCCTACACTGGGAGGCCCTGCGGGATCCGTGAGAAGTACAGCCGCAGGTGCAGCCGTCACGGCCAAGGGTGGCGGCGGGCTGTATGCGGTGGTGAAGTACGATTTCTCTGCAGAACGTGCAGACGAGCTGGAAGCAAAGGCGGGCGAGCCAATCATTGTGATTGCTCAGTCCAACTTTGAGTGGTTTGTTGCCAAACCTATTGGCCGGCTAGGAGGCCCTGGGCTCATCCCGGTAGCATTCGTCGAGATCAAAGATTTGGCTACCGGCAAGATCGTCGACAATGTGCAAGAGTTGATCGAGAGCGGGGTGGTGCCCAAGGTGGAGGAGTGGAAAAAGATGACGGCCGACTACAAGAAGAATACGATTCCACTTGGCCGCTTCGACTTTGGAGGTAGTGCACCGGTCAGCAACTCCCCTTTCGGCTCAACAGACGTAGCGGTATCAGGCGCTGCCATTCCGCCAACCCCGCCTTCAAAGGACGCGGAATTAAGCTCGAGTGCGCGCTATGGAGACGTGCAACAGGGCGGCGAAGTTGAGGGTGCTGTGGAGCTGCCTGCTGGCATGTCACCTGGAGAACCCCTACCGGCGGGTTTGGTCACCTCTGCCACCGTGGACTCCTTCCACTTTGAGCAGGGCGACTATTGGTTCCGCATACAAGCTGCCCACGTCGCGCACGATCCCTTGCCAGGTACGGATCCTGAAAGTCGCATTCCGCGTGCGCCTAATGGGGAAGAGCGGGATTTGATCTTGTACAGGCTGTACGACGACTTTTACGAATTTCAGATTGCGCTGCTGGACCACTATCCCGCCGAGGCGGGTAGGGAGACGAGAGCTGATGGAACCCCCTCCGAACGAATACTGCCGCTGATGCCTGGCCCATTGGATGAAGTGGACGACCTCATCACCAGTCAGAGGAGGGTCGACTTGGACGCCTACATCGTCGAGTTGACCTCGCTGCCGGATTACATTCTGAAATCCGAGCTTGTGCGTCTATTCTTCGAACCGCGGCCGGGAGATCACTGCACCACCCACCCATTAGTCGCGGGCGCTAGTGTGGAAGGAGAGCTTGGAAAGGAATACAGTTATCTATCAGGCGCCCTCGGCAATCGCGCCAGCGTCGCGCAAGGTACTGGGGTCAGCAACGGAACCAAGTGAGTGGTAGTCGAAACGAGGGCAGGCGCATCGCATCGCATCGCATCGCATCGCATCGCTAGAGCTGACAGCTGAAGAGCTTCCCCGGGCGCAGCAAATATGCGGAAGACATGCCAGTGGGTAATCATGTCGACGACATGTCGAGGAGTGTCGGCAACCTCAGCATTGGAGAGAATGGGCAGCGAGTTTCGGGGAGAAGCAGCGATCTGAGAAGCGACACCAAGTCTGCAGGTTCCCATCTCAATCCTCACGGCTCAATGGCGAGAAATCACTCCGCAGCGACTTTCGAATCGCAGGGATCGAATGCATCCGGAGCTTTGCGGCATCAACCAAGTTTAGGAAATCAGTCCAGCATGTCAGCAGGAAGCTACATCAAGATCAAGATTTTCAACAAGGCCAACGACGACTTGGTGGCTATCCGCGTGCCACCAAATGTCACGTATGCTTCATTGCTCGACAAGGTCAAGGAGAGGCTGGGCAACGAGCTGGCGGCGCTGCGCTACAAGGACGCGCCACCATCGGAGGGAGGCAGCGGTCACAATGTTCGGCTCTATGACGATGACGACTTGAAGGAGTGGCTAGGCAGCGGAGCTAAGCTGACGCTGTATGCAGACGTCAAGTGAGATGGGGCCAGCGTCGCGCACACTTTGACAAAAAATCTCCCCTTGCACGCTGCTACCCATCTGGACCCGCATTGCCTCGCTGCTCGTCTCTCGCCTCGCCTCCAACAACAGGACCAGCCTTCGGTGCCGACCGACCCACCTCGTCATTCCACGATACCCACGACGAGGGATGGGAAGTCTTTAGCATGCCATCCTTCCGTGAACTCGCCGCCGTCTGAGCTCGGTGCGAAGACGCAACGCGCCTTGTCGTCGGCTTTGTCTCTTCCTGCTACGATGGTCCGCACATTGTCGCTCCGTCACGGATCAACTTATCCCATCGCTTTGCTCCGTCTCCAACTGCCGTTGTTGTCACCAGCAAGTCCTTTAGTATTTCACCTCATGGCTGCAGAATATTTGCGCACGCGCTCTACTTTCCTCATGACTGACTTGTGGACATTAGGAAAATTCCATGCTGAAAGCTTTTTTTGTTGTGATGTTCCTCGTGAATGTCACCCTTGCCTCGCTGTAAGAGGTTGCGCTGCAAGCGCACACGTGACGCGCGACTGGGTTCGCCGTGCGTCGCGGCGTGCGTACTCCCGCGCGAGAAGATGGCCTGCGAAACCTTTCTTCCTTGCCGTCGTCTCGTCACGAACTGCCACACTACGCTCGTCCATTCGCGGATATGTCCCGATTTTGACGACAACATCCGCCCAAATCGACTCGCCTCATCATGCCTCACAAACGAGCCAGCACGCACAAGCGTCTCGCCTCTCGGCAGGGCGCGAGCGACAAGGCTCCGGACGCCAAAGTTATGCGAGGTCACTTGTCCGACGTGCCCAAGTCTGCCCTGAGAATACTGCAGGCTGGCAAGGTGAGGGAGGATTTCCGCAGCAAGATGCACCTGCCAGGTATGAGAAGGAGCGCAGAGGACGTTGGACCGAAAGCCAAAAGGGAAGCGCTCAAGCAGCAGCAAAAGCTCAAAGGGGAGGGACATGAAAAGGCATCATCAGCATCCACATCAAACTTGACGCTGCGGGAAGGCGAAAAGCTGGGCGATTTCAATAGGAGAGTCGAAATGGCCATGGCGCCGAGATTGCCATCCAAGTCCAGCCGAAAGAGGAGGAAGCTGGCGGCTGAGAAACAGGCTGCGCTCGATGCTGGTGCTCCACACGTGTGCAAGGATCCGAGTAGGTGCTTGGTGCATCAGCAATTGGCACACAAAGCTCGTCTTGCTCGCGAGGAGAATGAGGGTAGCCAGAGCAAGAGCGAGAAGAGGTTCGCGAAGCGCGAACCGGGCAAGGCGGATTTGGCGCGAGCCAGGGCTTCGTTGGAAAAGGCTAGTGCGGGTAAAGGTGGCGCGTTGGCTCGATCGAACAACGTTTCGGACGAAGAAGAAGAGTTGGACTTTGCACCTCGACCGCAAGGAAGGCGCTTGAACGACGTCGCTCAAGCACCACCCACACTCACAAGGGCTCCCCGGGGACACGGCGAAGCGGCAAAGGCGAGAAAGAGAAAGTTGGCGGAAGCGTTGGGAGCCAGCGTACCTGAAGTCGACGCTAGACATGTCAGACTACCAGACCCCGTCGTTGGCAAGAGTCGAAGCGGCGTCAATGTGAGGAGAGAGGAAGAGCTCGAAAAGGAACGAGAGAGGGCCATCAAAGAGTACAGGAGGATGAAGTTTGGGAGAGAAGAGAGGGGCATGTGACGAAGCGAGGGGCATGCGACGAAGCGAGGGGCATGCGACGAAGCGAGGGGCATGCGACGAAGCGAGGGGCATCCGACACACAGCAGCCCCGCTGCACCGAAATGCACATGTACTTTTATGCTCAGCGGCGTCGCTCATTGTAAAGACGAGTGCCCGTGTTCATGTCGCCTTTTCCCCCCCCTTTTCCCCCACCGCACGGCTCTCTACTCGGCACCGCTCGACGCCCATACCACGTCGCAGAAGGTCGGAAGAGCATCCACGTGCGAATATCAAACTTGTAAAGGGCTTGCTTTCGCTATCACCCTATGAGACTTTGGTCAATGAAGGGTCATAGATAGTAGCCTGCCCACATGCGAATATTCGCGCGAACTTTTCGCACTGCTCAAGCTTGCAGCCGTCGACCAAAATGGATGCATTTTCGTGCACACTGACGCCGAACGGGTTACGACGTGCGGTACTACGAATTTAGGGGCGGGCAGTCCTGCTTGGATGCGGCGTCTTGCCCATCAGAGGTTTGGAGCCAGGCGTCTTTGGGCTGACACCAACATCGTACGGGGCGATTCTGCCTCCAGGAGAGTAGATGCCAAGCGTGCCTCTCCTAATGGCTCTCCTAAAGCCCCATTTTGTCTTTGCCCTTTCCCTCTCGAATCCATCCTTGCCCACGCGCGCCGTCTCGCGCTGCCGTCTGAGATCGGATCTGACCCGTGGAGAGTTCTTGACGTAGTACTCCCACGCTAGACTGAACATCTCTCCTCCTGCGGGGTAAGGCGATGGCAAGTCCGAGTTGAAGGCTGCGTCTTTGCGGATGGGGCCAGAGAATGCTCCTCGGTCGTTGAGCGTGGCCTTCTTTTTGAGAATGGTAGGGTGCCTCACATAGATGAATGAGCACGTCTTGAAGCTCACTTCGATGTTGCCCGGAATGAACATTTGAGTCGCTGCATAAGCTGGCAGCACAAACGGCTCGACGCCGGCTGGAAGCGACGGCGGTCGTCTGGGCGACAGCTGCACTTTCTTTTCCGTTTGTTGCGGTATGGGCTCTTCGGCCAGATTCTTCGCAGCTGCTGCCTCCCCCTCGCCAACATCCTTGCCCTCATCCCGAGCGCTGCTGGCCTCTTTCACCTCTTTGTTCTGCTCACGCTCCTTTGTCCTCTCCTTTGCCTTTGCGTTCTTGGCATTGACTGGTCTCGATGTCCGCTTGATCGGCTCCGTCGCTGCATCATCTCCAAAGGCGGCGGAACCACCATTGCGGAACAAGCCGGTTCGTAGTTTGGGGCTGAGCATGGGAATGGAGGCAGGATCGACGCTGATGAGGTCTCCAGGGTTGAGCAGCGTGTTTGGATTCCTCATCTGGGAGCGAGATGGACAAGATTCTCAGCTAGGGGCCATAAAGCGCGATACTCGACCACTCACCCTAAAGCCATTCAGTTTGACGTGACCATGCACGACGAGGGACCTTGCTTCGTACACGCTGCGTGCAAAGCAAGCTCTGAAAACGGCCGTGTCCAAACGCCTCTCGATTTCTCGCACAAAAAGACTGGCGACTGGCATCTGTTGATCTGCAGATGGCTCGTCTTGACCAAAGCCGGGAAGCAGGGATTCGCCAGAAGCGGAACTGGAAGCGCTTCGACTCAGGGCGAGACGATCCCTGGCGCCGGCTGCTGTGGATTTCGAAGATGGGACGGCATCTCTGAGCAGAGCAGGCAGGGCTGTAGGCAAGAACCACCGCTTGAAGCGCTTCTCGGGCAACCAATCTCCGTGGTAGGATCTCAGCAATCGCTTGCTCCTCCACCGCTGTTGGTACATCGTCAACGCAGTCGCCCTAAACGTCGTCTCTCGAACAAAGTTTGGCAATGTGGACCTCGCAATGAGACTGTACAAATTGTCCGCTGACCACGCCTAGCCGTGGGCCAGAGTGGAGGGTGATGTGGGTGAGGAGTGGCGCTGTTAGTCGAGCGCGCCCGCGCAGCTCGCACGTGGGCGTCCTCGCAACTCACCATGCGGGGCTTGTTGCCCTTCAAGTCGTGGGCAAACGTCCTGGCGTTGCGCATCTTGGCGGGGGGCGTGGGCGTTTGGGGAGGCGGTCGAACTTTTCGAGGAAAGACGGCATACAGCGCGAGCAAGGAAGGAGGAGCTTGATTGAATGCGTCCGAAAAATGCGCTTTTGGTCACGAAGGATTAAAAGATGGCGGCCGCGGGGGGCGGCATGGATGCAAACGGTCACAAGACGCGCGCGCGACGCAGGTGTACCCGGCCGAGAGAAGGCAGCCGCGCGCGAATGTCACGTGTCTCGTTACCGCGCAAAGGAACGAACGTGCGATGGCGTGCTCACGCGCGGCGATGCGATGCGGTTTGGATGCAGACGCGCGATTCACGGAGCTCACATTCACATTGGCGATGAGGCACACAATGCGTGCGCTGAGATTGTGTGCCTCATCACCAAGAAGATGGGCGCATTCAAGCATAGCGATAGAGGGAAACTCGATGCATTTCGAGGTCGAGCGCACCCCTCGACGTTGAATTCGCGATGGTCTGACGTTTTTGATGTGCGCACCGGCACGCGCGCTCGCAACGCAGGCTAATCCTACTCGAGCTGCACATGCAGCAGCAGCATGCAGCATCAGCACCATGCAAAATACCTGCGCACGCCCCATCCTCGCGCTCGCTTGCGTGCGACAATTTCTTTCGCTTCTTCTCGATGCGCGCGCGACGATGCTGCTCGTGTGCCAGTCACGACGATTCGCGCAAGAAGAAGTCGTGAGTCGAAGGTGCGCGACGCTCGGATCACCTTTTGCCCTCTTTCTCTTCTCCCTTTTGCCCTCCCCTTCACCACCATCCACCGCTATCTCATCAGCAGTGTGTTTCCCCATCTCGTCGCCGTCACGCAACATTCACCCTCCCGCACAGCCCTTCATAATGGCTCAAACCAACGCTGCTCGTGTTCCCCTGCCTGCCGGCCACTTCCTCTTCACCTCGTGAGTTTTCACAAAGCGCGCGTCGCCGCGACGTCGACGTCTTGCCTGTCTGACAAGAAAGCGCACCCTTGCTACAGAGAGGCTGTTGGTGAGGGTCACCCCGACAAGATTTGCGATCAAGTGTCTGATGCCATCCTCGTGAGTATGGGTACAGCCACCTACCTTCCAATTCTGCTCGCATTGCGCCCCGCTCTGACGCCCAGCGTAATCATACACAGGACGCTTGCTTGGAGCAGGACCCTTGGTCCAAGGTTGCCTGCGAGACTGCGACCAAGACCGGCATGATCATGGTCTTTGGAGAGATCACCACCAAGGCCCAGATCGACTACCAAAAGGTCATTCGCAACAAGATCAAGGACATTGGTTACGACCACAGCGACAAGGGTTTCGACTACAAGACTTGCAACGTGCTCGTCGCCATCGAACAGCAATCGCCAGACATTGCTCAAGGTCTGGATCACGGAAACTTGGAGTCGCACGGTGCTGGTGATCAGGGAATCATGTTCGGATACGCTACCGACGAGACGCCCGAGTTGATGCCCTTGACCTTGATGCTCTCCCACAAGCTCAACACGGCCATGTCCGTTGCGCGTAGAGATGGAAGCCTCGGCTGGCTCAGACCAGACTCCAAGACTCAGGTCACTGTGCAGTACAAGAAGGATGGCGGCGCAGTCGTGCCTGTGCGCGTGGACACCGTCGTCATCTCTACACAACATGCAGAGGAGATCTCTACAGAGGACCTCCGAAAGGAGATTCTCGAAAAGATCATCAAGAAGGTCATTCCCGCTGAGCTGCTCGATGCACAGACCGTCTACCACATTCAACCCTCTGGCCGCTTCGTCATTGGTGGTCCTCAGGGAGGTGAGTGGTCGCGCGCGCGCGCGCGCGCGCGCTCGCGCATTCCGAGTGATCGTGCTGTGCTGTGCTGCGCTAACAAGCTGCACGTCGAACACCGCAGACGCTGGTGTCACTGGCAGAAAGATCATCGTCGACACTTATGGAGGCTGGGGCGCTCACGGAGGTGGTGCCTTTTCTGGCAAGGACTTTTCCAAGGTCGACCGTTCCGCTGCCTACTCTGCACGCTACGTCGCCAAGGCCATCGTCAACGCTGGTCTCGCGCGTCGAGTTCTGGTGCAGTTCTCTTACGCTATCGGTGTCGCTGAGCCGCTGTCGGTCTACGTCGACAGCTACGGAACCAGCTCCAAGACGGACGAAGAGCTCGTTGAGATTGTGAGGAACAACTTTGACCTGCGTCCCGGTGTCATGATCAAGACGCTCGACTTGCAAAAGCCCATCTACGCCAACACTGCCAGGGGTGGTCACTTTGGTCGTTCCGAGTTCGCTTGGGAGCAACCTAGGCAACTCAAGTTCTGAGGTTGCGGCACTCGAGTTCAGAGGTGCGGCACTCGAGCTCCGAGGTGCGACGGTATTTTCTCTTCTGCTCTAGCCCGACTGGCTCTGACTGCTCGCCAATCGATTCAACACTCGCATGGGCGAGTCGTCGGGGCAAAACGGCAATCCCTTTTGATACGCCTTCTTTGCGGGTGTCTGTCCCGCTTCCCTCCTCCGTGTCTTTTTCTGTTCTTTTTTGTTTACTTTCGCGTTCTCTCGTCCCTCTGCAAAAGGTCGTGGCTGCTCTAGCGCGCGCATTCACGCACACACACACACACACACACACACACACACACAAACATCTGTACTCCATTGCAATGTCACACGTCAACCGTGAGTGCGTGGGGGTGCGTTGTAATGCTACGAGGAGCGCGCGCAAGAATCCCTCGCGGAGCGCCCTTCTACAGGAGACCAGGGGCAGGGCCAGGCAGATCCTCTGCGACGCCCCTCTCTGCAGCCTTGACATCTTCGAGGACTCTTTGCCACAAGCGAGCAGTAGCGATGGGGTCGTTGACTTCGGGCCTATGATCCGACTCCTTGAGACGCATGAGGAACTTGCCTCCGATCTTGGCAGACTCTCCGATGAACGGCGTGCCCTTTGCCAGCTGCTTTTCCGAAAAGCCCAGCGCTGGATTGACGGCAGCATTGACGATGGCGAGACTGCCTTGTTGAGGTGGAATGGCTTTCCAAGAGGTCAGCTTGTCCAGCAACCAGATGAGGATACGAGGCAGGGCACGAATGTGAGGCAGGTTCCAAATGTTGGAAGCGACGAATCCGGGATGGATGCCGTGCGCAATGACGTGCCTGTACGCTTGCGATCGCGAGAGTCGAATCTGAAGCTCTCGCGTCCACATGAGCAGATAGAGCTTCGTATCGCAGTACGCCATGACTCCTCCCAAACCTCGCTTTTGACGCTTCTCGTAGTTGAGATTGGAAAAGTCCAACCTGCCGGCGTGATGAAAGATGGAGCAAGTGTTGACGATGCGAGGTGCGCGCGCCTTTTTCATGCTGGGAAGCACGTACAGTGTGACGAGGCAGTGCGCCAAAAAGTTGACCTGGTGCGTGAATTCGAAACCGTCGGTGGTGTGGATAAAGGGTCCCATGGCCGATCCGGCATTATTGCACAGCACATCGCACACCCTTTCGCTGCTCCTCCACTTTTCCCCAAACGCCTTGATATCGTCAAAGCTGGTAAAGTCGACCTTCCACCACTCCAAATTCTCGCGCTTCACATGAGGATGCTTCTTCACGATACCATCGATCACGTCGTTGGGATGCTGCTCGTGAGGTGGAGGGTCGCGACATACGAGAATGACGTTGGCTCCACGCTTGGCAAAGATCGTGGCAGCTTGTTGACCGATACCCGAGTTTGCACCAGTGACGATGACCGTCAGACCGGCCATCGAGTCAGGTCCAGTGCCCTTTGCACCCGCTGGCTCCGGATAGTCCTTTCTCTCATCCTCTCCGACGAATCTCCGCCACTGGCAGTAGAGACGACTCCATACGGGAGTAGTCTGCAGCAGACCAGGTCCGAGACAATGGGTGTCGTACACCGAGGGGATTTTGCGGCAGATTGCGTGGCCTGCCATGGTGCGTGCGGGCGTGAGCGTGCGGGCGTGAGCGTGCGCGTTGAGAGATGCGTGCGCGTTGAGAGATGGAGTGGGCGTGCGGTCGTTCGCGTTGAGAGATGGAGTGAGCGTGCGGGCGCAGACGTGTCGTCGTCGTCGTCGTCAGTAAGCGATGCGGTGAGCGTCGTGCGCGCGCCTCATCGTTGCGGTGGGACGTACAGTACGTGCAGCGAGCGACGTAGATTTACGTGATTTGCAGCTGGTCTGCTGCTGCAGCGACGCGACCGACGACGTCCTTTGATTGCATGGCCGCCTCGCTCGCTCGCTCCATCATCGCTCCATCGCTTTCAGCAGCGCGCGCATGCAAACGTGCTCTTTCTCGGGACCGAGTAAGCCCGGCGGGGGGGGGACGTGCCGTGCAGCAGCAGCATTGGTGGGCCCCCGCGTGCATGTGCACACGCAGCAGCAGCATTCACGATTCGACTTGCAGCTCGAGTCGAGGTTCAAGATTCACATTCGTGATTCACGATTGTCACCCCGCCGTTTGTCAAGCATTCCATGCAGGAACGGCGCGCACGTCCGCCCGCCCGCCCGCGGGGATGATGGTGCCGCGTCGGTCGATCGCGCGGCAGAGGTCTGGGGCAGCTATATAGCTTCGAATTGCGATCGGGAAATCGTGAATGTGATTCTTGCCCACATCTCGCGAGCGCGCTTGTCGCAAGTGAGGCGGGTGAATGGTCAGGGTATAATAGTCAGTCGCGAGTGGCATGTGCACCGCGACTTGCGCCCGGCAGGCCACTGTATGACCACGCGCGTGCGGGGGGGCGCAACTCGCAATCGCCGAGCGTGCGCGATTGCGAATCATGACGAATGGAGAGGTTGCACGAAGCGGCCATGTATATAGGAGCTGCAAGAGCGATCGTTCAAAATAGGTAAGGTGGTGGTGATCTTGGGGGCATGCACTCTGCAACTTCCGCTTCAAGTGCGCGACGCGGTCGCCACGCGGTCGCCACGCGGTGTAGCAAGATCGCGCCGCGTGGCGGTGATGCTCAACAATTGGACACCTTTGAGTTTATTTTGGTTCATGGCAGAGAGACATGGGTCAGGAGGTGTGGGTGAGGTAGACTATAGGTCGCACCAGAATGCATCTTGGTTGAGCATCACAAGCAATCACTGCTGCGCGCGCCTCCAAGTCTCGCGTGTGGCCTCGCTTTACCCTTGGATGGCCAACCAAGTTCCACCCCTTCGTGCACGTACAGATCATGTCTAGTGCCAACAGCCATACTTGTGCGGCATTCTCACAACGTTTCCTAGACGTCACCAAGTCGAGTGCGTGTACACGTGATTCAAGACGAGTTGCTGGGGTCATGCATCTAGCAAAGCTGTTCGTTGACTAGTTGAGACGACGTCGCAATCATAAATCCAAACAGCTCGACTCGGTCACGACTCGCAAGGGGTTCCCCACCCCCAAATCGACATTCGTGATTGGTGACGCTTGCGTGCAGTCACCCGCAGCGGCGCGCTTCAAACGCGCTCAGTGACCCCACCAAAAATCAGATCCGACTCGTGACTCGCTTTGAATTGCGCAACCACGAATGCTCGATGTAGAAGGTCGACTCAAGGACTGTGCGGTCAAGAGTGATGCATCTGTGGTCTTGAATCAGGTGAATGTCCCTACAAGCCCCTCCACGCGCACGCTCGGGCAATCCGAAGAGATCTGAAAAATGTACCCTCGGAGGTCGAAGCTGAAGCCGCCCAAACAAGCACCCTCGGCTTGGCACAACGTGCGAGCCCGTCACACACCGCTGTTGTCTTTGATATGCCCACACACAGCTCACGCCAGCAGAGATTCCGCACTGCTCACGACTTTCGAGAAGCCCTTCATTGCGCAACCCTATATCTGCCCGCGCATCCATTGATAATCTCCATGCCGCTGCGCGGCCTAACCCTAACCCTAACCGCCCTAACCCTGACCCTAACCGCGGCAAAGCCGCACGCTGCTACGCAGCGAACCCTAACCCTAACCGGCCACATGGCAACTCAAAGCTTGATACGAGGGCTAAGCAAAAGGTGGTCCCGGCTAGAGAAGATAGCCGATGGCGATGTAGCCGATGGCGATGGGACGCAAGGCGCGGTCTAGACCACAGCAGAACTTGCAGGGCCACGCGTTGTTACAATAAGGCACTCACAACTGCCGACTCGATGCGTACGCGCTCCAACAACCCGTACAGAATAGCGCTAATCCGTACGCGCTCAAGCAACCCGTACGCGAGCGCACAAGCGCCCCGGCGTGTGTGTCCCATCGCCAGCGTCTATGTTCTAGTCCCATCAAAATCACGTAAATGGTGCGCGCGCGTCAGAGCAAACGCAAATGCAAACATCGCGCGCGCGTCTGCAAACGAAAATGCAAACATCGCGCGCGCGTCTGCAAACGTAAATGCAAACATCGCGCGCGCGTCTGCAAACGTAAATGCAGACATCGTACGCGCGTTGGTAAACGCAAATGCAGACATCGCGCGCCATTTGGCAAACGCAAATGCAAACATCGCGCGCGCGTTGGCAAACGCAGATGCAAACAACTTGCGAGTCCCTCCACACGCGCGTGCGCACAAAGACTCATCTTGCTGTCGAGGTAGTCACGAGTCCACAAATTCGTGAGTAGCAATGTCAGCCAAGGAGAGCTTTCCTTGGGCAAAAGTGTCGTCTCGTCTCCCAAATGTCAGACGGGCTCTATCAACGTGTGCGTGCCAGCGCTAATGTCCCCTTTGGTCAAGCAGAGGACGCGCGCGACTCGTGAGCGCCGGCCTCGAGCAGTCGCGAGTACTCGATCGTGACTTCTTTACAAGCGATCCCGTGGTAACGCAAATGACGACAATTGATGCGCACCTGCGACTGATGAGCCGTGTCACCGAGAGAGAAGCGTCTAGCTGCGGCTCCTACTGCAGTTCAAGAAACAAACGCGCGCAGAAGCCCCGCCCCGCCGCGTGCCTGAAGCTCATGCAGAGAGAGCAGGAGCGCATGTGGGCCACTTGTTCAACCTCGCGCGTGGTGGTGAGTTCACATTTGTTTCTCTCGAGTCGGCGCTTGCTGAGGTGTAGACTCACATTTGTTTCTCTCGAGTCCGTGCTCCAGACATCGAAAAGTCGGGGAGTCATGCATCGCGACCGCGTATATCCAGCTCGGGATATTCATGCAGCTTGGCGCTGCTGCGGGTCGGGCACCGCGATAGCAAGCGCGCAGATCAGAAGAGTCCGGGTCATCATCGAGTGGTGCTGACTCTCCATACACGGCGTGGTCTCTGGAAGCACACCGGCAGGACGGTCAAGCGCCACGGTCTGTATCACGGATATGCAAGTGTGCGTGCGAGCAGCAGAGCCCTCTTACGAGTGTAAGCGTTGTGCACCGTGCATCGAAATCAATTCATCTCGCACTTGCTCCTGGAAGCTTTTGACAAAATCGTCGTCGCTCGAGATTCCTCGGGCTTGATAAGCGACAGCAGTGGCCTGACGAGAGACTCCAAGACATTCGTCAAGGCATCAAGAGCAATGATGGCCTGAGGCTGTACAGGGACCACGCCTGCCGAGGCTCTAGAGTGACCTAGTGCGCTGCTGTACAGAAACGTAAGCGAGCGAATAATTACTCCCGTCGCCGCCTCGCAGTACCGTCACGGCCCGAGCAAGGCGTGCACAAGAGAGTAACAGCAGACGTCCAAAGCTTGCAGAAGACTGATCGAGTGAGAGCATGGAGAGAATGGTGCACGACGCACATCAAAGGTGATCTTCCGTGCCCACCGTCAAAATTCTGCGCCCCTTTTCACTCCGTCAAAGGGCTCGCAAGACTACCGCTCCCACATTGTCTCTCTGTCGATTTGCAAAGGTAGCTCCCACAATCGATTCTGCTCACAACCCAGTCGACATCGCTCTTCCCCCCTCCCCACGCGTATTAGCAAAATGCCACCTGTGCGAGTCACTCGCGAGACAAAGACCAGCACCGCTCGTGCTTCTCGAGGCAATGCTCGAGACAAGGCACAAACAGCAGTTACTGACGCCTGGAGAGCCTCCTATGATCGACATGTGCCCGAGAGGGATCACAATGACCTTCAAGGGATGAGAGAGGATATCATTCGCGTAGTCCGTGAAGATTGGAAGAGCAGAAACATGGGGACTTTGAACGTCGACGGACGCATCAAGCACTGGCTTCATGACCCGATCAAGATTCGTGCTTTCCATGCCATGGCGCGCGACAGCCTCAGCTTCCAGCCAGCAGAGCATGCATGCTTCGTTGAGAATGGGCATGGGCAGTTCTACATCAAGACAGACCATCGGGCCTTGACTGGGGGCCTTCTGGATGAGCACCTCCAGAAACACCCAGGTGATCAACGATGGATCGAGCTCCTGCGCGGCCGCGGCTCCAGTGGCACAGTCAAATATGCTGGCGCCGTTCACCGGCTTCTCGAGTCTGGCCCACAGACTCGCAATGAAGAAGATGCTCGCAAGGCCGCGACGACGACGTTAAAGACTCGCTGGCTACGCGAGGGATGGCGAGTGTATGCGCTTGTAGACGATCTACCCGGTGAGTTTCAGAAGCGTGTCACATGGACGCACGGGTTGTTGCGCACGGTAAAGGAGAACGCGGTAAAGGCGAACACGGTAAAGGAGATCAACTCGTGACGCGCATGGCTGCGCTGCATCGACGCCACACTCTCTGTCGAAGCGGACGCTCGCTCTATACACTCCCATGATCGCAAGCCGAGCTGATAGACGACCGCATACATGCTCACTCACAGATGTCGACGTTCTTGGATGGCGTCAATCCAGCTCAGAGCAGGATGCGGAGAGATTCCTCATCAGCCTTCTTGGTCCGCTCTCGGCAAACTCTGCAAGAGGCGGCCTTCACCTGCGCTACACACCTCCATCCCACCTCAGAGCGGCCGCACAGGATCTCCTCAGCGCAGCGCAAGTACCCAACGGACGCCCACCCCTTTCCCCTCGCAATCACCGCATCAAGCAGCTCTTCCGTGAGCATCATCTCGCCGTGTCTCCTCATGCTCCCCCTGGTCCAGCCCTTGAGCGCGCAATCGACATGGCAGCAAGGTCGGGGGACTCGCGCTCAGTCATTCTTCTCAAGGACATTACCCAAGAAGATCTGACTAACACAGCAGACGACTATGGCTTCCTTGGGATTGGATGCGGCCAAGGCCCTGAGAGGGCTCAACGCATCATGACCATGCTCGACTTTGCCTCGGAGGAGCAAGTCTATGACGGCGTTCATCGCATTCACAACCCACCAGCAAGCAGCCGTCGTGCCTTTATCGACTTTTGGCCCTTCTCTTTGGAGCGCACGACACCAGCTTTGCACGTGGTGATGTGTCTGCGAGTCCTATTCCAGGTGAGCGAGGTGGTGTCCCGTGCAAGCTGCACACAGCTGACCTCGACAACACAGCTCGACGCCAAGGTTGTTCGGATCACCTCTTCCGAAGTCTTGTACTTCATGCGCTCAAATCTCGACGAGATCCTCAAGGAGATCAGCCAGACCATCGGCACTGAAGTGGCATTCAAGGTCATCACTGGGATCCTCCCATTATCGACTCTTCCGGACGCAATTTGCAGTCCAGCAGCAGTCCTCAACGTCAGGCTCCTGCGCGAGGCCCAGAATCCTTACTTCGAGGTGACTGAGCTGGCCGGGATTCCGCGACTGCTCAAGGTTGTCTTGCCAGGCTGGCTTGATCGAGAGCTCCTTGTGGGTCCAGCTGTACACGAGGGTGTCCTCAAGTACAGTCCACTCCTTGAGGAACCCCTCAGTCATCTTGTGTACCTGCAGAGCGCCGTATATCGAGCAGCAGAAGAGGCAGGAAGCGGCATCCTTGCGCTCTTTGACTCGAGCGACATAAAGACCCAGCTTGATGTCCAACGCCAGAGGATCAAGTCCCTCAGCAAGATCAACGGCCTCTACCAAAAGCCCCGAGAACCGCTGGCCACCACGACCAACACGGCAGGCACAAGCCGCGACTGGAAGAGGACAGTCGGAGAGGCAGCATCCTCATCTCGACTCGATCAGTACCACTCAAATCCTCTGCGCAAGCTTCCAGCAAGTTTGCAGAGCAAAGGAGAGCGGCGCGAGTGGTTTGCATCCCGAGCAGAGGGGATCGCAATTGGACCTGCAGTGGGGGGCCACAACTCGTCGATTGCCAACACCCAAAGAGCTGGATTGGCACCGTCCACTTCAGAGGTTCGAGCAAGGTATGCCTCAAATCGTGCTGGAGGTGGAAGAGCAGCTCATCGGGACACCTCTGCCTCATATCCCACCACCATTCGCCATCGGCCCACCAGCATTGCCCCCCCTCTGCGGCTAATCCGTCCTGCTCTGGTAGATGCTCTCAATGCCATGGATGCCAATGGGGGACTCTCTGATGGCATCCAGACCGCAGACGCCCAACACTTGGCAAGAGTCCATGATTGGCCTGCCAGCAAGATCACCCAATACGTGCAAAATCACTACAGGGATGATGTTGTCACTCCTAGACGCCCGACGGTGGTGAACAACTACATGTCCCGTCCCCCTCCTCCCACACCAGAGGTAGCCGCCGCAGCAATCAGGCGTAGTGAGGAGCAGGTGATGTCGATGCTCGACAGCCCGAATCCTGACTATGAGCTATTGCTGGATGTCGTTGCTAGCTTGCCCAGCGGAGCTTTTGCGCCGGGGCGAGACTGGCGCCAACCTCCAAGCTGAGAAGCGGTCGCCTGCAATGCATGCCCTCCAGTAAGTCTCTCTTGAACTGGAGACTGCCGGATGTGACCTACAGTGATCACTCTTGCGAAGGCCGCACGCTAATCTTTCCTACCTCACAGCCTTCACCTTCACGACACGCCGGTCAGCACGTTTCCTTCACAGGAGACGCTTCAAGCTCCAATCCAATGCGCTTTCCCAGCGGCAAGTGTGGCAATGTAGCCTAAGACCCGTCCTTAGAGAGCGACGTGGGGATACAAGCATCGTCTGTCACGGCGCGCACACATGCACGCATACATGTCTCAGACCGATCCAGCGTAAATCCTTCCTTAATGCCATAATCTTCCTCTGATCCGACTTGACAGCTTGGTAGCGTAGCCGCGTCCTATGAAGGTCGGTCGCATTGGGCAGCTGCGCTGAAGTGGGACAAGCATTTTGGCGCGACCTCCAAAGCAGACGAGGGCAACGAATCCGGTCCGAGCCCCTCAATTGTTGTCCGCGACCTGTCGCTCCACTCTGTCTACCGTCCCGCCCAGAGCAAACGTCTGTGTGCGCCGCTCGTGAAGAGGAGCGACGGACTGCACGAAACCAAGCTAGCACGGCGGCGCATCCAGATTTCAAGGAAAGTCGCGGGCTTATCAACGAGAATTATGTTTGGTCGGAATGACAAAGGATGTATCAGAAGCCGTCGGATCGTGCATGCATCACCAACAAAACAAGCACAGACGACACGGGCCCTACGCAAAGCTCACACGCTGGGCGACAAATTCTCTCGCTTTGTCATCCTCGTGCCGAACAGAAGGGACGACTCCGCCGCGAAGATCGCCGAAGCGATTCAAGGCATCGTACTGTACAGTCGCGGACATATTTCTCCCCATTAATCGTCTCTGACAGAGATCCGAGGTCTACCGGAGACTACTGGAAGGCCCTGGCCAAATGTTTGAGGACAAAGCTGCAAAAGCACTGCGTGTCATCCTTAGACGGACGGACTAACGATAAGGCCGAGCCAAGTGTTCGTTGTCTCGTTACACCATTTTTGTGAACAGGCACACGACAACCGGGTGACTCCTCTTGTGCTTCTCGCGATGGCGCATGACGCACACGTGTTGTCGTCTCTCAAGGTCTGAGCATACGAGATTGTGTTTGGCGGCGAGCCAAACCTTTTCCAGCTGGCTTCGGAAGACAGTAGGCCGGTGAAACATCTCTGCAAGATGAATGGCTGGAGTCCGCAAAGACGCAGCAAATAGCTATTTAGGACGCGCATCGCCGTGGTCAAAAGTCGTCAGCCGATCATGGGAAGCTGCCCGTAGGAGACTGGGCGTAGCTTTGCACCGAGACTTTCAAGCTAGCCACCGGAGACAAACGTATGGGACAAGTCATCGCCATTGTTTGCAGGCCCGTACCTGATACTCGAGGTGAAGGGGTACGGCAACGCCTTTCAGCTGGACCTGCCGAGTGAAACGACCGTGCACCCCACAATAGTCCCTCAATACTTGAACCTCTCGTTGGTCCCGCTCCTACGCCACGGGCGCCATTGCAAGCGAGCGATGGAGAAGAATGGTTGGTCGAGAAAAGTTATCTGGTGGCGTCTCGGCGACGATGAGTGGTGACCACTAATCGAATGGATTGAACGGCCGGAAGAAGAGGCCACTTGGCAGCCCGCTCGCGATTCCAAAATGCTCAAGCCGCGGTCCTAGCTTTTTCTAGAGCAGCAAAGAAGAAGTTAGGTCCTCGGCTTTCGCACGAGCAAAGACGCGATTACTGTAGAAGGACCTAATGGCTCCATTCGCTCCATCCATCCGAAATCGCGCCGTCGGGCCGCCCCATTCCTCCTCTCTTGTGTCTCCACTCGTCCCTCTTCCCTCCGTCTCGTTTCTCTTTTCTCTCTCGTCTCGCTCTTCTAAGGACTGGTGAGTTGTCACGGCGCGCACGCACGCACACATATACCTAGACTGATCGAGCGCAGCCCTTCTCTAGTACCACCATCTTCCTCTGATACGACTTGACACCACCATCACCCAACGACGCGCTCTATCGAACTTTGTTGCACGGAGATTCCTGGGCGTTCACATTGTCAGCATCCTCCCCTTCTCTCCCATGCGACGCTCACCAAAGGCCAAACGTCGTCACAAGCCTGATTCCTCCCACGCGAAGTGTACCGCACGCTGTAACTCATTGTGCTTGCAGCGGTCTCGCCTCTCGCACCCACACTGTAAGCTCTTAAAACCTTGACGTTGCTAACCCTTTCTCACGCCGAGCACTTGCGCCTCTCCTGCGGCAGCCAGTCAACGCAGTCCGAGGTTACACGATCCCAATGCACCCCTCCGCCGCGCCACAGTCTTCACCCGCACAGCGTCGTAAACGATAATGATGACCTTTGGTCTCCGATGATGAAATCACAGCGTCGTAATGATGATGATGACCTTTGGTCTCCGATGATGAAATCTTGCTATTTTCATGAATTGTGATGGGAGTGCATGACGAGCAAAGAGTTGCGGACGGTTTTGTGCACAACTTGAGTGGAGCTTGCATACACGCGCGTCGCACGCGACACCTCTGGCGATGCACAGGTGGATGCATGGCGAGCTTGCTGTAGTTACCGATGAGCAAATTGCTGATGACAGCCTCAGACTTGGTAAGTAGTGTGAGTTGGTGGTGCGACGCGGGATTCTGGAGTTTGCACAGTTGCCCGGGTGGCTGGAAAGCGCAAATGTGTCCCGTCTGATTCAGCTGGATGCGCAGTCGTGAGTATAGTCGGCGGTCCCCAGCAGTGTCGTGGGGAGAACGACGTATCTGATTCACTCGTGACTATAGAGCAGATCGCGATTCAAGATTATCAGCAGCTATGGTCGCGCTTGATCTATACATGTGGGGATACATGTGGATGCGCGCAAAGTCACGTGGCGGTAGCGGCACCAGGCAGACCGGGTTGAAGTTTAGAGCGTGATGGGTCAAGAGTGTGCTTTGCGGGCAAATTTGCTCACATCTTGCGCGATGCGCTGCTGCCTGCTGATCAGACGCTCGATCTGAGCACTAGCTCCAGCAGCCATGCAGCTCGTGCGGACCAGATGACTAACCATCATGCAGCGGCTGGCAGTCTGATTTGAATACCCGTTGCTGTCAACATCCGGATCTGCTCATTAATCACGTGACTTAGGAGAGTGGAGCATCCTTGTTTGAGCTCGGAAATCTTGAATGGCCTTGATTGCACCGCAAGCCAGCTAGAGCAGGTCTTGAGCGGTGAGTAAGCCTGGTGTGCGCGCGCCGAGCCTGCCCATGATCTGCACGTCAGATGTGCCACGCGAGCAATTTGACGCCCACGTTTGAGGACTCTGACGTTAATTTTGGCGCTGAACAAGCGAAGAGGGGGTACATTTATATATCGTACCGCGAAGTAGACGCAACAAGAACAATTCGGTGGGGTCTTGGCTCAGTGGTAGAGCGTTTGCTTAGCGATTTGTAATTGTTCGAGTGACGGTTCAGATCATGCATAAGGTCGCGGGTTCGATTCCTGCAGACTCCATGTTTTTTGGGGCGGGGAGGAGGGGCGCGCCTTTCTTCTCGCGCGGTGTCAATGCTCTTTACAATTGTATGTGGGTTTAGCCAACTCGTAGTCGTGGCGTGCTCGAGGTTAGCCGACATTGAAAGGAGGAGGACCTTGGGCAGCATCTAGGTGGGCATGGGCGCGGTGCTGCTTCGGGCACCTGTGAGTGGAGTGAACTTCCTTTGGGATGCCTGCCATCGTGGATCTTCACCTGAATTTCGTTCGCGAGTGTCGCGGGATGCCTGCCGTAGATCTTCACCTGAACTTCGTTCGCGAGTGTCGCGGGATGCCTGCCGTGGATCTTTACCCGAGTTTCGTTCGTGAGTGTCGCGGGATGTCTGCCGTGGATCCTCATCCGAGGTCCATTCCTGAGCACGGCCTTGCCCAACATGTAGGTCTCCCATCTCGACACGAATATAGTGTCGCGACCTGCCTCCAAGAACGGCCAACTCCGGCACCTTTGCCTGACTCGCAACTATTCCGCGACCTGCCCAAGCAGCTTTACCGAGAACTCGTCTCTGGGCAAGTAGCTATTTTTCATTTCTCGCGGGATGCTCCCGCATGCTTCCTGCAAATCTTCGACTCGAAATAGCCGCACTGGCTACGATGATCCGATGAACCTTACAAGAACGTCAGACCACCCCACGTGCGGCATCCTCCTCGACGCGCAGCGTGCATCTTTCGTCCGCAGAACCTCCCTCGCAGCGTGCCTCCTGATTTGATGTTCTTCATGCGTGCGCGCGCACAGCAGTGTGCAACTCCATCTTGCGGGACGCGCTTCCAACTCTCATTGCACTTCAGGCGCTCGCAATTTTGCACGAGCGACCAATCGATCGATCTTTCCCGCTAAATACTCGTGACTCTGACCGCATATCCGTGTCCAATGTCCCGCGATTTTGCACCCGCAACTTGTTTCGCTCGTCCCCACTCAGCCACCGCTCGCCACGCACGCACACACGCACACACGCACACACGCACACACGCACACACGCACACACGCACACACGCACGCACACTCGCACACTCGCACACACGCACGCACCGCACCGATTCGCAAAGAAATGCATTCGCCTTTCATCATCGCAAAGCGTACATGTAGCCCCGCGCTCTTCGCACACGTTTAATTCCGGATACGAATGCCACGATCTTGCGCAGCCGTGACGATTCTTCCAGACTTTGTCGCTCTATCAATGTGATCGAGACCCAAAGCATCGTCTGTCATCCACTTGTGCTCGAAACTGGGGGCGGGGCAAGAATGTCAGACGCACGCGCTCGCGCAACGCTTCCAATGTCGCGCTCGCGCTACGCTTCCAACGTCGCGCTCGCGCTTCGTCGCGCCACTCACAGGACATCATCGTCTTGCAAGACGTTGGGCTGCTTGTACGTGCTGGACATGACCAACGTGAATCTAAACTTGGCGAATTCCTTGTCCGGCACCGCGATGCGCGCTTGTAATCTTTGCTTGGTGTCGGCAAACTTCTCTCCCTGCGTACGAGTCATCTGTCAGCGTCCGTCCAACTTCGTGCTCGTGCTCGTGCTCGTGCTCGTGCTCGTGCGCGCGCCTCACCGGCTTGATAATGAATTTAAAAGGCACACCGTGAACCCTGTGGACCTCCTTGGAAAAGTGAAAACAGTTGATGATCCGGTCTTCGTCACTGATCCGGAGCTCCTCAATGGGAACTTCTTCGCCAAAAAGCTCCGCAGTCTCGTTGATGTTGCCAATCATTTCTGCGCCAGGTATGTCCCGCTGCTGCCGACCGCCATTGACAACTTCGAATACGCGAATCTTGCCGCTGCCGCCATCCTCGAGTGTCACTTGCTTGGAAAGGTAGTCTGCCACCTCATTGAACGAGCTCGTCTTAGGCATGAGGAATTGATGAGCGGCCTGGCAATAAAGACGCGGTCAATATCGCAAAGACGCGGTCAGTATCGCAAAAACCACCCTGCGCATCACGCAAACCACCCTGCGCATCACGCCACGCCCGACGCCACGCACCTCTTCCTTGTTGTGCGCCCCCATCCACCACACTTTCAAGTTGCGCTTGGTCTCCAGCTCGACAATCGAGACGTTTAGCTTTTCATAGTACAGCAACGATGCTTGTCCCTGAATGTAGCTCGGCGAAACGATCTCGTTGACAGTCTGATTTGCGGTGCGCTTCAGGACAGTCTTGGGCGTGCCGTTCGGTCCATTCGCAGTGGTGAATCTGAGCTTGAGCGGATCGTGCTTCAACCGCTCCGCGAATTTGGCCGCCATCTGAGGACGTGGCCGAGCATGTGAGCCAAGCGACGAGACGATGCATGAACTTCGCTCACGAGACGATGCATGAACCCTCGCAACGCACCATGTCGTACGTCATCTTTTTCGACAACGTCAACTCAAACTCCCCCCTGTATTCGGCATCCTCGGCTTTTGGCTTGAACAAGACCTTGATCTGATTTTGCAAAAAGTCGTAGAACTGGATCGGGTTAGAGTACAGCGACTGCGCTTCAATGTCGTGCGCACTGTGGTATGATCGGCGCGTCAGCACGCGCGCGCTCGCTAGCAGGACCGCAATGCTGGCGTGAACTCACTCCTTCTCGGACATTTCAGACTGAAAGCAGATAATGTCTCCATCCTGAATCTCGCTCTGCTGAAAAGTCGCCTTGGGCTTCATCTGTTCGATCATGCCCGGCTTGATCTCCTCGTACAGTCGGACTTGCACGGTAGGGGGCCACCTCATCATCTGATTGATGGTCGGCACCAAGTCCGCCACCTTCATTGCCTTGGTGACGTAAACCCTCCCTTGGCCGGTCAGAGTTTGTCGAGTGACGTCAAAGTACTTGAGGAAGATCATAAGGGGCGGATCTGGGACCCCGTAATTTGTGTCGGGCGAAATGGTCTCCAGGTACAAGCGCAAATCGTTTTGTCTTGAAGCCATCCTGTCCCGCACCGTCTCTAGAGTGAGATTGGGATCGGACTCTGGCACAGGCGTGTCTGGCCGCACAGTCTTGTTTTGACGATTGACCAACACCCACAGCCTGATGCTTTCCTCCGACATGCCGTACTGCTGTGCAAGGCGCGCCTTGAAATTGAGAAACAACTCTGTTTTGAGAACTCTGAAAGAAGCCAGTTCCGTCGCCGGTAAATTGCGCTCCTCAAAGGTTGCCAAGTCAAAGCCTTGATGGCCCTTGAATGTGTCTTCAGTGATGAGCTGCGCGCAATAGCGACGAACACCAGGTCAGTCAGGGATGAGTCCAATGACAGCCGACGTCGGCTTTGCGCAGATATGCTGCGACTCACCTTCACCGTAAGATACAAGTGCTGCTCCTCGCGCTCTCGTTTCCGGGCCTCGATTGCGAGCCTTTCTTCTTCGAGACGCTCGCGAAGATGTGCGGGCGTATCCTCAACAGCAAAGGGCTTCAGCACTTCTGGAGCAGCCCGCTGCCTAACATAGACGAGCATGTACGCGTTTGTGAAGCGCTTCATCGCTCTGACGGGCGCGCGGGCGCCAACTTGGCCTCCGAGATGGCCGTTTGGAATTTCTCCGCCAAAATTGTCCTCAAGCACCTCCTTCAGAGTCACGGGCGTGACGCGATCGTCGTCGAATTTGAACCACTTTCCATCCTTTTCGGGTTTCAAGAGCGCAAAGTAGTGTCCGCCGTGCAGATCGCCGCTGTGCACCAGCACACCATGCAGCTGGTACTTCCAATCTTCCCCAGCCACTTCCGAGTCCTTGTCGATGAACTCTCCCAAATCAATGTCGAGGGGAAATTCGTGGCGATCATTGATCTTGACCATCGAATCCTTTTCCATGTCGTACTCGAATCGCTTCAGCTGCAAGTGCAGAACGGGCGGAAACCTCTCAAAGATGACGCCTTTCTTGGCGTCTTGCAAACCGTGCCCCTCGGCTGCATATTTGTTCTCGCCATCGAGCATCTCGACTTGAATGTAATCCTTGAAAGAGTCGTGAAGATCTGCCATGCCCTTGACATTGAGCTGAATGTCGTAGAAATCCTCTGATCTGGTCGACTCGTAGTCTACATTCACGCAGCGCAAATAGCTCTTCATGCGGCCGACGAATAAGCGCGTGATCGCTCCATCCGCAGCAGTTCCCTGTGCGTGAGCAAAAGGCGATCAGATTTGCTCAATCACAGGTACGGAGGATTGGCAGATCTCACCTTCATCTTGGTCTCCAACTTTTCCTGGAGCACTCTGTTGAACTCTTGCACATCGTGTTGAAGAAATGAATCCAATGACTTCCAGCCAAAAGACTTGGTCAATTCGTTCGTGCCCACTGGCTGATCCGAGGATTGCAGCAAATAAAAAACGCGCTGCAACGCCAATGCCACACTTTCTGACGGAATGTCCTGTTCTGTCGGAATTTGGTACACCGCCTGCGATTGCGACGAGGAGCTCAGTGGGAAGATTCGCGTGCAACGTTGCGTTTCCGACTCACTCTTCTGAAGTAATTTGTGCAGAACAACGACTGAAGCAAAGAGTTCATATAGCAAGTTGCTCCTTGGTTCTTCAATCCTACGTAGCCCGTCTCTTTCTTCGAATCGTAGCTGCGAGAGGACGCAAGGATGACGTCAGTCCGCAGCTCCAAGCAGATTGCGGCACCGCCGCGCATCTCCAACTCTTCAACGCGCGCACAAAGTCTGATTCGCCTCGCCTCTCCTCACTCACTTGATAAAGTTGTGCCACAACACTCCCGTAGGATCCTTGAGCACGCGTACAAAGGCCGTGACTCGCGCGGCGCCATCTTCGATAATAGGTCTGGGCCGGCCGTCAGAAGGCGCTACCAGCTTTCGCAACTCGTTGAACCTTGTGAAGCCCCAGTCCATCTCCTCTGCGGTGAAGCGATGATGTGCCTCTGAAAGTGTGCCGGATCAGAGCATCTGGGTCAGCCGAGCGCAGATCGCGACGGCCCACTGCACACATCACTCACGACTAGTGGAGTGACATTGGGAATCGTTCAAGTTCGAAATAACCAGCGCGAATTGCGCGCAAACATGCCAGCCTTCTGGCTTTTCCTTGGGGTTTGCATAGTCTAAATAGACCGACACCATGTCGTTCGGCTGTCCGTTGGAGTTGCCGAATGGGAAAAGCAGGATACGCCTGGGACACCGTGGAGTCAGTCAGTGGCCGAGTCTCGTCGAGGAAAGGCGCAGCTCAACACCCTCGACGCACCACTTGTGACCACCGCACTCGAATTCGGGCCCTGTCAACCTCTTGTCGAGCGCGTTCCAATCCCTCAAGACCCAATCGCAGACCGCAAAGTCAGCCTCTTCCTGCCCCAGGTCGGCGAGATGCTTGGCTGCAAAGGCACTGTCTGCACGCGACGGAGAAGTTGACGCGTCAACAACCATACCTGATTGCAGCTCTCAGTGCTGTTCACGTTCCAAAGACTTACGATCTAGCACTGAGATGGCTTCCTCCACCTCCATGGGCTGTGGATGCCCATGATCGGTGGGAGCACCAATCACGGTGGGGCTCGCATCGATATGATCCTGAGAAAAGTCAAGGAGTCGCGATGTTAGGGCGCATCTCTAGCTGTGGTGGATCGAAGAGGTGGCCACCCACCATGTTGGCGGTGCTGCGCAAGTGCTACCACCGAAGCAGAAGTTTTCGACACTTGCAAGCAGACTCGAGCGCCACCTGCTGCAGAAAAGGCTCGCAATAGCACTTGCTTGCTCGCCAATGCGCGACAACGTCGATTTGTGCGACGCTATTGTGAAGATGATGGTCAGCGACCACGTACGTACGTGCGCGTTGAGCCCACGCGTGCGTCCGATCGGCTTTAGGGAAGTGGCGCAGTCTCTTATAGAGCCGCCCTGCCCAGAAGAGGGTTGGATTTGGTCGGGTGCTCGTGGTCCAGAGAATGACAAATGAAGCGCTAGGTAGCTGCCCGAATCTTTGGGTAGGTATCGAAAGAGATGCGTGAACGGTCGGTCAGCACAGTCAAAAGTGCGTTGCCGCTGCGCAGGCGTGTAGAGAGGAAGAACGAGCGAGTCTGGTCTGAGCGTAATCACTTGTGTGTACCGGCATAGCTGTTCAGGTCGCGCGGAGGTCCCTGTCGCACGCCAATGACCTGCTCAGCCACCAGTCACCGATCGAGTGCCGCGTGCGAGTCACGAGTCACGAGTGGTGCGCGCATTGATTGTGCGATGAGTTCAGGGCCAGCAGCAGCTGCTGCATGTAGGATGGGTACGCGTAGCAATCACGCTTGCTGCACGCACGTGTGGAGCGTCGGCTTCGGCGTGGCGTGGCCTTTGGTTCGTTGGCGCTTGGACGGTGACTGCTACAACTGGTGACTCACGTGACTGGGGTCCCCCACGCGCTCAAGGAGGGGCATCACGCCCGCGTGCTGAGCGTGCGTATGAGCAGGACACTTTAGACTCTAGGACTAAATCGTGAATGACCATTATGGCGCCTGAACTTGATCAGAATGAAATCTTGAATTGCGAATACATTTCAGCTAGGTCAGCAGCATCTAGCTAGGTCAGCAGCATCGCTCTACGTCTCGCCCTAAAATCTTCACGGCCAGCGTACGCGTGACTGCTCTCGCCTGACCATACAACTCCAGAGGGCGTGTGCTGCCTGTGAGCGCGGATCTCACATGGGGGCTATCAACGGCAAAGACTTCTGGCAGAGTGGTCAAGCGAGCTATATGCAAGAGGTGAGCTGGGCCAGCTGCTGAGGTACGAGGACACTCCTGCAAGGACGTGTAGCCGGAGCACGTCGAAGCTTATATGCGCAAGGGAAGGTTGAGGGATACATTTGTGTGTTGCGTGCAGTGGACGTAAAGTACAGGTCATCGAGCGGAGCGAGGCGTTTTGCTGTCGCCTCTTTACAATGTTCCGTGATTGCGCAAATGGAAAGAACCGGTGCTGTGCTGCTTGATTCATGACATGAAGTTGAAGCGATGCCAGTCTCGAGGATAGCACGAATCCAAGCTGGTGAAGGGATGGTTTGGGCTGTTGCGTGATGCAGACATTGGTGCCCAGTGCCGCATGTTATACGGATCAGAGCCGAGTCCTGGGTTACACTGGGAGATGCCGCACCAAGAGAGTTGGTGCGGACCCCACGAGCTCGTTGGGAGACGTCCCTCGATGATTGATTCGGTGTCGTCCATGACTGTCTCAAAGCAGACTCCGTTTGACCAATCCATGCGCTCGGCTGCATACTGCACCAACCGCCCACCGTAAACGTTCCAGCGACGTATCTCAATTGGTACTCGACCGGCGTGGTCTTTGACTCGGTCCACCGCTTCTTGAGCCCATGCAGCACGGTCGTCCACGTCGCGAATCTTGAGGATCACGTTGCTGAAAGGTGCGTCTTCACCAGCTTGACGAAGAACTAACTCGCTTGCTTTCCGTACAAGACGTGGCGGATCCATGACGCTTCCCACAACGAGCCGAAGCTCGACCTCCGAGCATCCAGACTTTGACTGAGGTGCGTCGATTCTATTTTTGCAGGCTTCAGGATCGGGTGTTGCATGATCCGTGCATTGCGCTTGCTCTGGCCCTTCCTCGTTGTCTCGAAAGGCGCGTAGCATGCTCCAAACGATTTCGGATGACCACACGCATTCGTCACCGTAGATGGTCAGGGTGGATCGAGGATGAAAGTTCTTCATAACTAGATGCTGTTGCTCGTCGCAGCCTGAAATGACGAGATCATCTACCAACAGCCTTGCACTGCCGAACGCATGCGCGGCAGGCAGATTCGGGCCAGTGCCGGGCTTAAAGTCTCCTCTACGAGGGCAGCGCGTGTGTCTGTCGGTATACAGACGCATGATGGCTGTCGTTGAGAGAGCCAGAGACCTTAGGGTTCCAGTTTTGGTGAGTTGGGTTATCATTGCGCACAAATCTATCCACGAGGTGTGGTCATCGCAGTCGAATGGGCCTACACCGCAGCTCCAAGCGCTCGTGGATGCTAGGCTGGCATCTTCCAGAGAGAGCTGACGGACATGTGCGGCGAGAGACGGGCGCGCCTTGACCGCTGAAACGAAACTCTTGACACGGGCACCTGAACGGAGATAGACGTGTGCGTAGACGGCTGGCAAAGCAGCACGTCTGACGCTGCGGGAAGTGAGGGTCAGAGAAAAGGCAGTCGTCTTGTCCAGGGCGGCGGCCCATCCTACGACTTCCAAGAGCACTTCGTACGGCAGAGACTCCATCGCGTGCTCCTTGAGCGCCTTTTCGCTTTGCCTTCCTTGGCCTGCGGACAGTCGCGCAGGTTGTGGACAGCCGTTGCCGTGGACCACCACCTCCAGGAGAGCGATTGCGACAGAAGCCGAATCTTTTGGCCGAGGCGTGGTCGCTTTCCTATCCGACTGTTGGCATTCACCTACATCTGCTTTCTGTGCTTTGCGGCGCTTATATATATAGATATATAGGCAGAGCTCTAGCTGAGTTCTCGCGCTGCCATGCAGCATGGCCCAGCAGCACCAGAGTCTGCGCGTGCGGTGGCCTAGGGGCACCGCCATCGCGGCAGCCTGCTGGATGTGCAGCAGCCGCGACCAAACACGACCGGATCGACTTGGTCACGTGCCCTCTAGAAGCACGACGCGTCGCCTGCGTGCGCCGCTCGTGACTTGTGAGCTCGGGCATATATGGCACGAGAACGCGCCGGCCGCCGTGTGGACGTGCAGCCCAAGGCCCCGATGCGAGACGCGCCTTCGGCGGGCAGCATCGCGGCTGCTTTGCCATCTTCCGCTGATCCGCATGCCCGACTATTGTCCAGCGATGGACGAGCCTCCCATCCGCTCACACACGCATCACCACGGACCTCGACAAAGGCGCTCGCACTTACAATTTCGATGTTCGGGCGCCGCCTCTCACACACAGGTCACCTCTCTGTTGCATTCCACACCACAACGCGCTCCATACCGTCCGCACTGGTTACCTCAGACTGTTGACCGTCGACGGCACTGCACAGTCTTTCTGATTGGCCCAGCCAGCCCATCGATTGCCCGCTTTGCATCTGCCTGCACAGATCGACTGATCACTGTTATTCAGCTTTCACTTCTGGCGCTGTCTTGCGATCAAAGTTGCTCAACCTCGGGTCCTGCGACACCCACGATAAAGAAGCCCGATCCACTTCACACAGGTCAGGCAAGCATCTTGTCACTTGATGACTCGGCCCCACGACGCCCTTCGTCCATCGCAAGACAGCTCGAATTCGTTGCTCGCCCGGTGCGCATTCGCCAAAAAGTCCTAACACTGTGCATACAGTCCATCCCTCTACAAAAGGCTGTCATGCTCGTGATACCTCTCCGACCGACGGAGGCCTTGCCTGCCCCGGACACGTTCGCTGCTCTGAATGAACCTCCCTCGACGCCATCCTCATCCCGTTCGGGCTCGGTGGTCGCCGATAGCGGCGTGGGACTGCGGCGGAGTAGCAGAAACCGCACTTTTTCTCGAAGTCGGTCCGTGTCTCAAGCACCCACACTGAAAGAAGAAGACGTCAAGTCCGCAGGCTCACATTCGGCAGCGAGTCCTGGCCTGAGCACAAAGGTCCGCAACTATCCTGTACCTGCTCCCTTTGAAGGGGCCGCGCCTAGCTACGGCTCACACACCCGGAATTACGACCGTGATGTGGCAAGGGTGTGGGATGCAGTTGCTGGGGCGCGCAGAGTGGTGGTTGTATGCGGTGAGTTGGAGTCTGCATTCGCGCCGGTCGACGCATGCTGATAGTGCGAAACTTCTCTGCTGCTCGTGACAGGCGCCGGTATAAGCGTGTCTTCACCGGCCAATATTCCCGACTTTCGCAGCGCTACGGGGCTGTTTCGAAAGTTGAAAGAAAAACATCCGAATGCCGGTCTGAGCTCTGGCAAGGATCTGTTCGACGCCAGACTTTTTGGCGTGAGTCCCGCGCGAACATCGACCATTTCGACCCTTGTGACTGACGCCCACGGCTCTTTGTGTGCAGTCTGAAGCAACCTCGGCCCTGTTCTATTCCATGATTCACGAATTGAAACAGCTGGCGGATGCCGCGAAACCCACCTCGTTCCATCATCTCCTCAAACGGCTGGACGTGGAAGGACGTTTGATGCGCGTCTACACTCAGAATATCGACAACCTTGAAGAACGCGCAGGCCTTTCGTTTGGCCTAGGCGAGACCGGCGATAGCACCGCGACGATCAGAGCGCTTGGCAAGCGAAAGCGCGAAGAGCAAAAGTGCCTTTCCAGTCTTCAAGGAGTCTCCACTGAGCCTAGATTGCCCAAGGGCCGAGGGGCTTGGGGTCGTACAGTGAGCGACTCCGCTTTGCTGCGCTCGCGGGCTCAAGAGCAGAGCGACGAGCCTGTACCAATGTTTCCGCGGACAATCCCCCTTCATGGGAGCCTGTCTAGCCTAAGCTGTTCGATTTGCCCCCACGAGCTCGCTCTGACAGCGCCAACGGAACACTCGACTTCTCGTCAGGCAAGCCCCACCTCCGAGCAAGAGACGGAACGACTTCGGGCTTTGAAGCTGCTCGCGGGAGGCGAGCCTGTACCGTGCTCAAGATGCGAAGATTACGAAAATGTGCGTGCTGTTGCTGGTCTACGGTCTCGCGGCGTTGGTCGTATGAAGGTCGGCGTGGTACTGTACGGAGGCCAAAATGAAGGCGCTGAGCAAGTGGGCGAGTGTCTTCAGAGAGACATATTAGGTCTGCGCGATCCGCACGAAACGCCAGTGCCTGAAAGCGTGTCGGAGCGCAGAGCAAGACAACGCAAGGAAGCGAAAATGCAAGGCCATACCGGACCAAAGAACGATCCCCTGGCGAGTCAGGCAAGCACAACGCTGGAGCCCATCGTTGAGATCAGTGGAGAGGATGCTCTCGCAGCAGCCTTTGCAGAAGACGATTCTGCCGCTGGTCAGACCCCTTCAATGGCTGTCCCAGATCCACCGTCTACCGCTCCACAAACCCCATCGCTGCAAGCCGGCTCAAAGAAAAGAGCGCGTGCGCCTCGGCTGAAGCCACTTCCACCTGACCTGCTCATTGTAGCCGGCACTTCGCTAAAAGTGCCTGGTACCAAACGAATCGTGCGAGAATTTGCAAAGGCGTGTCGTGCGCGCGATCACCGGGTCTACAACGACAGCGACGAAGAGGAGTCCGGAAGTGGCTCTTCGGGAAGCGACAGTCGGGCCAGCTCGAGTTCTCCAGGGGATGACGAGGAGAATCATGACCCGAACGCCCCGATACGCACCATCCTCCTCAACTACGACTTTCCAGGCCCGTCTCGAGAATGGGAAGACATATTCGATGTGTGGGTGCAAGGCGATGTGCAGCAAGCAGCGCTAGGCTTGTGGGAGGCAAGCACATATCCGACGACGGAGCAACATACCATTTCGATGGCGCCTGGATCAGCGGAGCCTGACCTTGCGCAACATAGCTGGGCCGGACTCCGCGAATACTTGGAATCCGAGCGTAAGCGCGATAGGCTGGAAAAGCGGCAAGAGGCAAAGGCCAAGGCGTCGTCAAACGCAGCTGATGGAGAGCAGAGTGTGCAGACCAGTTCCCCGAGACGCGTGAGCAAAGCTCAGCAAGCCAAGGCCAAGGTTAGCGCAAGCGCGGTGAAGTCCGCGCCCGTTGATGCCATGTGCGCTTCTGCTGCCCAGATCCTGGAGGTTGCAATCGAGCAAAAGATCAAGTTGAAGAAGGCGCGAGGTGACGGACCTGGCCCTGGAGACGCCGCTTCCGATGAGAAGGCGCGTGCCAATCCGACAAAAACGAGAAAGGCCCATACGCAAGCACGTATGTGTCATTCGCCGACTGCATCGAGCGAAACGAGCAGCGCCGAGCTGTCCGGACAAAGCAAGGGCTCGTCTCGTCGCGCCTTTGCCCGATCGAGCAGCAATCCAACGGCTGGTGCAGCCATGGCTGGGACGACCCGCAAGCGGAGATCCAAATCAATCTCGCAAGCTGCCACCAAGCCTATCACCGCTTCCTTTGTCGGCACCAAGCCAAAAATGAGCACTGTCCAGGGCAAAAAGGGTGGAAAATAGTCCCGATCAGCACACTAGTCCTGGAACGCGGTCTTTCTCGTGCACCTCCCCCACGCTTCTTGTGCACCTCAACCACGCAGCTACTTTCGAACGAACCGTCGGACAAGCACGCAGGGCTGGCAATCACCAATCATGATCGGAGCAATCAGCACGGAGACCTATCAGAATTGTGACTTTGTTCCATCCTTTAAGAAAAGTGCATGCCGGGCAAAGGAGCAAGCCAGCAATGACGTTTTCAGACAGATACTTTGTTGTCAGAAGGCGGCGTGCACTTGAGCTGTGTATTGAGTCGGTGATCGTGAGGGATTGCCATGCCTATGATGAAGCGGTGGTAAGGAGAACGACGATACCTGACTCTACCCATCGTGAAAGTGCTCTGGCGCGAGGCGGAGATACACGTCGTAGTCTTCGGCAGAAAAGGTGCAAAAGACAACGTTCTGGAGCTGCGAGGGTTGGGGCGCACACGACGGAACGGCAGGCAGTGAGAGGCAGATAGCTCCAAATGAGCCTCTCGCTCAGGAGGCGCTCGTAGCAAACGCACTTGGCTGTCGTCGCTGTCGTTCAGGTAGCTTGCGACGGTGGAAAGCGCAATGTGCGTGGCTTCTTCCACGGGATATCCGTACACGCCCGTGCTGATGCTCGGGAAAGCCTGATGATGGATGCGGAGCGGAGCGGCGCGGCGCAGCGCAGCGCAGATGGCAAAAGTGATCAGCTTGGACCGCTGAGCGCTTGATGCGTGCAAGAGATGTGCATTCGACTCACGATGCTCTTGACATCTGTCAGCTTGGACGCTTCCTCAAGAGACCGCCTATATGCGGAGCGCAGCTCTTTTGCGCTCTTTTCGGGATTCTTCTTGGAGACTGTGCAGCGATGAGAAGACGTGGTGAATGTGGAAGCTGGCCTAGCAAAGTTGCGCACCACAGCGTGATGCGAGGCAAGGAAAAACTCACAGACGGGTCTGCAAGGGATCCGACAGACATCCCCAAAAGGATTGCGCATTGTCATCAGCTTTTCTCCCGACCGCCTGTCGAGCGCGACATTTGCTTCGCGAGGCTCCTGCCTGCTCACCCGACGGTGTGCACAATGTGCATGGCTGGCAGATCGTAAGCCTTTGTGACCTTGGCATCGCCCGTATCGCAACCATTCAAGCCTCTGCACTCTTTCAACAATTCCTCTCCAGCCCGTCTGTGAATCGCTCCATCCACACCACCACCACCCAGCAGAGAATGGTTAGCAGCATTGACTATGCTGTCCACTTCCAGCGTTGTAATGTCTCCTTGATACAAGCGGATCTTGCTTGCAGACGCAGCCGAAGGGGATGCGGAAGTGATGGAGCGGGAGATTGTGGCTCGACCCGACTTGAAAAGGGAAGAGAGCGTGGGAATGCTCTGCAGAGCGACCGATTCGGGCATGATGGCAGGAACAAGATGATGGGCAGCACTGCGACTGATATCCGTGTCTCAGTGCTCGATCGTCTCGCAATTGCGAGTGTTTCGCCTTCTTCGAGTGCCAAATGCGAATCTGAGGAGGCGATGGTGGTGTGCTCAGTTCACGTTGAAAAGTCCGGGTACTGCCAGCAGGGTTTGCAAGCGACACTTGTCCAGTTGTGGTCGCGAGTCGCGAATCGCGAGTCTTTGCAGATGAGTATCAAAAGTGGAGGAAGCCAGCAGCAGCAGCAGCAGCAGCAACCCCGCGCTGCTGGGCCCGCGCTGCTGGGCCCAAGCGATGGCCCAACCATACCGGTAACGCGCCGACGCGAACTCGAAGAGCACAACTTGCACGCAAGCGCGTGCAAGGCAACAGCGTTGTACTCCTCTTCCTCCTCCTCCTCCTCCTCCTCTTCCACATCTGTCGCGCGCAAATTGCTGAAGTTTTCACTAGGCTCGCGCCTCTTTCCTTGCATCCGCCACCATCGCCAAGAGCACACGCAGATGGTTTCTGCAAGTGCAGCCCCTGCGCGAGAGACCAAGAGGCGACCGAGCAGGAGGACGGCCGAGTCTGAGCGCAAAGAGAGGGAGAAGGCCAGAGCTTACAGGTCCGATGAAGGTGATGTTCAGAGCAGGCGAAAGAAGAGGAGGCTGGAAGAGCTGGAGGTGAGTGGATGGTTGCAATTCCTCCACGACAGAACAATCTCTGCCTCATCCTCCACCGTACCGAACAGAGCGATAGCGGTATGCTGGCGACTGACACTGGCTGTTCTGCCCCTCCTCTTGCAGCGTGGTACGCGGTCGGGCTTGGACACGTCGAGCATCGTATTGCCAAGCAACAGCACATACACTGGCACTCTAGCGGGCATCTTGGCAGGCAGAGCCGATGCCAGAAATCTTTCGGATGAGGAGCTCGATCTCGATTTTGATGGGCGCGCTGCTGGGTCCGAGTTGCACTCGAGGAGCAATGCGACGGGAAGCAGCGCTGCTGGAAAGACAAGCAGGGCGTCGAGCACCAAGACAGGCAAGCACAAGCTGAGCGCAGAGCTTCAAGCGCTGCTCAGTACTCGCAAGGGCTTCGAGACAAGACGAGAGGAGGCGGTGAGCGGCGGCCTACGGAGGCGGGGCATTCCCTGTGGAAGCGTGCTGGCGGGTCATTCAGCTCATGGCGCCATTTATGTTTCGCTTGTTCATGGTCCAGTCTCAACACCCATCTTGGGTCGCATCCACTGCCAACTACGATACGGCTGTTGCTCCGCCCTCGCGCTATCCCCCCTCCAGATCCGTTCCGCCCTTGTGCTCAGTGTGCGGCTATTGGGGTCACCAGAGGTGCAAGAGGTGCGACGAGAGGTTGTGTAGTCTGAGCTGCACCAGCACGTAAGCAGAAGGATATACCCGTCTTCAGTACCTTTTTGCTCGCGCTTCGACTGACTCTCACTCGCCCTTCATTCCTCGCAAACAATAGACACGACGAAGCTAGGTGCGAACGACCCGTGTGATGATACCACCTTGCAGCTTTGCTGTGGCCATTGGATCGGCGCGATCATAGAAAGCTACCTTACCGTTCCCTGAACTCTACTGTGTTGCGGTTCATCGCCGATCCGTCGCTAGTATCTTCAGCATATACCATTCGTAATGTCACTCAAGTCACGCGACCTTTCAGATAGGTGGCACACATGGACGCAGTGCAAAAGAGAGCGTCGAGATTAAATCTGAGGTCCCAGCAGAGTGAAGCACGGCTGGGAAACACAAGCGAACGTGGCCAAATGTCCTGGGGATATCGAGCTTCGTGAGACCGGGCGCTGGAAAGAGGTAGAATGAAGCAGGCGGTGACAACGGGATGGGAGAGCGGGGGAAAAGGACGGAGGTAGCATCAAAGCAAGACGGAGCGCGTGCGCGCATTTACGACTTGCGGAACCAACGTCCCGTCTGTCTCATGACCCAGTAGTACAAAGCGCCGACGAATCGGAAGAAGGACAGTCCAAAGGTCGTCCAAATGACAAAGTTGAAGTAGGCTCCCTGCTTGTGAGATTGGGCAGCGTCGACCTGTTCCTGCGTCGTGTTCTTTGAGGTCACTCCGTTGACGTTCATGATGGCGACCAAGAGCGCACCATTGCAAAGAAGCCAGAAGATGACCAGTCGGGTACGGAAAGTCTTGTTCTGGTCGTCCATTGTAGGCTTCTCCGGTTTGTCTTCGATCACTACAGGCGCTACAGCTCGGCTGACCACTGCCTTGAAGTTGTTGTCGATATCTGCCTGCTCTTGTTCAATCTCTTCTACTGTGCCAGATTCTTGACCGGGCTTGTCCTTCTTCGTGTCGACAGATGGCAGTGCGTCAGCCTTGTCGGAGCCCTTGGTACCCCACGAAACGTCATGCAAGTTGCAGAAGGCATAGACGTTGAGGATGTTGACGAAAGAAGGTGCGATGAGCATGTACTGAGGGAATGAGGTGAACATGTGCCATGGGTCGGCGTAGAGCACCGAGGCGACCAGGTAGATACCAAAGGTGGCTGCCAAGGCCGCGAGCAAAACCGCCTTGTCAGGACTCAAGAATAGATCCTTTAGAATTGCTCCAGCAGACTTGCCATCAAAGTTGAGACTGGTGATCGAGTTGACGGTCAACCAGATGGCTACGACTATGAGATAGGCTCCCAGGATGGCAAAGACGGCGATCGATATCATGTACGTATTCTTTTCTCCTTTTGGTCGGTTGCCCAGAGCAAGCACGAATTGCAAGACGACAAAGAAGATGTAAATCCACTGCGCAACCAAATTGACCCAGTGAAAGATGGTCTGCAGCGTCTCGCTGTCTTCCTTGAGAATGACGTTGGGCAGGAAGGCGATGATGATGGAGAAGGTGAGCCACAAGTTGGCGAGTGCAAACCAGGAGAAGAGCAGGTTGAAGGCGTTGTAGAGTGCTTGCAAGTGGAAGAAGAAGAGCCGAATGATGCCGTGGTTCGATTTGTAGATCCTGAAAAAGTGTACCAGAGAATAGATGGAGGCTGCAAAGGAACCGTTGAGCCATCGACGACGCTGAGAAATGAGCTCAGCAGCTCCCTCGGGTACGTCGGTTTCTCCCTTCGCAGGCTTTACATAGGACAGCGTCCACTTGTCTCCCGCCTTGGCCACTAGCTCGAAACACAAGATACGATCCTCGGCCAAGAACATGTTCTTGGTGAAGATGTCCATGCCGTGCAGACCCTTCTTGCCTAGCCTATCCGCCATGGTATGATCACCATGGAAGTATTGATTGAGTGGACGACCCTGAATGGCGCGGAATCTGTAAGCGCTGAAAGCACCAGGCAGCACAGATACGTATCCGAAGGATGATTCGAGCGGCTTGTCGAGAATGCTGCCAGCAGGAAGAAAAGCGATCGTTAGATGTATCCACAAGGAGGCGCAAAGGAGCTGGTTAGAGGGACTGAAACTTACTTCGAAAGCTTGTACTCGAAATTCTGCGCAGCAACCAGCGGGTTTAGAAGCTTTCTGCCACCCTTCAACATTGCGTGAATCTCGCCACAAGCGCCACCGAGGTTAGGCTTGTTGTAGAATGCTTCCCAAAGGTAGTACAGACTCTTGTGGCCAGGCTTTGTACCAGCATCGAGAAGAATGCAGACTTCGGGTTGCAGCTGCCTTCCGATGGCATTGAACAGCCACCGATGCGAGTTGATCTTCTTGCTGTTCTTTTGCTTCAAACAAAACATCATCTGGACCGGCACCAGGTTGGAAGGATCATCGCCGTGCGGCGTCACAAGAGCCGGTGTAGGATCCACAGAGAGCTGAGTAGTGTACTCGAAAAGATGGGCGACCGTCTCCTTTCCATCGACTTTCCTCTTCATGACTCCGTCTTGGTACACACCGATTGTAGCCAGTACATCGAGCTGGTCGTTGCAAAGTAGCAAGCATGAGCTTTTGATCTTCCGTGCTCCTGGCAGTCAGCCAAGCGAATACTCACTACTTCCTTGTCGCAGGGATCAATACCGTCAAAGATGAGGCAGACGACAATGCGCTGCCAACCAGGTCTACCTTCCTCTGCGCTTCGCCTCCAGAACTTGGAAGCTTTCGACTTGCAGATATCACGAATGTTGAGCATGACTCCGTGCAAAGTCCTCGCCAGCAAGACACGATCCTCATTGTAATACGTGATGGCGATGAGCAACTCCGTGTCTCGCTGATATTGCGCCGAAGTCCTCAAATTCCAGCCGTTTTCGGGCGTAAACTCATCCGGATCGCAGGTAGCTGCCGTGTAGCGCATGTGCGTAAATTCATTCGTCCTCGAACCTTGGCTCCATTTGGGCTCGATGGAGTTCTTGACGGCCGTGGGCACACGATGATCGACGATCCAATTTCCCCTCGTCAATTTGACTTTACGGGTCAGACCCCGCTTAGGTCCTTGTTGACGCTTGGCCCAAGCTACTTGACTTGCGCTGTCCTCGGGTCCGATGTCAGACTGGCTAAACGGCGTATTACCTCTGTAGGGTGCTTGAGGCATGGGGATGCCACTGCGGGGACGCGTGCAATCCCTGTCAGCGTGTTTCGAGCTCCCCCACCGCCGCCCAAACTCACCCGTAAGGCCGGTCCGAAGGAGGGTATGCGCCGTACTTCTCGGTGGCAGGAGGAACAGCGCCTGCTGTCAGAGGAATCTTGCTCTCGTCCGGGTAGTCCGAGACGTAGCTCGGGTTGCCGCCTGGGCCAGAGTAGAATGGGTCACCATTGGTCACGTCGAGGGTGGTCGAGCTGCCGTGATAGCCATGTCCGCTAGAGGAGTTAGCAGGGTAGTCTCCTCCTCCTCCTCCTGGTCCATAGCTGCCGTGGCGCAGCGGATCTGCGGGCGGCTGAGGGGTCAGGTGAAAAGAGTGTGAGCCAGATCAAGTTGCAAGACTGCCGAGCGCACGCGGTGCTGTGAGAGAGCAAATCGCCTTTGTCTCTATATGTAGCTGTCCCCTGCCGATCAATGCATTCCGTGGCGCGCGTGTCGCGCGTCTGCTTGCCGCATTCAATCTCGGGTCTGAGGGCTTCTGCCGTCCGCGCGTCACACGCAGCCTTCCATGACGCCGCACATTCGACTACCAGCTCGTGAGCCTCCAGCCTCTTGCACTTCCGATCAGGAGCAGCTTCGCTCAAAAGCCTCTTCGTCCGCGACGAACCACAAGCACACGTGAGTGCTTCGGGCTTCGCAGAACACTCACATACTGAGGTCGGCGTCCATACCCGCCATTGCCGTAGCTATCTTGCGACATCTCTGGAGCGATGAGCGGCAAGCTTGCGCTACTCGCAATTGGAATTTCTGTGAAATGAAGTCGATCCGCCTCGCAAAAGTCGCGGGGCGCTTGTGCCAATCACTGATCGCTTCTCTCCTGCGCTCGCGGCTAACGAGCCACGCGTGCCCTAGAGGATCGACTGAGCTGTGCTCCTCAGAGCGCGAACACCTTCTGAGGGTCGATTGTAAGCTTTGAGGTCTCTCTAGTTTCGAGGACCTTTTGAGCGGGCGACACTTCTGAAGGAAGAAGAAACTGGACAAAGATGGTAGAGAGGAAGAGAGACTGCAGTACGAGCAAACTTTGTTGCTTTGTGCAAGCGAGCAGACCAACAGGCTGGGCGGTGCTCGCCTCGCATCAAGAGCAAGAAAGGAGCAGCAGGGACCGAGCGTCAGACAGGACTTCTGCTGTGCAAGATGTTGCCGAGAGAGAAAGACGTTGGTCAACGACACGGCCGGCGTGCGTGCGTGCGTGCGTGCGTGCGTGCTGGTGCCGCTGAACTGTATGCGTGCTGCTTGGGTGCATGCATGCCGCTAAGGAGGAAGCAGGCCAGCAGCAAAGGCAAGGGCAAGGCTGCAGCTAGGGTTGGGCTGCCGAGGGATGTCGAGTGCAGTCCAGCTGCAGAGCGGTCGTCTCTATAGTCTACTCACGCGGAGCACAAGGAAGGACGCCGGCGTGCATCAGCAGCAGCAGCAGCAGCAGCAGCAGCAGCCGACCAAGCATTCATGCAGAGCTCGGCCCCTCCCTATAGCTAGCGCTGCTCACAAGTATTGCTATTCACACTGTTCAAGCTCCGTCAGTGTCCGGGGGCTGTGCTGCTGGGCGAACGACCATCGCGGTGCTCATCAGCTTGGCACCGAGGGTCGCAGCTAGGGCAACCCTTGACCTCGTCCGCGCCGGGCTTCGTGATGCGAAGAGCAAATTCCGCCTAGACTGATGGCAATTGCGCTGAACGCCGAACGCTGCCGCGGGCCTGATTAAGCGGTCCTGCTCTCGCGTGGGTGACTGACTGCTCTCGTGGGTGGAAATCATCATTTGATCCGCCCCGATTCGTCGGAATGCAAGGATGACATGCAGCAGAGCCAATATGAACGTACGACTGGCTCGATCCGAACCCGAACCCGAACCGTTCTGGCAAGTGCGGGAAGCCGTGATGTTGACGCGGATTTCCCGCATATCGTAGTCAGTCGCGAGTCGTGCTGCGCGACGTGTCGCGTTGGACAGGTCGCGCTGACGTTGCTTTCTCGACCATATGATCTCATCTCAGCTAGGGTGTTGCGAGTAGTGAGTGGAAGATGTACAAACTTGCCGGACCCATTGCAGTGAATACGATTTGCTGCGCTTGTTCCAACGAAATCGGAAATGTTTCATCGCTCGACGCGGAGAAAATGTCTTGATCAGGCATTGATCGCGATTGCTTAGTTGGTGCGGATGCTGCTATACGCTCGCTACCCTCTCGCAATCACGAAACGTGAATGGCGCTGGACAGCATTCATCCCGTGCTCCGTGCTTGCTGCGCTGCACGTACGACCATGCAGCGTAGATCAGGCGGCCTAGCATCGCAGCAAGCTTCGAATGCGGGAGGATCGAGGTGAGCGTAAATCCGCTTCAGCAAATCATTCAAGGCTTGCAAGAGTCACGAGTGCGTAGAGTCCAGAGTCCAGAGTCGCCTTCACAACATGCAGTCACACCGCATCTGAGTCGAGTCGAGCAGGGTGCGAGTGTCGCGCTCGCGATGACATGGCCGCTGGATGATGATTGCTCGTGACTCGAGCAGCAGACCTAAACCGAGAGGACGCGGCCGGCGCGAGGCTGAGCAGCGAGCATGCAGCAGCGAGTCGAGAGTTTAGAGTCGAAGTGCATGGATGATGCATGCAGGGCGGGCGGCTCGACGATGCGGATGCATATCATGCACGAGCACGAGCCGGTGTGCGCGCGCGCTTTCGGTATTCCGACAACATCACGCGCCATACCCGGCCCAAGCCAGCAGGGATTTGGCAAGGGCGTGAGAGTCGTGAGTAGTTAGCAACGAAGCAGAACCCCATGTTCTGACCCACACACACGCACGCACGCACGCACGCTTCCCACATTCACATTCACGTGATTGCTGATTTGACGATCAGAGTCCACAGCAAATAGACGATGTGCTGCAAGTGTCTCGAGTGGCCTGTCTGTCCGACATACACGTACTGTGAAAGATGACTCACCACTGGCATTCAGAAGATGGAGCAATAAACAACGTCCGCGACTTTTGAGTCTTGATGAGTGGGAGATTCGAGCGACCATAGCTGCTGCTGCTGCAAGCAAGATGGCGCAGCACTCACGATTCTAGACGCCCAGCTGCAGCATCATGCATTTACCGCTGCAGCTATACAAGTTCGGGCAACGCGAGCGCGCCTGGCTGCATAGCTGCAGCGTCCATGCAGCGCAGCTGTATCTTAATCGTGAATTCACGATTGACGACATCGTTGAACTCGCAACTCATCAAAATTCTTGCGCGAAAACAAAAGTCTGGATCAAGAACGTACGTACCAGCGTCTAGAACTCGACGACCTGCTGATCCTTGCTGCGGCTCGTAGGTAGGTAGGTAGCTCTCTGAGCGATGAGTCGGCGATGATGCTCGACATGCCTTTCCTATCGGCACGGCACAGAGATGTGCAGAGGAGCGTGCGCAGCTATAGGCGGGACTTCACCAATCGTAATCGTTGCATGTCAGATCAGACTAAGCAGCTCCTTGATCAGTCGAATAAAGCGTGGCTTCATTTTGATCCTCTGCTCAACAACGCCCGTCCGAAAGACCGACCGCAGCCTTCTTCGCCACCACTGAGAGCGCTCTGGAGCTGCTTGGCGTCCACTCCAACGCTAGCGCACTCCTCGACGGCCCGCGACTTAAGCCAACGGTGTCCAGTAGAAGCACCCACAATCAAGCAATTTCCCGATGATGGCCAAACGCCGCGAGTGTGTGATTGCATTCGAAAGCCTTCGTGTATGGATGACAGTGTGGTGAGGGGACAGTACAAGCGCAAGGGCAAAGAGAAGCAAAGCATCGTACATCGCGCCGTCATGCAAGCGTTTTGAGAGGTTGCAAATCTGTAGTACAAAGAGGCAGAAGGAGACAAATTGAGGGACATTTGTGACGTTCAGGCGGAAAGTGGCAAATTGCGCGAGCCTCGCTGCATCGGAGAACCGATAGAGCATGCGGGAAGAGCGCAAACGCCTCAGACCGCTTCTTGTTTTGGCCGAGAAGGCTGAACCGCACCTGCTGGTCCTTGCGGCATGTACGGACCAGGTATGTGCGTGGGTCTGGGCACTGCATGAGCTTGACAGGTGCCAGGCCCGACACCAGCAATGTGAGCCGGGTGCACAGAGGTGTTCATATTCATGCTGAGCCCGCTCGGTAATGGTACGCCGGGAGGTAGGCCACCGCCTTGCGCAGCGCTGACAGGGATCACGCCATGCGGACCAGGTATGCTGTGCACAGGCCCTCCTGCCTCGCCCATAGATCCTGGCGGCAGACCACCAGCTAACTGAGCTTGCGCTGCCATGAGTTGCGTTTTGAGAAAGGCAATCTCCCCTCGCAACGCGCCGATGTTATCACGTAGATGCTCATTGTCGTTCTGAAGCATTTCAGCTCGCTGTTGAAGCTGCTGCAACCAAGCCTTCTTCCTCTGTCGGCATTTGAGCGCAGCTGAGGGTTTCACAACAATTCGTCAACGGACTGTCTATCGACGTCATTGTTGGGACACGGAACACTCACCTTGTCTGTTGCGCTCCAAGAAGTTCTTGCGCTTCTCTTCGTCGTCAAGGGGTTCGCCATTCTTGTCAAACTCCTCCATCTCATCGTCGCTTCCGGGCCCAGGGCTCCCAAGGGATCCCGCTTCGCTGTGCGGCGTCTTTGCCTTCTTTCCGCCACCTCGTCCACTTGAGCTTCCACCGGTGTTTTTGCGTTTGTTGCCCGAGCCCTTCTTGGGTAGGGCAACACCATTCTGATGCTGTAGAGGGCGCGAGTCGTACAAGGCCTGCGGTGCAAATTGGCTTACGGAATTGGCTCCCGATAAAGCGTGCGCCGCAGCGGTCGCAGCCTCGTCTTCCCTTTTGGCAAGCTCTTGATGTGCTTGAGATAGGAGAAAAAGACCACTAGCTGCGTTGTCGGAGGCGCCATTCTGAGACCCATTGTTTGCACCACCGCCAGTGGTCTTTGTCTTGATGCCTCCTTGCTCGCCGCCGCGCTTGCTCTTCTTGCCTTCCGGAGCGTGACGCGTTTGATCTGGGTTCAACGTCGCGCCGCTGGCCGCCTCCGCACTGGTGGGCCTCAGCCGACTGCCGGGCTTTGCTCCATGCGCACCATCAGTGCCGTGATGTCCCATACTTTGCTGGAACGCCATGGCAAACTGATCACCTTCGCGACCACTTTGCTGAGCGCCCAGATGACCATTGTCCTGCATTCCATTCGCACCTGTAAGAGCATTGAGCGTTCCCGGAGTCAAACCAGGTCCTCCTCCGTGAGTGATCATGGCGAGGAAAGCAGCTGTGCCAGGGCTGGGTGGAGGGAAAGCAGCACCGCCGCTGCCCACGGGCGTGAGACCGGTCTTGAAGTTGCTAAGATCTGGCGTGAAGCCGGTCCGATACGCCGAGACATCGAACGCTGAGCCGCTGTTCTGACCATTGCCATTAGCAGCGGCAGGTCCAGCAAGCATCGCTGGGCTCAGGGGACCGGCTCGGAGAGAGCCAAGAGATGAAGGCCAGGGATAAGAAGTTGTAGCATTACCTTCACCAGATGGTGATGTGAGTGCCGCGACTGATGGTAGTCGAGGACCATGGTGACCTTCGTGGGCGTTGCCCTGCTTCTGAGCTGCAGCGCCGTTCTCATCCTTCTTGTTGCTCGTCTCTTTGGCCACCTTCGATGGCGTCGGGGCAGGCAAAGCGCCCGACTTGTTCCGAGGGGACGGAGAAGCAGCCGCTTTCTCCTCACCCCCCGCGTCATTTCCTTCGGCATCGGCGGGGTTTGATCCGAAACTCTTCTCGAAAGGATTGGGCTCGAGCGCATGTCGTGGATTTCTGGACCCAGGTCGGGCAGAGGGTCGCGAAGGACCTGCGTGAGGTTGCAAATGGTGGCGTCAGCGTGGGGTTCGACGCCACCATAGCCTCTAAGTCGCTAATTGTCTCGAGTGCGCCTCCATGGCGGCTGAGATCGTTCAGAGGCAACGCCCAGGCCGCCACTGCCGACACCGAGCTTGCCCCATACTTGCTACCCATTGTGTACTCACCTGCTGCGGCTGAGAGCGGGCGTGAGACGGGTGTGGGGCCGGGACGAACAGAAATGTCGGGTCCACGCACGCGGAGAGGTTGGCCATACAGCGTTCGCAAAGCAGTGCGGATGTCGGAAGAAGTTGGGGATTTAGGAGGTGCAGATTGTCGAGGCGAAGCGGTGGGGCATAAAGGGGATGGTCCGTTGACGAGAGGCATCTTTGGTCAGCATCGATGTCTGCTCGAGCTTGCGAGAATGATCCCAGTGCTCATTCCGCTACTCAGATGCTCGTGTGCACGCATTGACTCGGGGCGTTTGCACAAAACGAGTGGCCAAGTGAATGTGGGGAAGATGATGTTGAGAAGTAGCAGAGACTGACAATCAAGGCTGTCTTCATGAGAATCAGAGACCTCTGTACTGCTCGCACCTGGACCAGAGTGTGACTTTGGTCGGCTCATTTGGACACTGCTCGACCACACCTTCACTGCGCATCTTGTGCGGTTTCCTCTCTTACTTGCCAGGGACTTGGCAAACGACCCAAGCGAAGTGACACCACTCAGTGGCTCCCAAGAAGTGTGACTCACCAGTGCGGGCAGCAGTAGCCGACATGTTCGCACACAATCTCCGTGCCAGCTAGGTCAGGCGAAGGAGCCAATGGTGCTGGACTCGAGCTTCCAACGCGATCTCCGATGTCTGCGGACCGCTATGTACCGCTGCAACACTCAGACGATGGCAGGAATGTCCGATCGATTGACAGCAAGCCGACGAGGGACCAGCAATGGCGAATGCTCTGCTCGAGCTGCCGCAAACGTGAGATCGGGGAGCCACTCCTTGCACAGATTGACGTGGCCCACGATCCGCTAAGACGTGACGCGTGCAAGCACTTTGTGCAGAGAGGCGGAGAGAGTCCAACTGAGATTCTCTGTTCCGGAACGCAGGGTACTGTGTCACGTTGCGCTACACCTGATCGTAGGCCTAGCTTCCTTCCGGTAAGGGGCGGTGGGGGTTGTTTGTGTGCTGCAAAAGCGGTTAGTGATCGTGCCGTTTTGGACTCGAGTGCTGTACTGTGCGTAGGGAAAGCGTTGACGTAGTGGTGCGAAATTGAGTTTGAAGCGCGTCAGCGGATCGAGTCGCGCGCGCGCTGTGGGGTGATGAGCGCGGTGATGTAGTTTTCTCATCCAAGATGACGACACACCGCGCGCGCACACAGACACGAAAGTTTGGCCAAAGGGTGCTTGCTGGTGGGGGCTCTGCATGGCGGCACATACGTACGCGAGACATTCGGGAGCGCAGGTCCCGCTGCTGCTGCACGACGGGAATCCATAAATCGTGACAGCGCGCTATGGCACACAATTGACCACAGGGGGTCGCGTCGCAGTCAGTCGAGCCAAAGTGGAAGTGGAAGGGGCACCCCGGCAGTCATTCGTGATTACGAACCTCCCAAACGCGTGCATCATCAGCAGCAGCAGCACCTTCACGCGGATCGTGAGCAACCGCGGCATGTTTGCTGGATTATTCACGATTGTGATTGTGATTGAGCTTGCGCTCAGGCGTTATGGCAGTCAAAAGCCGATGCGTACATGACCATGATAATCAGCACGCGCTGGTCATCTCGCCATCATGCACGGCGCGACTGTGACTTTTGCGATTGTATTATGCGCTGCATGCTCGCATCGCGATCGAGGCGGCAGGATCGTGCGCGAGATCGCAAAAATATTTAGCCACGTGGCCCAGTCGACCTCGCCAGCGCCCTTCATGCAGGGACCTAGCTCGGACGCTTGCAGCAGCAGCGCTGGTGCGAGCTGTGAGCACGCTTATGCGCGCCTCCACAATGCACTGCTCAGGCGAGAAGACCATTCCGATCACAACCTGCTTCCAGTATGAGCCGAAGAAGTTGCTGGTCGTCTGACGACGTGCAGCAGGCTCAGTCTGCTGTCTGCTGTCTGCTGTCTCAGATGCAAGCGATGGGCATCATCGGTCTTGTGTGGTGGTGTGGTGCACTCACTGACTGCGGTGCATGACGGGTCGTCGTCGGCATGCAAAGGGGTTGGGATGATCTTCGACATTCGAGCTCGACGTGGATGCTCATTCCTCCTTCGCTTCCACATGCCTGTACCCACACTGCGAACGCTCAAGCACGCTACATTTAGCACATTCGAATCTCCTCAAGCTCTGGGTTTTTCTGATTCTGTTTTCTTTGTTACAAGATGTCGACCGACTCAAAGGTTCTTGCTCACGTCAGTGGCGCCGACCAAAGGCCCAACCTGCAGGACGATGTTGGCGCTCACCATGGTGACGACCGACCCAAGCACCAGGCTGGCGTCGACAACTCGCACTTGAACACTGATGCTAAGGATGAGAAGAGCATTGCCGTGAGTTTTGGTTGGCGCGATGCGGAGGGAAGGCTGCGCGGTAGGCGTTGGCGTACACACGCGGGGCAAAGGAGCTCCTCCAAGCCATTTTTTGACCGCACGCCCCATCCTTCAATCGTGATCGGCGAGCTTTCTTCCTGACGTTGCGCTCTCTTCTCGTCCCGCAGAACAAGCTCGACCAGGCCTCCAAGCAGGACAAGCTCGAGAAGCAGCTCGAGAACCAGCCCAAGCCTCCCCCTACGCAAGCAGCCATCAACGTGAGTGTCTGCATCTGCACTCCGCAGTTGCAGCCATTTACTCGAGCCTTTGCTCACCTCCCTCCCCTCGCTCACGCTATCGCTACAGCACGGCAACGAGCCATCCAAGGGAGCAAAGATTGATGAGGCTCTTCAGGCAGAGGACGAAGCCATTCTGCGCAAGAAGGGTATCAAGTAAAGCTTGATCGGGACGCACGAAACAGTATAGCGTGGGATGTACCACGCGCAAGGCGGTCAGTGCGCGATCTCATCAGCCTGGTACTTGTAAATCGCATATTCATTGCATCACACACCACAAGCTAAAGGTCCTGTAGCAGACGTGTGATCAGTAAGCTTTGGCTGCGCAAGGGCTGCTGCACTTTGACCTGGACAAAGCGGCGAGCAATTGAGGAAGGGCAGATGTCTTGCTGCAAGCGGTCCCATTGGCTCTTTCCGCGCGCCATCATCCGCTTTGACTGCACGTCAGTCATTTCGCCAAGTTCTACGCGCCTAGTGGTACGATGGGTGCGTATCGTGTGTGTCCGGATGACCAAAAATGGCGCTGAAGAGATGTTTGTCTTTCCGTAAGGGAGGCAGCAATGTTGCTAGTGAGCTGCGCTAGGAGCAGCTTTGAATCCCATTTCAGTTCGGTTGAAGCGGGTCTCATCCAAAACTCGTGATTGAAAGGGTCCACCTTTTGCGTGTCCTCGCTCCACACGTGATCTACATTCTTGGGTGGATTCGAGGGACGACGCGTCGTCCCTCGAAAGATGTGGCATGGCAAGGCGATTTCGTCCAAGTCGGAAAAATGAGAGACCATTCTTTCGATCCCAGCCGACAAGCCCAAGTAGCTCACAGTCGGAGCGTCGTATACAGTGATTACATTCGTTTGCATTACGTGGATAGTGGAGGCTGCGAGAAGTTCAATGCACAAAGAAGCCCACTCTCAGTCTTTGTAACCAACAGCCTGGACTGCGCTGAGAGAGGGTTGAATCTTGTAACCTCTAGCCCTATAGATTTCCTCCTCGCGAGACTTTGCGTGGGGGAATTGGGAGACAGAAATGGGCTGCTCTCCGGTCGCAGCGACACGAAGCGCATGACGGCGACTGACGTTGATGTCCTCAAAGACGGCGCTGTGGTCGCAAACGCGGTTGTCCCAGAAAGCAACGTCGTTCTCGTTGTACTTGAAGCGCACCATAAAGTCCGACGCGGTCGCCACGTGACGAGTCAAGAAAGCGACCAACCATTCGGACTCGGCTTGGGGCACGCCGACGATGTAGCGCACAAATCCGGCGTTGAAGAACAGGGACTTCCAGCCAGTCACGGGGTGGACGCGAACGAGAGGATGAGTGGTCTGGATCGGCTCGCGACGGACGTAGTTGCCGCCCTTCTTCGCACCTTCCGCCTGCTCGACGGCAGAGTGGACTGCGGAAAGCTGCTCCAGGTACTGGCGCATAGGGTACGACAGCCTGTCGTACGCTGCATATTGATTGGACCACAAAGTGTCACCGCCAGCCTCGGGGGAGCTGTACAGTTTGAAGCTGGTGTATGAAGGTGGATTGAGCTCGTACGTGACATCGCTGTGCCAAAGTCTTTCAGTGGAGTGCGACAGTGGCTACGAGGTCACACACCGAGCACATGCGACGTTAGATTTTGGAAAGGGGATGGCTCGCTTTCGTCGCTGGGGAGCACTCACGCCGCTGTACACCTTCTCGCTCTTGTTGTCGTCTGGGTGACTGTAAACCACGTGGACCTCGTCGAGGTCTCCACGAGCAGGCACACCGGTGGTCGCATGCTTGTGAAGCTTTCCGTAGTAGCGGCCGAACTCGAGTTGCTGCTCGATGGTCCAGTCCTCCTGGTCGCGGAAGAAGACCACGCCTCGCTCGGCGATGAGCAAAGCGAGCTCGTCCCTTTGCTGGTCGTTCAAGGAGTTAAGCTTAACACCGACCAGTTCGGTACCGATGGTCTTTGTGATGTTGCGTACCTCCTTAGCAGCGCCGAACAAGGCCTTCTTCTCCTTGTCAGCGAACAGTCCACGGTCGCGAGCAGGCGTGTGTGGCTCGAGCGCGGCCCAGTCTTTGCTGGGAAACGTTGGCTTGAAGTCGTTGTATTTGTAGCCATCGTCCGACTTCAAGTAGGACTTATCATGATGTTCGAACTGTGAGTACTGACGATACTTGGGATCGTCCAGACCGAGCTGGCTCAGCTTGGCTGCTGCACTTGCAGCGACGTCCTGAGCTGGTTCAGCAGTGGCGATGGGGGCCATGGTGATATGACGGCTTGTGTGGAGGGGAGGGTTCAGAGTATTCTGTGAGGTGCTCTGCTTGGGCCGGGAGGTGTCAGGCGATGTTAGGTAGTCGGCAGCTTTGCGATGGTGATCGTTGTGAGGGCGAGCGGAGTCTCATCTTTATACTTTGCAATCCCGACGAAGCAATCCCTGGCCATCTCTAGCTTTGGAGCGTGACGAGCTGTGCTAGCTCAATACGGACCAGGGAAGCTAACGCAAAGACGGTGACCGCGAAATGACGTGCTGGAGGCATGATATTGTGGAGGCTGACCCCGCGAATCGCTGCTAACGTCGCACGGCCTGTGACAGACGCAATCTCCATGTTGTTTCGTCAGACACTGATTCCAGGAATACGACATACTCTTCCCGCGAATGCCTGTCCTCTCGCAACCAGATTCCGACTGTCATGAAGTGTGGATCTGATGGAGAGTCGCGAGTCCCAGTAGCTTGTAGCATCATGAGCTTTGATTTTCAAATTCCCAATTCGACGCCTTAGCGCCCAACTGTTGTGCACTCGGGATGCTCATTGGTCGCTTTGGTCGTACCTGAGCTTGTGATTGCGTGCTGATGATAATGCAGTCGCATCGGCTGCAGCACCCTGAATTCTCATGTATCTCTACCACTCGTGACTGCAGCATTTATCACCGGTGACGCTTCTCCGAACAGCATCGCGCCGCTCGACTTTGTGTCCCATCCAGTCACGTCGTTTCGTCGAGCACCCCGCTTGATGATGGGGCTACTCAGACTGCTTTCTCGTGAAATCTGCACGCTGGCGTTTCCCAAAATTGAATGGTCAGTGCGGCTGTCTCAGGAGATGTGGAATGAAAGCTCGAGTGGGCTCTTTTTGGCCAAGGGCCACGCGGGGGCTGACTCGTTCCAGGTGACGTGATGGGCGGGGCTGGTGCCGAGGGCTTCGTCGTGCCGACGGCCGGCAGATCTTGGCAGTCGTTGTCCACGTAAGCCAGACTGAAGGGCAAAGCACCGCAACCAGCAACCGTCACCAGTCTGAGTCATAGCACGCTGGGTCCGCGTAGCCCGCTAGCGAATGGTAGTCAAGATGTCGCCATCGCAAGCATCGAGTTGCGTGCTGAAAGGATGCACATCGCACCTCTGACGATGCACGACGCGCCACGCAACGGAGCCCTTCCAGCAGATTATTCTCGACCCAAAAGCCGCGTAGCCGGTGGCCCTGCGCCATTCGCAACTCACGACGACCCATGAACTCTTAGTTGCTACTCACTGTACTCGTGAGTGTTCCGCCATCCCTTGTTCTTCACAGCAATTCATATACACCTCACGCCTCTGGAGTGCCAAGCATAAAGCTCGTCACACAAAGGCTCACCGATGTTCATCTAAACACTCGTGACTTTTGACTCCTTGACTGTATTCGAGACCTGGCAACAACATCACCGCCGTGACTCGCCATGGGACGCGTTTGCGATCGCTCTCACGAGCTCAGATTCTTATTACTGATTTCTCTAGGTCGGCTGCACTTTGACCCATCACCGAAAGTCCTGCCTTCGACGCTGCAGACAGGGACATGCTCTGCTGCGCTCGATCGTAGAGCGCATCACCCTTTGCTCTCCGCCATCGCATCGGCAGGTAGCATTTTGACTTGCGCTGAACTAGTCTCACTCGTGCTGCCATCTGAATATTGCAGAGCGTACCTCATTTCGTATCTCTTTCGTAGTACCGATTCCTGAACAAACAGTGACCTCGTGCTCCGCCACAGCAAGCGCGAGCGCGCACTACAAATCCAGATCTCAGCAATGTGATTGAGTGGCAAGTGCAGGCACTGCATCCAGTTGACCAGCAAATTGCCCGTCATTCACGAGTTGTCGAAAGACTCAGGGACTCATGTGAAGTGCATTTCTATGCCTGTGACCACCTTGGGGCTATCCTCATGCGTAGTACGAACGATTGAGTGTGCGCACAGGCCCCTAGGATCTTCACATGAAGTCGGCCCGGAGACAAAACGCTGATGAGACTCCAGCTCGCGCCGCAAACGGCCCACGGTGAGGGAGCTACCTCAAGGTCCGTCGGGTCCGCCTGCTAGGTCGTGTGCAGGCAGCCGCCGCTCGTGAATAGGCAGGCATGGCTCGTCGTGTCACCATGGAGCTTCGTGCTCTGGTCTGGCTGCTGGCTGATTTGCAAGGCTTGCCCAAATGCATGGATAGGAGGAGATTGTTGATCAAGACACCCGGCTAGTCATGACAGAATTTTGGCTGTCATGACCAGCAGTTATCATGTCGAAAATTTCTGGAAAGATGCGCTCCGTCGCGTCGGCCCGGCCGGGAGCCTCCCTTTGCACGTTCACAATCAGAAACTCGGGCAGGCGCAAGCTGTGCGAGAGTCACGAGTCAAGTGACAAATCTTGACACATGTGTGATCGAAGTATTCGTTTGATTTGGTTGTAGTTGCAGCACGAAGGGTCAAGCTTACTCGACCATCAATTCTGACTTTTGATTAAACAAGCTAACCTGACTCCTGAGCATGATTACAAGTCGTGATTCAAAGCCCGCCGCTTCGGAAATCGCATGGAGACCCCGCGTTTGGGTGATGGCGGAAGCGAAGACCTTCTTCTGTGTTGATGCTCCGTGCATAATGATGCACTCACAATTCGTGTCACACACAACACGGGCCGCTCACCGGGTCCTTGCAGTCACTCACGACTCGCTTATTGCGGCGCTAGTCGTGAGTGACGAGAGTCAGCAAGGTCGCAGCAGGCACTTCGTGAGCGCGTCCATAGTACGTACATATGTTATAGCGATGAGGTTTATATGCTGGAACAACCTCTCGTGCAGACGTGACTGCCGCGACTTGCTATTCTCAGCGCTGTCTGCCCTGCATGCCTCACGTATCTCCATGGACGTCCCAGTAGTGTGAGTAGTCGCGTCGAGCGCCTATAGCTATTGGTGCCATACATCAAGTCAGATCGATTTATGGAGAGTCAGATCAGTGGCCAGGAAGCAGATGGTGCATGCTGTCAGTCACTCATCAAAGTCACGAATTCATAGTAGCAGATGTATATAACGCCAGAATGTGCCGAGTACCGGATTGCGACGCAAGCAACCCTTGGCAGCTGCCAGCATGATGGTGGAACACAGCAAGACCTGTTTCTCATGAATCTGCAGGTCGTGTACCGTATATGCCATGCCGTTTATTCTTTTTGTCCGCATATGTGCTCTTTGGCGGCTGTCGAACAGAGGTCACGCGCAGCCCATGCACACACGCAGCGACTCGACATGCACGATTCACGATTGAATATACTCGTGACTGTAGCCAAGGCGGTCTTGCATGCAGGCTATAGCTGCTCCTGCTCCTGCTGCACGTCCTTGCCTGCAACAGCAGCGAATCAAATCACCAAAGTAACAAACAAAAGTCGGTGTATCAGACATGCATTGCTTTCCTTCATTTTGATGCACGCGCGGTTGATGACGAGGATGCACGCCGCGCTGCATATGCTGTGCCCCTTCCACAGTTTTGCTGCGACCTCTCCCGCGCACGGGGACCGCACAGCGGCTAGCGAGCATTTGCATTCATCACATACAGTATAGTCGTGAGTGACGTGCATGTGACGGGTAACCACCTGATGCCGTCACGAGGTAAGTCATGACGGACCATTTGGTCAGACTCATATCCCGATCGCACTCGCTTTACATGCACTACTGCGAGTCTGCGAGTGCGACTTTGACCTGTCCTCCATCTCCATCTGGCCGCGGGGCACACCATTGTCTGCTCTCGACATCCTTTCAACCTATAGAGACTTTGGCACTCTGCTTCCTGCTCGAAGCTCAAAGATCCCACATCCACATGGGTCGCCCTTCCTGCATCCCCACAAACAAATAGCTCTCAAGCTCATCACACTCCTTGCGATCCAGACGCGTCTCCCAGCGCACTACCGAGCACCAATCATCAGGGTCGCGCACCTTGCTCCGATGTCAATCGCTGCGAGCCGCGCCCCTCTCTCTTGACGCGCGTGGGTGCTAACTTAATTCTCATCATCAGCCTCTTGCGCGGGACCTGCCGCACTTGGCTGACCACACCAGCGCTGTTGAAGCGCACGCAGGAGATCTTCGACACTGATTTGTCGCTGACAGCTGCGCCGCCATATTTTCACCGCAGCTCCCCGCACGGCGCTCGACGACGGACGACCGATCTTGCGCCGCTCCTCCCAAAATCCAACGGCCTCCCTCCGCCGACGAATCCAAGTAGCGGAAAGCGAGGGCTGCTATTGCGAGGGGATCGCAACAGCCAAGCCCGTCCAGCTCCCGCTTCGCGCGAATCTGACGATTCAGCATCCAGGTGCGTCCTCGGGGTGAGCGCGTTCGTCCGTGTCGCCGGACGCCTTCGACTGACATGACCGGCTGCCTCCGCTTTAGTGTCTGGATACTTCGCGTCACCTCCCGCACCTCATTGCAAGTTCGAGAGCAAGCATGAGCTCATTCGGCCGATCAAGCGTGAAGCCGGAGGCATCGGCACCTGGCAGATCCTCTTCGCCCACCCCGTCACACTCTTCCCGCGCGAGGCGGCCGACTGCGCCGCCAGAAGATTCCTACGATGCCTTCGTGCGTGCTGCAAATCCTGCACATCCAGATCACGCACAGTGGCTGGAGAGGTTCGGGAATCGATCTGGGGATGCATCGACCTCGCGACGAGGCTCTACCGCGCAATTGCCCTCAGCTGCGAACAGTGTCCGCCGAATGCAGACTTTGCAGAAAGCTGAGAGCCTCAAGAGCGTACCTCGTGACCAAGCAGCTGCCGGTACGAACGGGCGTGCAAATGGCTCTGAGATGAGGGATGGCGGCGAGGCGGAAAGCGCCGGGGACAGTGCAAGTAGAGCGCGAAGGAAGAAGAAGCGCAGAGATAAGGGCAAGAGAAGAGCCCTGCCGCCCCCTATTCCCCCACCTCGAACAACCAGCGCGTTCCATGGAGCAGCTGCACCACCTGGAGTGGCACCTGCGACAGAGCCAAGCCCTTCAAGCAAGGCGGAGAATTCGCGGGGCAACGGTATCCCGAATGGGCATACAGCCGATGCGTCGCGAAATGGAGGCCATGAAACGAGAGAGCAATCTCATTTGGGCGCCTCAGGCCCTTCTCTCATGACCAGCATAGAAGGGCAGCGGCAGCCCTTTGAGAGGACTGACGCTGCGCGGTCTGTGAGGAGGCTCTCGCCTCGAAAAGGGCAGAGCGCGCTTCCAGAAGCTCTCGCAGGGCCTTCCAAGTCCCTCACTGCGCCGCTGCCGGCTCCCCCGGCCCCCGTCGCAGAGCGCGCTGATCTCTCGAACGCCTTGCCCAAGGAAGGCGGTGCCGGAGTCTCGGATTACAATGGCGATGTCAGAGATGGTCGCAGTGACGTCGAGCACCCGTACACCGGAAGGGCATCTCTTCAGTCGCCTGATGTGCGTGACCTGCCGCCTCGCTCAGGGTCTCGAGCTAGCAGCTTCAGGGATGGCCGCAGCACGCCAAGCGCATTGAGACGAGGGCTTGGGAACGTAATTGCTTCTCTGCGTGGGGCCGGGAAAAAAGAGCGCGAAGCTGCAAGTGCCGTCCGTCGAGCTCAGGAAGAGGAGGCTTTGGACCGCATGGCGAGCCCGACACCAGATCGGGGGGAGTCCTCAGCCGTTGACCCTCAGGAAGCCAGCTCCATTCTGCAACCTGCATTCGTCTATACTCCCCCCGGTCAAATCGAGTCCTCCGCAATCCCAGCGCGTGCCTCGCTCGACTCCACTCGATCGCTGCACTCAGCGCCTGTCCTTCCCTATTCGAGTGGCAACACCCTGCAGGCTCTTGGCCTGTCTAGTCCGCCGCCGGTCCGGACATATCGGAGCGGACGAACGTTTGTGGATAGGCGGCCATTGAGCAATATCAGGGATGCACGAGAATCTGGCACAGAGGCGGAGAACGACGGGTTTTTCGATGCTCGCTCGGACGACCCGGGCGATGCAGATGCATCGCCCACATCAGAGAAAGACTCCCTGAGAGTGTCGCGCAGACGATCCTTGCCGGCTACGTCTGTGGACTTGAGCGCAGGGCCGGATGCTTTGGCCACGAACGGACCCGCATCGTTTTCAACCATCAGCGAAGCGTCGACATCGAAAGATCGTAAGCCAGCACGTCCACAACGTGCTCGAAAGAGTCTAGATACCTCGACAGTGGCCCGAGCGCACCGCAAGCAAGCGGTTGCGAATGAGGGGGGGACGCCAAAGATGCCCTCTACTGGAATCAGCGATACACTTCGTAGCCCGCTGCAAGCAGAGATGGCAATCAGCGGAGACGACTCTTCCGCAGACGATTTGCCGTATGCCAATGTGACACACACAAAGAGCCCGGCGTCCTTACGTAGGAAGCGCTCTGCATCCTCGCACAAGAGTCAAACCCATCTTCAGCGCGAGCGAGAATCGGTTGCCCAAGCGCAAGCTACGCGTCGCAGCTCGCGAGCCAGCATTGCGTCCGCTTCGTGGCTAGCTTCGCCTGATGCTGCTGAGTCTGTACCTCCGCTGCCGGCCAGGAGTGCAGAATTGATCGCTGCGAGCTCTCCGCCGGCTGCACCTCTTCCGATCAAAACGCGTCTTGCGGATCTCGAGGATGCCGCCCAGAAGGACATGCCGGACGAGCTGAGGCGGCAGCGACAAGCATGCGCTAACGAGTACTTCATCCCACCGGTCTACACACGACCCAGCTCGAGTGGTCGATCGACCAATCATGAAGCTGGTCGGTCCGCCGGCAGCGGTACTGGACAACGCCTGCCCAGCGCAACCAGCTCGCGAAGCCTTGCAAGCAGCTTTCGTAGAGGGGGAATGGTATTTGGCTCCGATGCTGGGCATAACTATCCAACGTCCATAGATCACGGCGATCCCGGCATTGTCGATGCTTCAGAGACGAGCAAGACTGAGGTCACGAGTGGCGAAGCTTCGGTAAGTCCTCCCTTGCTGGCAAAGGTCTCGTCGCGAAGCTTTTCTGGACTCCTTGGTCGCATGCGAGGACCCAAATCCGCATCCAGGACGGGCACTCCGACAACCCTCTCTGCACCTGGCGATATGGCCGACTCCACCTTCAAGACGAACAGCGCGGGTTTGAGCCACGACCCAAGGTCGCCACTGGAATCTCCTCCGGCCAAGAGCAGAGAGCCAGTCGGGCTGGGCATTGAGTCGCAGACGTCTACTGAACGTAGGCAGCGATCAGAGGGAACCGGTTGGAGGGCGCGCGTGGCTTCCATTGCCTCCACCAAATCGAATCACAAAGGCATGCCGGCGCCCGCGTCATCTCCCGTGGCAGCACTGCCGACCAGACCCTCCATTTCGACGGAAGCTGCAGCCGACGAAGCTGGATGGCGCAGAAACGTTCTTTCCCAAGCAGTCGGTTTGAGCCTGTCACCGCGCATTGCGCAAGACCACGAGCAAGCAGCATCGCTTGAGCGCGAGCGGAACGGCCGACCGTCCTTCTCGTTCGGACGCTCTTCCACTGAACCTAGCCGGACACCACGCCTTAATGGGAAATCATCTGCTCGTCTAGCCAAAGCCACCGCTCGTGATGAGCCTGCTGCCTCGGCCACAATTCATAAGTCCCTGAGCCCAGCCCTACTAAATGACACTGGTCGACACGAGGCTGATGACATCTCAAGCAATCTTCACGCATCTGAAGATGACGCCTTTGAGATGTCAGCAACCTCCGCAGATCCCAGTATCACGAAGGCCATTGGCCCAGCATTGGCCCAGCATCTCGGAGCCCAAAATGTTGGCAGTGGTGAATTTGACGCTTCCGACATTCCCCCTTCTCCCATCGAAGTTCGGCTTGTGCGTCCGAGCATGGACCTGCTTGGTGTGGACGAAGCTGCACCGGACCCCGCCAGACCACCGCTCGGTACGCGAGAAGCCGACAACCAACATGACAATTCGTCTTCGCCGCGGTCATTGCTGGAGAGGCGCAAGTCGCGCTCAAACATGATCAGCACACACCGGCCTAGTCCACCACCCTTGCAGCTGAAGTCACCAGCGAGAGAGCATCTTATGGAAGGCCAATCTTTGACCTCCTCGCCAGGATCAGGCACCGCCGCGCGAGGCGTTTCGCTCCCGAACACTTCACCCGATCAAAACCCAAGCAAATCCCCAAAACTGCTTGCGCAGTTCCGCCGTGCAGCGAGTCAAGGGGTAGGTTCCGTCGTCGGGCTCGGCACGAGCAAGACCTTGCCGAATACGCCTAATCATCGCGGGATTTCCTCCGATCATTTCTTCCTCGAGAACAATGGCGCCGTCGAGTCGGTGGCATGGGATAGTCTTGCCGCTGTCGAGGATGCTACAAGGATGCTCGCAGTGTCCGCCGATCAGATGATCCCGACTCCCACTACCATTGGAACGCCCGGCCTTGCATCTTCGCCTCACCGAGATTACCCTTTTGTAAATCAGACAGGCAAAGACACTCGACCGGGCGGGGCCAACGAAGGTTGGAGCCCGTCCTCAGCAAATCCTTGGACGTATGACTCCGCTACTTCGATGGATGTGCGCGCCGCTTCACTCACCCACGATCAAATTGCGCGGAGGCCTTCCACCAGCGATGGTGCACGCGCTCGCGCAGCCTCTACAAAGAGCAGCAAGAGCGCGCGCCCAGCGGTGGCTTCGCCCGAACTGGACGCGTTCGGAGAAATGTTGCGCGCTTCTGCGCGCGCAGATGCAGCGAGAATCAAAGACATCGCTGCGCGAAGCGCAGCCCAAGCAAGCTCAGCAAGATAGTTACTACTACCTCTTATTCCGATCCTCGTCCGCACCGCATTCCCTGCACCCTGCAACGCTGCCCCCAAGGAGGCAGCCACTCTCTTCTGGATTTTCTGCACGATTCTGCTTCATCTCAGTCTCAAAACGCTTCGCTGCATCTCAAAGACTTGCCTCATCGCTCTGGACTTACACCGGCCGATCTTGCAATTGATACCCTGCACCGTGGAATCTAGTCACTTCTGTGTCTGAGAGAGTACATTGCCTATAGAGCTGTAAAGACGATTAAGGTTTACAAGGAGTGTGCATGGGCATCTCCGACAATTGAAAATGCATGCAGAGACGCACAGGAGCAGCAAGAAGACGCGATGCGCAACCCTCAGGGCCGGCTTTGCTTGCTGTGACCAACATCGAAGCTGAACCCTTCTTCCTCCTCGTCCTCGCCCGGTGAGACCGGAGCGAGTATGCGACGTTGCTGGCTCAGCGAGATGTCTGTCTCATCTGCATCGGCGAAGCGATCGTCGTCGTTGCTGAGTGACTCGTCTACTAGATGCGCATCGCGGGCGTGTGTCTCCGCGTGAGCCAAATTTGGCTTGGTGTTTGGCGCGAACGACCCGCCGCGACGATGAGCAGCTGCATTCGAACGATCACTGGGACCGACCTGGGCATGAGCAGCCGAATTTGCGCCAGCTTCCCCTTCCTCCGCACTGTACACCGGAGAAGGGCTCAGAGTCGATCCCAATCCTGTAGCATCCCGCGCGCCTATGTATGGCGGCTTGAACAAGTTGTAGCCACCTTCCACAGAAGGCGTCAAGCTGTGGGCGTAAGCTGCTGGTGGACTTTCGGAACCGGACGACGCTCCACCAGACACCTCTGCAGAGGTCGATGAATCGCCCGAAAGATTTGTTGGCCGCCCTGTATCGGACTGACCCTGCGCGGGATGCATCACCCAGCCTCGCCCATCATTGCGTAGGTATGAAGCACGTGGTTGCAGGGAAGTCCGCGTGCGCGCATGCAGCACATCGTCGTCGTCGTCGTCGTCGGAAAGCTCTAGATCAAGATCAACGTCGTCTAGCTCTACCCTGGGGGCGATGGGAGAGCTCATTGTGGACGCTAGATGGAAGCGGGGCGAACCTGCCCCGTTTCCACCGACGCCAGGGGAATGAGAATGGTGGTCAGACAATGACGGGCGCGTGAGGAGTGGGGCGCTGACAGGCTGATCAAACGGGGGATGAGGGCCCGCGGCGCTGGCAGCACCTGCCGTGTCGATTTTCAAATCTCCTGATGAGCCGTTTGCGAGAGAAGCTTCTTGGCTGGCAGGATCCTGAGGCATGTCCCTAGGGCGCGCAGAGCTCTTCCGGCTGCGCACTGGCTTTCTAGAAGCCAAAGACGTGGTGTCGTTGTCAGGACGCTGCGCAGCATTCGCATGGCCCGGCACGTGGCCTAATCCCTGGCCATGCCAAGCTTTGCGGAAGATGTCCCCGATGCGGGAGCGGCTGCTCTGTCGCATGGCGAGCTGATCGGGTGGTGCTCGCAAGCTGCTCGGCCGGCGAGAGTCACCAGAAGAGCGCGATGCGCCGATCGCTCCGGTCTGTGTGTTATGGTGGAGACGAGATGGCCATCCTGCCCCGGAGTCACCTTTGGAGAATCTGCGGGATGCACGGCTAAAGGACCTCGTCTGCTCATCTTCGGTTGCGATTGTACTCGGCAGCGCCATTCCGCTGCTGCGCAAGAGCATGTCGCTTCGCTGTGACTCCGACGAGGAGCGATTGAAGGTAGGAGGCACTGGGCTGCGCTCCGTCTTCGTCGATCTACTGGTGGAGCGTCGCCGAAGTATGGCAGGTCGTAGAGGAGAGCGAGAGGTGTGTTCTGCTGTGCCTTGAGCAGCGGAGATTCTTCGGAGCAGACTCGCAGCGTCTGACGGGGCGATCGCTTGTCTCGCCATATGCGACCAAGATGCATTGCCAGTGTTCGTGGTGGTTTCGCTATTGCCGCTGTTATACAGGGCTGACAGAGCATTGCGCGATGTCCGCGGAGAGCTGGGACGACTGCCCGGTTGGCTGCGAGTGCCAGCCATTTTGTCGCGACTGCCACGCGTAAGCTCGTGACCGAGTCCAGCAAATTCAGCGGTCTCCGTTTCGCGGTCCAGTGTAGCAGATTGTCGCCTGAGTAAGGTGACCATGCGGCTGGCTGCGTGCTCTGCAGGCACTTCGTGCTGACGCACTGGGTGGCCTTGTGCAACGCCGAAATCAGAAGGAGTAGGGGACATGGCGCTGCTGGCAGTGTTCGGTGTTCCCTTTCCACTACGGATATCCCCGCTTGTAATGAGCGGCACGGCATGAGGGCGACCATAAGGTTGCGAGTGTGATGAGCTTCTAGAGCGCGCCTTTCCTCCACCGAGTGTCTCGATGATTTTTGACTGCCACCGCTTCATGCGCAGCTTCAACTTCGAGTAACCAGTCAACGCATCTTCCATGTCCTCGTGCGTCACAATCACAAAAGGGTGGTGCGTGGGATCTGTCTTGTGAAGCCAGTCGGGAGCGTCGTTGAGATCGCGAACCACCCATGGATGCTTTTTGACCTCCTCCAGCTTGATACGCTTCTCCGGATCCTTTTCCAGCAAACGATCGAGGAGGTCGCGCAGCGATCGCATGTCCTCAGAGAGCGCAGCAGGCCCTACATCGGCTTCTCGCGGATCCCTGCCATCCGGCTGCACATCTCCCTCTTCATCAGTCCAGTGCGGCAGAGCTTGCCAACGGCTCGCGCGAGGCCCGATGCGCAAGCGGTCCGCTCCCGCGAAAGCCGGCAGCTCGTAATCCTCGCTCGGGATGACTGTGAAGAGTGCAAACTCATTGTCTGCGGTGAACGGCGGGTGTCCGAAAAGAAGGCAGTACAGCGTGACTCCCAGCGCCCAGACGTCGATGGCTTTCGTAATCTTCGGTCGCCTGCGCAGCGGAGCGGCGCGTGCTTCTTTCTCAGCGTACTCTTCCCAAGGAAATTCCTTCAAGCTGCCTTCCCTTCGTGGACTTTTGGCTTGGTCTTCGACTTTGGGCGTATGAGTTCGCATCTGGCTCATGCGCCCTTCTAAAGACGTGGCTGTCGGCTGCGCTTCCCCAGCCAAGCACAGCTCAGGCGCAAAGAATGCAGGGCTGCCCGCGGTCTTTGCGAGCTCGTGATCGTCGATGAGACTTGGATCCTTGGCTCTCTGCTCGTCCCCATCCCAGCTCGGCAGACCGCCGCTAGCGACGAGGAGAGCGTAGCTGAAGTGAGAGACGCCAAAGTCTGAAATTTTCACGCGGCGATCCTCATCCCAGAGCAGATTGGCAGGCTTGATGTCGCGATGGATGATGCCCTGATAGTGCAAGTACTCCAGGCCTAAGACAACGTCTCGGATGATGCTTCGTGATTCGGCGACAGTCAAAGTGGGAAAGCCGCGATCATCCTTCCAAAGTACCTCGCCGCCCGCCATGAACTCGAGCACTAGAGGAGAACGCAGGGTGTACGCGTGAGCAAGCTGGAAATTCCACTGGCCGACTCTCGTAAACGTGAACCTACCCATGAAGACCTTCTTGCTTTGCGGGTCGTCTATGACCTCCTTCAGGCGAACGACATTGGGATGCGAGCATTTCTTCATAAGTGCTATCTCCCTCTTGACCTTCTTGTCCGTAGTCCACAACAGCTGCTTGCGAGCCTTATCTCGCGCCTTCTCGCGATCGCGCTCAACTTCCTTGTCCATGGCAGCGCGGCTCATGCCGCCTTCACCCCAGCGCCCATGTCTCGCTGCAAGGGCAGCATTCTGGTTCGAGGCTCTAGGAGACCCCGGTGGCGTCGAGGCGAAGCGTGTCTGAGGGCCGCTTCGGGGGGATGCTAGGGGTGACTCTGGCGCGAGCTTCGGAGCACGGTCTAGGGGCGGACTTTGAGACGCCATGTGCTCGGTCTGATCACTTGACTTGCCCTTCCAGTCGTCTACCTTGGGTCGGCCCAGCACTCCTGACTGACTGGCTCCTAAGCGCTTTCTACCTTCGCGCTCGACAATCTTGACTGCCACGCGCTCGCCAGTCTCCGTGTCTCGCGCTTGACGGACCTTGCCATGGACGCCTCTGCCCAGTTCGCCCTCGCTACAAGGCGCGTAATGGAGGGCGATCAGATCAGGTTGGCTCACAGCCATGCCACATAGCCTGGACTCACATGATGTACTGGTTGATCATTCGTCGTCCACTGGTATGCGTCTGGAGCTGAAGCCGGTGAGTCTCTAGCACTTGAGACTTGCTAGATGAGCGCGCTTGCGACGGCGTGCTGCGTCCCGACATCACGGGCGAGCTGGATCCACTGACATCTTCTCCGCTGATGGCCCCAGTCGGAGACAGACTCGAGTTGGCAGGTCGGGAGAGTGCTGGAGCAGGCTTGCCAGGAAGATTCATAGCGAGCAGAGCGGGCGAGCTGGCACCAGAGGTTCCACCGCCGCTGACTGGAGTACGATCACGACTTGAACCCGGAGTTGGCTGAGTGCTTGATCCACTTATTGCTCGTGCAGAGGCAAGTGCGAAGGAGGGTGTGCCGGCGCCGAGCAGCTGAGCCAAATGCTGCTCGGCTTGAGAAGGGGATGCGAGCATGGCGTGTTGCCCTCGAGGCGAGGTTGCGGCGCCCGAAGGCTCGCTGATGGAAGCTGCGCGCGACGACATTGCAGCACTTGCAAGGGTGAGCAGTCGAGAGGAAATGCAGAAGGACGTGATCGAAGTTGCTGTCCCGAAGACTGGCTCCTCAATCCTGGTGCTGAAGACCGAGAGGTGGACAAGCCGCCTAGCTCCTAGCTCGGAGGGATGTTCGCTTAGAAGCTGACGATCGCGCTTGATACCTCGCCGATCTCACGTCAGCCTGTGTCCGAGGTAGTGCCAAAAGATCCCCTTCATTCGATCGCGCTCACGCAGTGCGCGAGAGCCGTGGGAAGTGGCTGTGACGTAAGTGGTCGACGTAGACGTCTGGTCGGCCCGGGTGCAGGTCTGCGCACGATGAAATTGGTGAGGCAAGAAGCGCGTCTGGGACTGCGATGGCCACCGTTCTCGTACGCGTCGACCAGGGACTCGGTCTACGACCACGACCTCGGGCTCGCGCCTCGCATGAGAGGATCAAGCCCGGCTCGTGGTGCGAGATAGAGCGTGGGAACGTATATTGCGGTGTGCGCTCGAGAGATTGTCAGCAAATGGAGATGAGGACGTGTGACTGGACCTGGGAGGTCGAAGCCAGCAAGGGTCGCGAGTGCGGTTGATTGCTGGTAAGTGTGGGCTTTGCGCTCGGTTCGCGTCTCCAAAGACCCTGCCTTGGATTCTTGATTGATTTGAAGAGCCGCAAGGCGATTCTGACGAGCTCCAATTTGAATCGCGTGGTGCATGATAGTCAAAAATTCAGATTCGGATTCTCATCACGCGCACATCATCAGCAGCAGCAGCACCACCATGGTACGGTGCAGCAGCAGCGATGAGACCCCAAGTCACGAGTTTGATGTCGGAGTGTGGATCGAGCTGCATGCACCATCAGCATATGGCGCGCTCCAAAGTTCAAAACAGCTCGTCGTCGGGCATCTGCAAGGATCGCTTTAATCGAATTGGTGAGCATGTGAGTGGTGAATGCTCTCGCCATGCAGTCAGTCCATTTACGATTCGATTTGCTGTGAGGGGCGCCACACCGCTCAAATCGCGCGAATGCCCGCGCTACGATGGATGCATGGTGCAACGGCGGCGCGCACCCCCGGCCGCTCTCGCGCTTTCGTTCATGTCGCACGCACGCGTCGCATCGATCGTAACGTGCGACTTGCACGCGTGGTTCAACGCTGCTTGGGCCCAGCAGCACCCTTCCCACCTTATTCTGGCACCGAGTGTCACCTGCGTGGCCGCCCGCACACAGGCTGACCATGACTGATCACAAATCACGTTATAATCGTGAATGCACCGGAAAATGCTGCCGGCGGTCGCGACCAAAGGTGTCCGCGGCGTCGTCAGGACTTTGGGACTCTTGACTCTGATGAATCGTGAATCAAAGTGATGAAAGCCTTGATGGGTCACGATCGGGTCACGTGTCTTACACACTCCAGTCACAGTCTGATGAGTCAAGAGTGTGAGCTGGGGCTTGGGGACATGTGAGAACAGAGCGGGACACCTTGCTTGACTTGAGCATCATCAGCGCCCGCCTCGTGCCAACATCTAAGGTGCAGCTCCAATTGGAAACGCGGAGCAGAGCGGAAAGTCGTCAAGCAGATGATGGATGACTCAGCAGGACACATTCCGGCACAAAGAGCAGGGGTGAAGCCAGAACGCAAAGGCGCTTCAGAAGATCTCCTCGACGTCCTGTCAAATTTCACGTTAGCTTCAACTCATCCAGACTCCCATTGTGTGATCGATGTTCAGGGCGCAATCCGATTCGAGACTCTGACCGGGTGGTCAGATTGTTAAAAAGTGGAAGGTTCCAACGCAGACGGCACTCAAGAGCGGCTTCTTGTGGCGCCAACAACGCTGTTCCATGTCGAGGCTTGACAGTGTCGCCCTGAATTGCAGATCAATTGGCACTTCGCTACAGCAGACAAAGCGGTTCAGTGCGCCTGCCTTACGGCGGATTTCGAGCGTCATGCCAAAATCTTCTCCAGCCCGCAATCGGCGCTCGAACGACCAGGCAAATGATCAACACCACCAAGTGCCCAAGCCATGTCACACTTGCGCTAGAGTCATTACCCCACGGGCCAAATGGGAGCGTAATTGGGATGAGATTCGCTTCTGTTCATCGAGCTGCAAATCCCAAAGACCAGGGAAGCTGGTCAGATGGCAGGCATCAGGCTCAAGTGAGGCTAACTTCCTCGCTACGCCCTCTGCCCTGTCCATCAGCACCATACACGAAGCGGATCTCTTTGTCACTGATCTGGAGGCCTGGGTGGAAGCGGCGTTGTTTGAAGCGGCAAAGAAGAGTACGGAAGGCAGAGTCGCTACTTGCGAGGACGTGGAGGATCGCCTGACAAGTGAAGTCGATGCTCTTGCGGATAATGTAGCCATCTCTACAGGGCAGCAGGAAGGACCCACAATCGGAGCCGATCCCGAGAACTGCCGCCGGACTCAAGACCATCCCTTGTGCTCTGCCCTGCGTGCGCCTCCAGGGCAAAGGGAGCGCGTTCGCCGAGCAGCTCGCAGACTTGCCATTCTTGAACCGAGACTGTGGGCACTTGCGCGGCTTCAACACACCACCTTCAAAGGCCATGTCCAGCTATTTCAAAGAAACAAACAGCTCACAAGTTTAGAAGACGTCAGCTTTGCCAAAGGCCCAATTGGACTGCGTTGGAACAGAAATGACGCGGTGGCGCCTCCATGACGTGGACAGGCGTCGCTGCTTTCCACCGCGAGTGCCCACCCTTGCTCACTGGCATGGTCCCAAGGACGAGCACCGACCAATCACCCAAGATGAGGCTGTGGCTTTGTGTCGAACATGCCTCTTTGCTCGGATTGACCGGCGAATCTGCTAAAGATGAGCACATGCACTGGTGCTCAACGCTGGCGACGACACATCCATTCTGGTCTGGATCGAGAGAGTAAGCGAAGGGCTGGGCGACGGCTCTGCTCAGGTACAAAATCGGCTCGTACGTCACAAGAGCTGGAGAGCAGTCCTTGCGAAAGCACATTTTGATACCTTCACGAGACTTGCATCGATCGAACAGCCGGCAAGCATGCAAAAAGGCCCATCGCTTCTTCAAAGGTGTGATCATTATTAGACAACACTGGCACTCGTTGAGTTGCTCGACCGCTGTGACACGAGTCAAGTCGCATCTATCGTGGCTCCTGCGAGACACGAAAGCGGTCCACGTCCTCTTCTCATTCACAAGTACTTCGGGCGCTGAACGGGAGGAAAGGCGAACCTCACTCGGCCCCGGGAGAAATTGAAACAAAATCAAAGAATTCGAGTTCCAAATGGGTCGATTAGCGTGCATCGTTTGGTGTGCAGCATGCAAGCATGGAGAGCTGCACCTTTTGCATGGCAGGCCTTTCGAGGGCGCATCTTCCATCCCCCCAAGATGGAGAGACACTGCGGTGAAATTGATGAGAGGCTGCCTGGGTTGAGGTTTGTGGCACTTTCCTCAACTGGCAAGACGTGAACATGGACCTGTGCGTGGTTGAGAAGGCCGGTCACTGTGCATATCGACTAGATGCTTGTTTGGTGTGCGAACTTTTGAAATCAAATGCAGCCCCGCAAGACGCCTTCCATCTGCCGGCAAGATACCGCGACGGTGGTGTGTGTGCCCACTTTCCAATTGCAGCTGCACAAGCTCCAAGCGCGTCAAATGCTTCACCGGTAATAATTATGTTGTTGAGACCCTGCGAGCACCCTAGGGCTGTCATAGATGGCGCTAAAGCGCGCGCCAGAAGAGCTGGCGTGACCGAAAGCCAGCAAGCAGCTCGCGCCAGCCCTGGCTCAGCAGGTCCATAGCTTCGACCGCTACAGCGAGAGAGGGTTGCACTGTACCTGCTCATGACTCTATACCCAGGCTGAGGTATTCGGAAAGCCAGCCTTGGATGAATGGCGGCGGTTCAGCACATGTAGTCCTTCACCTTAGTGGTGTGCCCACGACTGTAGTGTAGGGCCTCGGAGGCGCGAATTGCCCGGTACGGATCTCATTTCTCTTGCTCGCAAATTCGCCGGCACACCAGGTACGCTTACGCGGTACGGATCTCAAAGGATCGACAAATTTTAGATTCACAATTAGAATGCTGGGCTCGTCATGCACTCGCTCGACGGATCGAACTTTAGGCGCGGTCGTTGAAACGTAAAGCTTAGGGATTGTGAGGAGTCACAGTCAAGAGCGAAAGTCTAGCATTCGCAGCATACATCCCGCTCAAAGCTCGCCGAATTGCACCGCCTCCCGGCGTCAGCAGGAACGTGGTGCGAGCAATATCACCCGCCTGACATTTGTATGGACGCGCGCGATGCTTGCTGGGATGCTTGCGCTCAAGCGTCTCAGTCAAGTGAAACAGCGCTCGGTCAACATGTTGGAATAGTCACTCACGATTATTGGCTATACAAAACACGCAAAATCCCGGAATCGTGAATGACGAATCGTGGAGATTCAAATCTTGCACAGGCGAATCAGCCCAGCGGCGCTTTGCCCCTTTCATCGTGGTTTGAATTGCTGTCGCCAGTTACAAGCTCCGGTCTTCACTCACCATCTTCAATCAGGGGACTGGCGCAACGTGCCGTTTAAACATCCGCGTGGACGCGCTAAGTCGCGTGCCTGTTCCTTGGAGCGCTTCTTGTGCACATGACGTGCACGCAACGCGGTGGCCCTTATTCTTACCGCTCCATAGTGACTGGCCGCTGCACGTGAGTTTTGAGTGCAGAGTCGTACGGCGGGCTGCATGCTGTCCATGCTGCTGCATTAAATGCGTGTGATGTGCAGACTTGCTATAGCGGACCCGCAACTCATCATGACTGCGCGCATGCCTGGCCGTGGATAAGTGACATAGCTAGTCGTGAGTTCACTCTTGCTGAGTGTTGACCGCTGCTGCTGCATGCTGCTGCTGCGCCCTCAGTCGACTTGCTAGCTGCATGGATCCGAGTCCTGCTGTATTTAGCACCGAGGCTGATTTCATGCCGGCTGCTTTAGTCGCGCGTGCTTTGGCCCTCGATCCATAGAGTCGCGCTGATCCGCCGACATGCCCCGGGTCTTGATTTTTGGATCGCCGCGCCAGCAGCGTGCATCAGCGCGGGATCTCAATCTTGAATAAGACGACCCGAACCGCCTCAATCTAGCTGCGATCGATTGGTGTTTGGGTACGCTGTGTTATTTAACTTGTTCTTGATGCGTCTTGCCTGGCGCATTTTTGAGATCTGGTGTGGGGAGATGGTGATGGAGAAGCGATGATCGGAGCCAAGCGGTTGGAATGCGAAAGGAGCGGACAAGGGCGATTGACCGAGCAGACTGAATTGACCTAAGCGATCCTTCGCAGTGCCTGTGGTACGTGGGCGCCGATGAATAGTAGTGACTCCTATAAGTGCTGGCTTTCCTGCGTGCGCCCAGCAGCAGCTGAATGGGTGCATGGGTGCATGGTAGGGAGATGTGTACAGCATGTAGATATATGCATCGAGGCGAGGGCTGTTGCACTCAGCGGCCGTGCGGCTGAGAGCGTGACTACACTTCACACCTGCGGTCGTGCGTAGCGTAGGTGCGTAGGTGCGGGCGCGAGCGGCTGGCGTGCTTCAAGCAGAGAAGCTGAGGACCGAGGCAGAATCGTGAACAATCACGGATGGCCTGCGCAGACGCATCACATCACGTTGCACGCACAACCACCCCCTTCCATCACGTCCTCTACGCGCACGCTGTCGTCCTCTTCTCCAACGATCCGAGGCTTGATTTGCGCTCCCCAACGTACTACCCGCTCATCGCGGCCGAGCACCCGACCTCTTTCTACTCGCACAGCCTCTCCTACATCTATCGCTCCTAAACATCGACGACGAAATTTTGGCAACAAAGCTCTTGCTGCGTCTCGCTTCTGGAACCATCCTTGCTACGACGTCTTCTTGCAACGTTGACCCTTCAGAGCCTCGCGAGGCTACGCAAGAGGGCTGCTTTCTTGTTTTGAATCTCGTCAGTCGCATCTCGTGGGCGGGTCGCGGCTTCACCCCGTCCGACAGCGTCCATCTACCCATCACCATTCCAAGCTGGCTCTGAACTTCGTTTCGGTGCCGGCTAGCCAGCTGTCTGGAGCAACAAGGTCTACTCCGGCTTCCAGGATACTTGTCTTTCTCCTCTGCATTGCCAAGCAAAGACATCTTGGCCCGGTTTGAGCTCATCATCGGCGTGAAAGGCCACGAGAGGCCAGCTTCCTTCTGGATCCGCTCGTCTACCCTCAAGAGCTGCTCATCATGGACGCCCACACACTTAACGCTTGGACGCGCTTTGCGCTCCAGAAGGGTGGCATTGGCAGCTGTACGGCACTCATCGATAATCCAGCAACCGAAGCAGAGGATCTGATGTTCATGACTGGAGAAAAAATCATCGTACTGCGCAGACTGGACGACGATAATCCCGAGAGCAGCTCTGGCAAGCGCAGAAGCGCATTCGGCGATGCGGACGCCTGGTTTTTGGTGAGTGGGGCATCAAATCGCTCTCGATGATCAGCAGCATACGCAGGCTTGCGCAAGGTTTAGAGGAACCAGGCAGAAACTTTGATGCTGCGAGAATGCCACTCGGCCGCGCGTGACTACCAGCGCGAACCTTGTGGCGAAGTGACTGGCTCACTGAACCTTCGCCCGTACCTTTCCTTCATTTCAGGGTTACTGCGAGGGCGTTGTCGGCCGATTCAAGGGCGGACATGTGCAATTTCACGGGAAATTGAAAAAGCCGGTCTTGATGCGACGGAGTGGCGTTGGTAGCATACGCGAATCGACAGTGCGACCGATGAGCAAATCTGAAGCGGCGGCGCTGCACGCGTCTCAGGTACCACCAGGCATCCCAGTGACAGCTGTGGACTCCGACGGGGAGGAGGCGTCTGCGATGAGTCACAGCAGAGGCGGCCAATCCAACGTAGGCACTGATGGAAGCAGGGCAAGTACCAGCACACGGGGAGGATATCCTACGACGTCTCACGGAGCGCCAGACAAGAACGGGGCTGTGAGCCGGTGAGTGCTCGATAGCGCTGCTTCTATACCACGGACTGGCTGCCAACAAGCTGGATGCTGACTACTGATGCGGCTGCTCGCTCCCTGTCGTCGATCCCTTCTCGCGCAGGGATTTACCTCCGCCTCAGAGTCATCTCCGCGCTGCTCCTGCAGGGGTGACTACGCCTCCGCTCTCAGACGAGAACCACGCTCGACAACGTAGAACTGTGGTGGGATATGGCTCTGACAATGACAGCGACGAGAGCGAGACTCTTTTGCCCTGGGCCAGACCGATGAGTGGAGACAGCAGCGTAGGCTCTTCTCACGGCCAGCGTGCCGCAGGCTCACGCAATAACGGGACTGGGGTGAAGGGCCTGGGCAAAAGCCTTGAAGGTCTGACGACGAGCCATTTGCCGCCGTCTCCAATTTCCTCGGCTGAATCCCCCATCACCGGGCGCGGTCTTGATCAACCGCGCGCAGTCGGGGCCGGTGGCGTTGTATCAAGTGCGATCGGTGGCTCATCGAGTGTCGAAGGTGGTGGCGGCGCGCGTCCTTGGGACCGCGCCCTCAATGGACATCTTTCCAATGCTTCTTCCCTGGATACGTCAGGCACTTCAGAATCGGGTGAGGACGGAGCAAATCGACGAGACCAAACATTCAGCATTTACGATGTGTACGGACGCGACTCGGTCGCCTTTCCCAACTTCAACTTTACACAAATGAACGGCAAGCTTGGCAGCTCGCGCAACCTTGTGGGGGCGAGTAGATCGCAGGATTCCTTGGCCCCCAGAGACGGTGCACCCACCTCGGGCGGGTCCACCCCGGAGCCCACGACACCTGTAGACCGAAGGCCGCAAGCTCCACCTGATCCGACAGCTGGCTCTGCGATGATTCCTGCAAATCTGCGCAGTCCTTCGGGTCGCAGACCAAACGCAGCGCCCGTCCCGGCTGGGCTGAATCTCGCGTCATCGTTGCGGAGAAAGGTCGAAGCCACGACGCCAATCAGCGCAACCACGCCCATGGCTGCCTACCCACCTCAAGGACCCGGTCCATTTTCTGCTGGTCCACAGACTGCCACGTTCGACCCTCGGCGTCGGCCCTCTGGGCCCATGAGCGCTGGCGCGATACCGACTCCACGTCCTCGCATGGCTCCACAGAGGGGCGACTCGCAGGATTCATCAGCGAGTGCGGCGAGAAGTGTGCAAGATGGCTCAGTCCCCCCGGGCTTCAAGCCAGCTGGACAGCCAGGCGGGCAGCAAGCCTTTGCTCAGCAGTCCGGCGTGCCCGCCGTGGGTCCTGGGCCACCGGGGGCGGCACAAGGCGGTCCTCAGCTTCGCATGCAGAGACCCGCAGGCTTCGGAGATACCCGAAGGCGGTCCCAGTCCGTCTCAAATTTGGTGGTGCAAGCTGGACTCGATGCGGTGCCCCCCTCCCTGCCTTCTGGAAGAAGCGCTGGCGATTCTCCAGCACAGGGCTCGGTAGACTTGCCTCGACTTAGCGGGTCGCGAGGGAGCCCAGGCTTTGGGCCCATGCGCTCATCATCGGATCGAAGCAGTATGCGCGAACGGGTCGGAAGTGGACAGCTCAAGAAGAATCCAAGCAATCCTGGACCCGGTATTCATGGGGGCATGGCTGGGCTCGCACCTGGCGCGAATTTGGCACCCCCAGGCGCTTCGCGCAGCCCTAGCCCTCTCTCTGCAGTCTCTGCCAACTCCTCCGATGGTCGGTCATCGGACGCGAGGCGCTCGCCTAACGGACCACCTGCAAATTTGCCACCTTTTTTCAATCCGAATGCGCGAACTGCCAGCCTGGGACAGCCTCCAAGAATGCCAGGTGAGTGTTGTCGACCTGCGCCGTTTCTGTGCGCGCCAATAGACCTGACTGAGACCGCTGCCCACCCTCCAGACAATGGCAAGCCCGTGCAGTACGATAGTCTGGGCTTTGTCATTATGGATACACCCACGAGATTGCCGCGTGAGGATCCCGAAGCAGTCGAAGCGTGGCAGAAGGTGCTGGCGGAAAACAACCTGGAAGCAGCTAGGAAGAGTCGAAAAATCAAGAAAATGGCGCAGGCAGGCATTCCTCAGTGCGTTGGACGCTGCCGCAAACCTGACTCTTCGACACTCGTGACATTGATAGGCTGACGCTGCCTCGTCCCCACTTTCAGTTCTATGCGTGCGAAGGTCTGGCTATTCTTGGCGAACAGCAGTCACCGCAGACGGCCTGGTCTGTTTGAGCAATTGTGCAGGCAGAGTCAAGGTGCGAAAGGCAAGAAGGGCAAGGAAACGGCGTATGAAGCCATCGAGAAGGATCTGGACCGTTGCTATCCTGATCACAAGATGTTCAGGGGCGAAGGTAGCACCGGCAGAGCAGATCTCGAGGCCATCTTGAAGGCATACGTGCATTACAGTGAGCGCGTGGCAGCATGATGCGCGCGGACGTTTGAGCCTTACACTGACGCTGGCGCCCTGGCCACAGATCCAATCATCGGGTACACGCAAGGCATGGGACTCATCGCAGGTTTCATGTTGCTGCTCATGCCAGCCGAGGACGCCTTTTGGCTTCTGTGCGCAATGCTGCGCGATGTTCACATGGAAGGCTACTACTCTAACGACATGAAGCAACTTCATGTAGATGGCATCGTCTTCGGCCAGCTGCTGCAGAGCATGGATGCGCCCCTCGCTCAGCGTCTCATGGAGATGGAAATCGAGCCCATCAACTTCACGCCAAACTGGTTTTTGCCTCTCTTCTCTCGAGTGCTGCCCTGGCACACGTTGCTTTGCGTTTGGGACGTCTTTTTCTACGAAGGTGAGCTGCTCGTGACTGCTCTGTGGCGCTACAGATGCAGCCTTATTAACATTTTGTCCTCCTCTTCCTCCTCTCCTTTGTAGGTCCATCGTTCATCCTGCGCACTGCTCTTGCAGTCATTCGCATCGTCAGGGACCCATTGATGGACAAGCGACGAGTGCCGGGACATGGAGAAGGGATGCGTCTGCTCTTGCACCCTCCTCGCGAGCTCTTGACGCCAGAGAATGTGGTGGGCTGCGCATTGACAGTCAAATTGAAGGAAGGGGACATGCGCAAGCTGCAGAGAAACGCCTCCAAGCTCGTCAGGCAGACGGTAGGCAGAGGTAGACAGTCTAGCAGGCCTGGCTCTCCCTCTGCACGCTCCACTTCTGCACCGCCCTCCAAGCGAGGCGGCTAAGGCTAGACGGTCCCAAATTGCCGTGGCTGTCTCATCCTATCTGCCGGTGCGGAGCGCAGTCTCATGAAACGGTCATGTGACGCAAAAGATCACCACGCATATACCAATGTCATTGTTTCAAGCTTTGCTCGAGCGCGCCTTGCGTCACTTCAGACCGCTCAACGGGTCACAAGGTATCATTTCGCATCGAAAAGGGTGTTATAGCGTTACAGGCGTGTACCTTGATCTCAGGGCGCGATTCAAATGACCGCAGTGGTCGGGGGTGCAGCGTACTGGTTGCCGCCGGTATAAGGAGGAGCGCCAGTCTGAGCCATGGGCGGTTGACCGTACGTCTCGTAAGCTGATTGAGCAGGGGCAGGAGGAGGAGCATAGTAGTGATTGTAGCTAGCATTGTTGGCAGCCAATTGAGCTGCTCTGTCCCTCTTTGCCCTCAGAACCAAAAAGATGCTATTGATTGTAGTGATGATTGCCAGACCAGCGCTGAGCCAGGCTAGAGCGAGGGTAGCGATAGCTCTGCTCTTCACATCCTCCACCTCTGAATCATTGATCCTGTTGACGGTGGAGGAGGAAGATCCTCGGTAGCATCCGCTTCCGCTAAAGCCAAAGGTAAAGGGATAAGTGTAGCAATCGCCGTCGTCTGCAAAGCCTGAAAATTCGGTGGGGTCTCGTGCAGTGTAGAGAGCTGCGCCGAGGATGCACAGAATGGTCACGCAGATGGTGCACACTAGGATCGCGGCCATGGGCCACTTGGCCAGTCTGCCACTTCGCATCACCAGCAGAGCTGCAATGGCGATGAGAGGAATGGTGAATGCGAGAGAGATCCACGTAGGCCAAATCAGACCGATCTGGCAGGCGGGACAGAAGAAGAATAACAATCCGCATCCCGA